ATAGTGTTCACGGTCAAGAACCCGCCGAAAATACTGAAGATCTATTTGGCGGACCATTAAGTCAAGACCCTTTTGATTTGTAAAAAAAAAAAAAAAAAAAAAAAAAAAAAATCTCAAATTTTACGACTCACTGGCAAGGTAGATGTTCCCGGCTGCAAGTCCTGAGTGTAGGCCGTAAGACCGATGGTAAATCTCCTTTGTGCGTTTTCAAAAAAAAAAAAAAAAAAAAAAAAAAAAAAAAAAACCCAATAGCATTGTATAGTTTTAAATTTACCTTTAATAATGTATATTCTGGTAGACTCTGTATATTATTTTAAGCTTTATGTGTATTCCGGCTATATGCTACACCAGTTAACATCAAAATAAAATACATAGTATATCTCTGTAAAATCGAAGAATAAATCAAGACACAGGAAATATGACGCAAGCATGACGTAAGCAAAGATGTAAGCAATAACGCAAGCAAGACGTAAGCAAGGACGTAAGCAATGACGCAAGCAATGACGTAATCAAAACTGTCGGCACCGTTAGATGAACGACACATGTCACAAGAGTGTCGGCACCATCTGATGAGCTCCACGTATCAAGACTCTATACACAATCTTCTCCTATAAATATGCCCTCAAAACAAAGGAGAAGGACACGAGCAAAATTCAGATTTTCTCTCTCTCGAAAAAAGCTCTCCCTTCTCTCTAAAAATTGTAAAAGCTTTTTTAGTTTTAAGTTTTAAATTTATCTTTGTAATTTAAATCTCTAATCTTTGTATTTCGATTTCAAAAAATAAAAATTTACTATTCAAAAGTTACTGTTCAAAAGTTACTGTTCACATAGTAATTAACGCAAATTAGTATTTGTAAACCGTTTTATAAATTTTAAAATAGGTATTAAACTGGATCATCATTTTCATTTTCAATTTCTTTAGATACCGAAAAGGAGAAAATTTCATTTGTATCATTTATCTCGCTTCTAGCCCATAATGTCCCACTTTGGGCGAAGTTAATGGAAATCTCATACTTTTCAGTATCATGTTCGTTTTCGAGACGAACTTCTTTAATTGGTTCTTCTGGAACCTCTTCATGTATGTCTTCAGGACATATATCTTTATATGGTTCTTTTATAACCTTTTCACCAATGTCTTCAAGACATTTTTCTTTATTCGGTTCTTCTAGAACCTTGTCTCCCAATTTCTTTTTCTTTCGAGGATTTTTATCCTTCGAGCCCATCAGCCTCTCGCGATTTAACTGAACCCGCGGTTCATTTGCTTTATTCCCATCAATAACTAGTTCCGGAACATTTATTTTTGATGGAGCATTAGCAGCAGGGATATATGATTTTGTCACTCTTCTCGTATCTGTGAACGCATCAGGTAACTGGTTTGCCAATCTTTGTAAATGTATGATTTTCTGAACTTCCATTTCGCATTGATGGGTAGGGGGATCGAGATAAGCCAAAGTTTGTGTACACCATGTGATATCTTTTGGTGATTCTCTTAATCCTCCCCCCAACGCTGGGAATTCATATTCATCAAAGTGGCAATCGGCAAAACGTGCCGTAAACATATCTCCAGTTACTGGTTCAAGATATCTAATTATACTTGGTGACGTATAGCCGATATATATTCCCAATCTCCTTTGTGGCCCCATATTTGTTCTTTGCAGCGGGGCTATTGGGACATAGACCGCACATCCAAATATACGGAGATGGGATACATTTAGCTCTTTGCCAGATGTTAACTGTATTGGAAAATATTCATTATATGCACTTGGTCTCATCTGGACCAATGCCCCAGCATGCAATATAGCATGTCCCCATACAGTAATTGGGAGTTTTGTTCTCAATATTAACGGTTTTGCTATCAGTTGCAACCGTTTTATTAAAGACTCAGCCATGCCATTATGTGTATGAACGTGTGGAACCGGATGTTCAACATCGATTCCTAATGACATACAATAGTCATTAAAGGCTGCTGAAGTGAATTCACCAGTGTTGTCTAGCCTGACTTTCTTTATGGCATAATCAGGGAATTGCGCTCTCAACCTGATTATTTGGGCAATGAATTTTGCGAAAGCCATATTTCTTGTGGTTAATAAACACACATGTGACCATCTGGTAGATGCGTCAATTAATACCATAAAATATCTAAATGGCCCACACGGTGGGTGAATCGGCCCACATATATCACCATGTATTCTCTCTAAGAATACAGGAGATTCATTCCCAACTTTGGCTGGCGAGGGCCTACTATGAGTTTTCCTTGAGAACATGTCTGACATGAAAACTCTCCCGATTGAAAAATCTTTTGGTTTTTCAATGGGTGGCCATTCGAATTTTGCACAATCCTTCGCATCATGACTGATCCAGGATGGCCAAGTCTTTCATGCCATACTCTAAATGTACTAGTAAACCATGGGTTTACTGTAACATAGGATTCAGTCATATTTATTTTTGTGCAATTTAACCCAGAGGACATCATTGGTAATTCTTCCAATACGTGTTTCCTCTCAGATATAATGCAAAGATATTCAATGCCATTCTTATTTGTACTTGCTATATGATATCCATTTCCTCGGATATCTTTAAAACTTAGCAAGTTTATACTGGATTCGGGGGAATATAATGCATCATTTATTTCAAACTTTGTCCCCTTTGGCATTGAAAAATTAGCTCTTCCGGAGCCAATTATAATATTTGCATTACCAGATATGGTACCCACGCTTCCGGCGGAGTCCTTTATTTTGAGACAGGAGAAATACTTTTTATCTTTAAGTATAGTATGTGTCGTAGCACTATCGGCTAGACATGTACCTCCATCCTGAATCTCAAACGATGTCATAGTCTGAATCACAATATGCAAGAAAATGCATTAATAAATCAAAGCATGATTTTAAAAGTTATTTATATTAAGGAAAACCTTGTCTTGTTAACAAAAACATATTACATTTTTATTTAAAATTACATAGGGTTTTTCTTGTCTTCTTCAAGAAGACTTTACATTACATCGATCTTAATCGCTTTGTTTCCGTTGATTCTTCAGGATCAACAAGGAAATCAGCGATATCAAGATGAGTATAATCATTGATGCTATCAAAGGAAGGTCCAGCTTCATCAGAGATGAAATTGGTTTCAAAATTCTTTCCTTTATCCTTTTCTTTGGCATCTTGTGATGCTCGGTACAGATCGGCTAAATGTCTTGGTGTACGACATGTTTTTGCCCAATGATTTTTCATGCCGCATCTGTAACAAGCAGTTTTCTTTTGCTTTCCTGCTTCCCGACCAACATCATTTTGTCTTCCTCGTCCACGACCTCGTCCGCGACCACGGTAACGGTTTCGACCGCGCCCGCGTCCACGTTCGGTTCTATTATTTTGACTGGATGACGCAACATTCGCTTCTGGGAATGGCGATGATCCAGTTGGACGAGTTTGATAGTTCAACATCACGAGCTGATTATTTTGTTCAGCTACAAGGAGGACTTGCATCAACTCCGAGTAAGTGGTGTAACCTTTTGCCCGGTATTGTTGTTGCAGGATTACATTTCCAGGATGAAATGTTTGGAGAGTTTTTTCGATCATGTCGAAATCACTTACCTCCTGTCCACATAACATCATCCTGGAAGTAATTCCGAACATAGCGGAATTATATTCACCAACACTTTTGTAATCCTGAAACCGGAGGTTTAACCACTCATGTTTGGCTTTTGGTAAGATCACATATTTCTGGTGATCAAACATATCTTTAAGAGATTGCCAAAGATCTGCAGGATTTTCTTTCGTGATGTATTCTTCTTTTAAGCTATTATCGATGTGGTGGAGCAAAAATATCATGGCTTTCGCCTTTTTCTCATCTGATGTCGTTTCCGACTTATTGATGGTATCGAGAAGCCCGTTTCCTCTTAGATGCATTTTTGCACCTACTGCCCATGACATATAATTTTTTCCAGACACATCAAGGGCAGGGATTTCGAGCTTCGCCAAATTCGACATTATAACTGTATATAATTTTATCAAAAAGTTCAGTTAAAAATTTGTTTTTCGAGAAAAACGTGATAAAAAAAATAATTCTCACACATAATAAAAATATGAAATTTAAAATAATAAAGGAGGCAGAACCTTCCATATAATTTGAGGAGGCAGAGCCTACCATAATTTTTGAGGAGGCATAGCCTACCATATAATTTTGAGGAGGCAGAGCCTTCTACTCCATAAACATAATATCAAGGAGGAGGTTTAACCTTCTACTCCATATATATGATCTGAAGAGACATAGTCTACCATATGATCATATGATCGTGAAGGCATAGCCTATCTTAACGATCGGTTTGGGAAAGACAGAGCCTATCATCCCGTAAACTTAAAAAAAATAGCATATAAATTTAAATTAACGGTTCGGGGAAGGCAGAACCTATCATCCCGAAATAATACATAAACTTGAAATAAACATAAATTTAAATTTTACCTCTTTAGGTATAAGAGCGGATCAAGAGACGCTCGTGCTGATAACGTGATATAAACTATATGATATATATGTGAGAATATATATGTTTATATATAAGTTATATATATGTATAAAAGATGAGCGATGTTTTATAGTGGAAAGATAGAAAGAGAGGTGAATGGTCAAAGAAGAAAGTGGAAGGATGATTTTATATTCTCATAAGTTGGTTCATTACAAAAGAGGCTGAGCATCTATTTATAATAGAACAGAGGCGGTTAAACTATGTCGGTAAAACTTTGCTGTAATATTTTATTACAAGATGGATAAGCATAAACTATATTTTAACAATAACATGAAATATATGTATTTTACAAAGTCAATACGGAGGGAGTATTAATGTTGGTTTTAACTTTGTAATTTTGATTTCCAAAATAAAAGATGCTAGGAACTTGCAAGATTCAATAAATACCATTACAATATCAAAAAATTACCATTAATAAAAAATGATACTAATAAAAAAAAAACCCTGAGCGACGTCGGATCGGTGTTGACTACGCAAGGCCTCCTTAGCCTTTCCTTTATCGCCCTTTCACTCAGTCTTGTTTGTTTCTTTCTCTCTCTCTCGATCTCGCCGCGAAAGCTTTCTCTTCCAAACGCAAATCCAAAACCAGCGATAAGCTCTCCGCCAAATCTCCCCAAAACCCTCTCTCCTCTACTTTTCTTCTTCTACTTCTTCTATTCGTTCATCTCCTTCTCTCACGTATCCTCGAAGTTGGTTGTTTCAATCCTGCAATGGCCGAAGCAAGGAAGCTCGATCTGCCTGACGATCTGATCTTGTCCAAATCGTCTGATCACTTGAAAGGTACTTCCCTCTCTTAATCCTCGACTTTTTTTCCTTAGTTCCTGTTCTTTGAATTCCTTCCATTCTCGACCGATTTGAATGTCGACAATCGTCTGGTTTCCGGATCTGAATTCCCTAGGATGCGGCAGGCATGTTTAGATTTCAAATTTGACCTAATTTGTGCTGCTTAGGGTTCTACGATTTCAATCTATCTTTATCAACCTTGTTACGTCCAGATACATTAGCAACTTCATGTTTTTGTTTTTACTCCCAATTCCAGAGTTTGGGATCTGGAAACAAGAACCAATCACTTGTTCGTGCCTTTAACTCGGGCACTAAGGAGTGCTTGACTATGTATCTGTTTGGATTCTCTGATTTCCTTCACCTATCCAGTATCCACCACCTTATAATTGTTCTCTTTTCTGCAGAATTGGCGTCAGATAACAGCATTCCGTTGTCTCCGCAGTGGCTTTACACGAAATCAAGCGAGAGCAAGATGGTAATACCTTATCAAGGCCTAAACACTTTTCTTGTCTTCTCACCTTGATGTACTCTAACTTCTTATCCACAAAGTAACAAGTTGTTAGATGAGTCTTGCTGTTTCCCTGTGACATTTTACACTTTGTTCTCATGGTCAATTTCTGTGATGCGCTTGCTATGGTGTAGGATGTTCGATCTCCTACTCCAGTGCCCATGGGAAATCCAAGTGACCCAAATCTGAAGGATGCATGGCGCTTGGATGCACCAGAAGACAAAAAGGACTGGAAGAAAATCGTTCCTGAGAATGAAACAAGTCGCAGATGGCGTGAGGAGGAAAGAGAAACTGGTTTACTCAGTGCTAGGAAAGGGGATCGAAGAAAATCAGAACGTCGCATTGACAATGTCTCAAGCAGAGAAACCGGCGACAGTAAAACCTTTGCATCTTCTGATAGGTGGAATGATGTTAATTCTCGTGCTGCTGTACATGAAACTCGGCGCGACAACAAATGGTCATCTCGGTGGGGTCCTGAAGACAAAGATAAAGAAACTCGTTCTGAGAAGGTAGATAATAACAAGGACAAGGAAGAGCCTCACATGGAAAGTCAATCTGCGGTTGGCAGCGTCCGTGCAACTAGCGAACGGGACTCTGAACCTCGTGACAAATGGAGGCCACGTCATAGAATGGAACCCCAGTCTGGTGGGCCCAATTCTTATCGCGCTGCACCTGGGTTTGGACTTGATAAAGGACGAACCGAGGGCCCACATTTAGGTTTCACTGTGGGACGAGGAAGGGCGTCTGTAACTGGGAGGGGTTCTTCAACTACCTTAATTGGTGCTGGTGCGTTCTTAAGAAGTGAAGGTATCCCTGGTAAACAAAGCCCTGCAGCCTCTATGTACCAGTATCCAAGGGCTAAGTTGCTTGACTTGTATAGAAAACAGAAGCCTGATCCTTCCCTCGGTAGGGTGCCCATTGAGATGGAGGAAGTTGCCTCCATAACTCAAGTGGCTTTGATTGAACCTCTTGCTTTTATCGCACCTGATGCCGAAGAAGAGGTATGGTCCCTGCTAAGAACTTGCTTCCAGTGCCCTTTTCCATAAGTGTGCCATTAATATTTCTGTGTTTTAATTGAAATAGACTTTCCATGAGTTTGCTGACGGGTATCTTATCTATTAGGCATGCCTTAACGGCATATGGAAGGGAAGGATTACTAGTAGCGAAGTCGACACTTCATCTGGGGAAGAAATTCTAGGTGAAAACAATCTGGGTATGTTATTTTGTCTTTATTTGCTTGCCACTATCTTCTCTGATAGTGCTTCCCGTAGGTTCCTGATAGCAGTTAACTGGATTTTTCAATACCAGATTGTTTAGATAAGGTCCATGCTTATGAGTTTGCTGGCATTTTTTATGTCCATATATTCTGAACCATAGTCGAACACCTATTATTGTTGTAGGATTTCTTGGTAGTCATAATGATTATCCGGGGGGTGCTCCAAGCATCTCAAAATTGAATTCAGTGGCTTCTGAAAGTCATGGATCTGTTGGAGTTGGCTATCAAGTTTCTCATGGAAGTCCTGAAGCAGTTAGATCTGCTTTTACTAAATCCTCTGTGTTGGATGCAAGTGAACCCCTTGTTGCTGCTTTTGAGCAAGATTACATGGGCAAGCTGCAGCAACCAGATATTGAAGTGAATCACTCAGAAGGGGCTATGCTACCTGAGGAGTTTATGTTTATGTATATCGATCCTCAGGGAGTAATTCAGGGACCGTTCATTGGTTCTGACATTATTTCATGGTTTGAGCAAGGGTTTTTTGGGACAGACCTACAGGTTCGCTTAGCAAATGCTCCAGAAGGAACACCTTTTCAAGATCTAGGCAGGGTCATGTCATATTTGAAGACAGAAGATGTTCATGCCCATATCAGTAATGAAAAGATTGAGCTAGAAGGGACTTGTTCAAAAGCAAGTCCAGAAACTGGTTTATCAATTGCATCTGTAGCAGAATCTAATGGTTCATCCTCTATTACTGGCACCTCTCTTTCATTTTCAATGAATAACAACACCTCAGCTCAGGATAATTTTCAGAGAAAGTCTGAGTCCGAAGTTTATGTGAAACCACCACATGCTGAGGACCGAAGTTTCTTGAACTTTTCTGCTCAACATGAAGGTTTGTTATGCTGTTTACCTTTTCTTATGTGTGCATTTGTGTGGGCAAACATATTTCTTAGGATTTCATATTCTTGTGAATGCGAACACATTTCATTCCTTCAAGATCAGATTAATTTATTTTGTGTTCATCATAGCTAAAAAACTTTTTTTGTACCTTTTTTCTAAATCAGAGTTCTTATTCCCAGGAAGAGCTGGAGTTTCTGGTTATGCATCGATAACATCCTCTGCAAGTATGCGTGATGCTTCAATGGAGCGTTCTGGCCACTCTGCTGTTCCTGTTGAATCGACTGAACCTGCTACTCAAAATCAGAATGAGAATAAGCTGCACCCGTTTGGTGTATTGTGGTCTGAGCTAGAGAATAGTAGTACACCAGCTAACCAGTTACCAAACAGGTCTTATGATGCAATGGGGGAGCCTACTGATTCAATAAACAGTTGGCCCATTGATTCCCGGAAAAATACCCAAATTGACCCCAACATGTCCCTCGATGCTCTGACTGTTAACCGGCTGTCGCAGTTTGAACATGTTTCCAACCGCTTAAACATCAGGGATCAACTTCCATCAAATCAACAACACCAACAGCAATTCCAAAATTGGGATATGATGTCGCATTCAGTACATGGGCAGAAGTATCCTGATCAAACTCAGGATTTGGATAATTTATTAACCCTCCAGTTGCAGCAGCAGCAGAAGATTCAGTTGCAGCAGCAGCAGAAGATTCAGTTGCAACAGCAGCAGAAGATTCAGTTGCAACAGCAGCAGAAAAATCAGTTGCAACAGCTTCAGCTTGAACAAGAGTATCAATTACAGCAGAAGCTCTTACAGGAGCAACAACAGTCCCATGCTCGTCAATTACATTTTCAACAGATTCTACAAGGACAGACTCCTGATTCCAGGTATGGGCAGTCACACGACTTCCCTCGCTCCATCAATATTGATCAGATGTCGGTAGAGCAGCTAATGAATGAATTGCAGAAAAGTTCTGGCCATCAGTCACATGACTTCGCTCGATCCAACAATGTTGATCAGATGTTGTTTGAGCAGCAGCTAATGAATGAATTGCAGAGAAGTTCTGGCCATCCGTCACGAAATTTTGCACCATACATGGAGCAACTTGCCGCTGGAAATTTTGGGCAGTTGCCACATGAAGGCCATCAAAAGGAGCTACTTGAACAGCTACTTTCAACACAAATGCAATCTCAATATGGACAAATGCAACCTCAGTACGGACAAAAGCAATCTCAACATGAACAATTGCTATCTGAACCAATCCGGTCTTCAGAGTACCAGCTACTCCAGCAAGAGCAGCTCATGAAATTGGCAAATGGAGTGAGGCACAATCCACTATTGGAGGAACAGAGACATATTGACCCTCTATGGCCATCTGACTATAATGATCAGCTTTTAAGAACTCATTCTGGGATCCACCGTTCGCGCTCTTCTGCGGGATTTGGACCACTAGACTTTCACCAACAGCAGCAGAGGCCACCCTTTGAGGATCAGTTTGGTCAACTTGAGCGGAACCTTTCGTATCAGCAACAAGTTCGACAAGATTTATTCGAGCAGGGTCTTCCATTTGAGCGATCAGCATCCTTACCTGGAATGCTAAATCTGGATGCATTAAATGGTCTTGGACTCTCGCAAGGTATAGACTTGCGTGATGCTACTGCCCACATGCAGCATTCTGGCAGATTGGGAAATTCCACTCCGGGTTTCAATCAACAGAATCCCCGTATACCATTAGTTGAACCGCAGTTTGCACAATTGGAACCAACGAAAGAACGCTGGCCTGGAGCGGATACACAGCTACCTGGTGACTGGGCCGAATCTCAATTTCATAGATCAAATATTGATTCTGAACATCATAGAATGAGGTCAGAAATGAGGAGATTGGGCGAAGATTCCAATTCATGGATGGGAGATGGATCTACAGACGACAAGTCAAAGCAGCTTTTTATGGAGTTGCTCCACCAGAGACCCGGCCATCAATCTGCTGAGTCACCGAGCTTGAACCGTGGGCAACCCTATGACAGGATGGCTCCTTCAGGCCGTGGCCAAAACGCTTCATCTACTTTTGGGTCGCAGTCATTTTCTGATGAACAGGTAAACAGATTGCCAGGAGACGGGAACTATATGAGATCATTGCATCGTAGTAGTTCCTTGCATTCTGGAAGTATGGATGGTGGGCGGTCAACACAGAATGAAACTCATCAAGCGTTGAGTAATATGTTTGCTATGAATAAAGACGCGAATGACATCAAAACTTGGAACAATGTGCCGCCTAAAAATGAGGGAATGGGAAGGATGTCATTTGAAGTCAAAGACAGAATGGGCAAGCAATTAGAGTCCTTGGTTCAAGGGGAGCTTCCAGTTGTTACGCCTGCCCAACAGTCTTCTTTCGATATATCTGGTATGTATCTTCCACAGTAATTGTTACGCCTAAATCCAATTCTTGGTTTGGGTGGTGGACTTGTATTGTGAGGGCTGATCCCGATATACTCTCTTGCTGCAGACCCATACAGCGACAACTTAGTTGGAGAAGATAGAAGGAAGGATAGGTAAATTTGTATTCTGACGCTTAGCAACAGTAGATTAGACAAGTAAAAAGCACCCTCTCTATATATACATACTGTATGTTGATTAAATGTTTTCTTATGTTGGTAGGTTGGTAGTGGCATCACACGGGCAGGAATCAGTGATGTTAAAAAGGCCTCCGTCATCACATTCGTCATCGTCGCATGAGGGATTGCTCGAGCATATGTCCGACACAGCTAGCAGGACAGCCACTTCTTCGTATAGTGGAGTTGAAGGTATCTTTCTTATCATCTCAAGGATATATCCTTTTCTTTTTTGTACGCATCTGGTATCTATGAGACTTAGGAGGAGTTCTGTATGATATCGATCAGGAGGAGGTGGGAGACGGGAAGCAGGAGGAGCGGGGAACAAAGGGACGACGACGGCAGAGGCGTCTTCGTTCAGTGAGATGTTGAAAAAGAGTAGTGGAAGTAGCATGAGCATGAGCATGAGCATGAAGAAGGTGGCCGAGTCGTCATCGTTATCAGATGCAGCCAGCGAAGGAGGCAAAGGCGGAGGGAAGAAGAAAGGGAAGAAAGGGAGGCAGCTTGATCCAGCTCTCCTCGGTTTCAAAGTCGCTAGCAATCGCATTCTTATGGGCGAGATTCACCGCGCTGATGATTTCTAATCTCTCTCTCTTCTCTTCTCTTCTCTCTTTGTACAAAAATCTTCTTTTTACAGATAGCTTTTCATACTTCTTAGGCGTATAGAATATAGATAGATCTTTTTCAGACACATTTCTTACCTCACTATTAATAAATGATTTTTTAAAATTCTCTCCCTCTGCTTGAGAAATTGGTTGCAGTGTTATTCATCATGCCAATATCCTCGTCCTCTTCGTTGTTAAAAAAAGAGATGCAAAACAAAGTTTACTTTAAACTGCTAAAAAAGTAATGTGCTAACACAGCTTTGCTGTTTTCCACTGTACAAGTATAATATGGAGCAGCTAGTAAGCATGGGTTTCTCCAGTGATTTGGCCGCCGAAGCTTTAACGGCCACCGGCGGAGATTCCATCCAAAAAGCCACCGATTGGATTCTCTCCCACCACCGCTCTTCCCACCAAAGCAGCACCGCCACGTCGCAGCCCAAACTCGACCGCTTCCTCCGCCCCAATTCCAAAACCCTAACCTCCGTCGTCGGTGATGGTGATTCCAACAAGCGCCTCAAGCTATCACCATCCAGCCACCGCCAACACCAGCCGTTATCGGAGCGTATGCGTCCTCGCACTCTCGACGACGTTATAGGTCAAGACCATCTCCTCTCTCCGGCTTCTCTCCTCCGCTCCGCCGTCGACTCCAACCGCCTCCCTTCCATCATCTTCTGGGGTCCACCTGGCACCGGGAAGACCTCAATCGCCAAATCTCTCATCAATTCCTGCAAGGACCCGTCTCAGTATCGCTTCGTCTCCTTGTCTGCGGTCACTAGCGGTGTCAAGGATGTTAGAGACGCCGTCGAAACTGCCAAGAAGCTTAACCTAGAAGGTAAAAAGAGGACTGTGTTGTTTATGGATGAGGTTCATCGGTTCAACAAGTCGCAGCAAGATTCCTTCTTGCCTGTTATTGAAGATGGGAGCATTCTCTTCATTGGAGCCACCACTGAGAACCCTTCTTTCCATTTGATCACTCCTCTGCTCTCGCGTTGTAGAGTTCTTACTCTTAATCCCTTGAAACCCAATCATGTCGAGACCCTTCTTAGACGAGCTGTTGATGATTCCGATAGAGGACTCTCCAACAGCGTCGAGGTTGGCGATTCTGTCATCGAGTTCTTGGCCAACAGCTGCGATGGTGACGCACGAGTCGCGTTGAATGCTCTGGAAATCTCAGCTACCATGGCTACTGCTCGAGCCGGATCTGGTGTTGTTGCTGTGTCTCTTGATGATGCAAAGGAGGCTCTTCAGAGCAAACATCTGGCCTACGACAAGGCAGGGGAGCAGCATTACAACCTCATAAGTGCACTTCACAAGTCAATGCGAGGAGGAGATGCTAATGCTGCAATCTACTGGCTGGCTAGGATGCTCGAAGGTGGTGAAGAGCCGCTTTACATTGCGAGGAGGCTTATAAGGTTTGCAAGCGAGGACGTTGGGCTTGCCGACCCTTCAGCTCTTACCCAGGCTGTTGCGTGCTATCAAGCTTCGCATTTCTTGGGTATGCCTGAATGTAATGTAGTTCTTGCCCAGTGCACAGCTTACTTGGCACTGGCTCCTAAGTCCATTGCTGTTTACCGAGCAATAGAGAGCGCAAGGAAGGTGGTGAAGGACTCGGTTGGACAGAATGAAGGGGTGCCTCTACACCTGAGGAACGCTCCGACTAAGCTGATGAAGGAACTTGGCTATGGAAAAGAGTACATATATCCTCCTAATGACCCTTCTTCTGCGGCAGAGCAGACATATCTACCTTCGTCTCTTCTGCATTATAAGTTCCTCGAATGGCCAGAAGGTGCTTCAGGTGATCTCCAAGATCAAGAACACAGGCTCTAACTGCTAATGAATCATTTTACTTCAAGTCTTTGTAGAGGCTTTCTTTATTTTGTGGCTTTGTTTTTTACCATTTGCTGCTCTCAACTCAATATTAAATTTGAAAAAAAAATGGTGGGAACAAGAAGATTGTAGAAAGATGATAAACCCTTTCTTATTATTCAAGGTACAGAATCCAACATTTCTATCTAGGGCAACCTGTAAACGAAAGGAAACCCAAATGAATAAACGTTTCCGTGGTCCCCCGCCAAAACCAACGCAAGATTAATGAGAATTCTCAGACGTGAATCTATGAACAACAAAGGTATTGATTGATTGATTCTTCAAGTCTTTCACTGGTCTCTCAACTCAGGTCACCCCACTGGACTTTATGTCTTGCGGCAAGATAATGGGCACCAACAGGACCACGACTGCCGTAAGGATAGGATTCTGGGATTGTCTTCTTTTCTTCTATCTCTTTGAGCAATGGAGTGAAAAGCGCCCAAGCAGCGTCAAGTTCGTCGCTTCTTATGAACAACCTGCGTTCGCCTTCGATTGCATCCAGCAGAAGCCTCTCATATGCATCTGGGATTTCCTTCGAATACCTTCAACAGCAAAAAGAAGGGATATGAGACTATGTATGTAACAGGCAAAAGAAATAAGAACCACATATACTAAGAAAACCAAAAGCTCTTCACCAAAACGCTGAATATGTTAATAATCTTCCTAGCCGCTGGATCTCACAAAACCACTTAATGGAAGAATTGGCCAACCAGAATAGTAGTTAAAGTCCTAATTAATATATAATCACCTTGGTTGAACACTTACCTCACGGTTTGGATCAATTCTTTTCTGGATTTCAAACTATTCTAGTATTTTTATAAACTATAAAGTTTCTTGCTGAATGAAGACAGAAAAAGAAAAAAAGCATATCAACCCAGGATTCCTTTTTTCTTTCTTTCTCAAACTAACCTTGCTGAATAGAGAAGATTCAAGTTACTCTGATCTAATCTCATTCCTAAACCAGGGACCTTGTTGTTGATTTTCAAATAGATGCCTTCATCTGGCTGAACACGGATGACAAGCTCATTCGTGGTCCGATCAAGATTAGTACCAGAACTCCGGTTATATAAATTTCCAGGTACATGCCTGAACTGCACCCTTATTTCCGCACTGTAAACAATAAATATAAATATATTACATAAGGAAAAAGGCAAATCAGAGAAATTTACGGAAAAAAAAAAGTTCCAAAGTTTGGGGTTACCTTCGGGTGTGTAGAGCTTTCCCAGCTTTCATTAGAAAAGGAACACCGTCCCATCTAGCATTATCGATGAAGAGTGCAGCAGCTGCAAATGTTGGGGTCAAGCTATCTTTTGGCACAGTTTTATCATCGGTGTAGCCTGGATATGTGACTCCTCCTTTGTTTGTGCTCTTGTACTGTCCTATCACCACATCTTCAAGCTGTATTGGCCTCATCGAACGTAGAACCTTCACCTGAATCGATCCCGAGAGTTTTCAAAATACCAGTCTTAAAATCAAGCATATTATGTAAGAAAGAGAGCAATAGGAGACCTTTTCATTTCTGATGTCCTCTGCATCCAAACTAACAGGTGTTTCCATGGCGAAAAGAGCTAATATCTGAAGCAGATGATTCTGCATTATATCTCTTATTATTCCGTAATGGTCGAAGTACCTGAATTTTGAAGAAGAGAAGAAAAAGTGTCAAAATATAGGCTTCAACGCAGAATAGAAATTAAAAGTTAAGACATAGGACAAGAACATATGCTACCCTCCACGTCCTTCAGTGCCGAAATCCTCAGAAAATATGAGCTGCACGTTCTGTATATACTGCCTTGACCATAGAGGTTCAAATATAAGATTTGAGAATCGAAGAACCGACAGGTTCTCAACTAGCTCTTTTCCTAAGTAATGGTCTATCCTGTGAAAATCAACATTCCATATCAGCCAGGTAACCAAAAAACTCCATCATTATGACAAATTTTACAATAACAAGCACAATATCTCCTACCTAAATATTTGGTCTTCCTCGAGGTACTGCTTAAGGGACTTTGTTAAAGCAGCCGAGGTTTTGGAATCTCGGCCAAAAGGTTTCTCGACAATGACCCTAGTCCATCCATTGACAGATGAAGCAGATGAGCTTGCACATTTCACCGCGTCCACAAAGATATTTGGAGGTATTGAAAGATAGAAAAGTCGGTTCGAGAGTCTTCCACCCTGTAAATATTTATGTGATGGATAAGTACACATAGGAAATAGAAGTAGGACGACCAAAGTTCTCTAGCTTTTTACTAATTTTACGGAAATCATGAAGAAAGCAATTAGCAGAGGATAACATCAAATACCTCATGCTCCTTGAGCTTCTTGTCCAATGCAACAAAATGCTCCTGAGAATCATACTGACCTGTATGGTAAAAACATCTCTTAAGAAACTCTTCCATCTTTTCACCGCAGTTTTCCCTGAGATAACAGATGAAAGAATGCACACATTGAACAAATCATCGCTGACAAAGTACAAAACTGAAAAGAAACCTTCAAGGAACAATGTCTTGGTGGTTTTATCATCAGGAAAACTCCCAAAAAAATCCAAAAAGCAGAACTTTTACAAAGCTAGAACTAATCACCTCTTATCAATTCTACAAGTCAGTGTTTTGCTGACCATGTCTCTAAGTTCACCATCTGTCATCTTACTCCTTGCATAACCGTATATTGTGAAATGCTGCAACGAACAAAAAAAAGAAAATCAAAATGGTCAATCATGAGGGATCCTTGTCTGCAACAAGACAAAAATAGCTTACCAAATCGATCAATATAAGAATCATCAGAAAGAAAAGAAGATTTTTTTTACCTCAGGAAGACAGCCTTCATAGTAGAGTGCGAAAAGAGCTGGGAATATTTTCTTCTTGGCAAGATCACCAGAGGCTCCGACCACCGTGATACTAACTGTTGACTGGTGTTCGCTGCCATCAGACTCCGTTGTAACCTTGTCTGCTTCCTGTGACGGAATCGATAAAAGCCCGCCTTTCAGTTTCTCAGCCGAGCATGAAATCGTGGCTTCTGCGCCTAAACCAATTGTAAGCACATTAGATAAAATATTACCTGAAAATTGTCTTAAGTCGGAGACTAGTATATAACATCTATCTATAATCAAACAGAAATCAATCATGTATATGCAAAGCTTCAAGCTTTAAGTTATCCGCAAATCAAGGCACAAAGAAGAAGACAACCCAAATCGAGGAAAACTAAAGGGCACCCGAGAATCCAATCAAACTCACCATCTTGCACAACAACAGAACTCTGAACGGACTTCCTTTGCGATCTAACACAGAGCTCATCTAGATTTAGCCACTGAGGAGACGCGGAGAGGAAGGAGAGTGACCGGCGTGGGTCGCCGCCATTGACCAGCGAAGAATGATTCGACGAGAAAGGAGAGGAGGTGCGGGAGCAATAAGATAGGCGGGAGAGAGAGGAAGAAAACGATGGCATTCTCAGAATTGCTTTTAACACAAATTTATGAAGAAGATGCAAATCTCACTCACAATTGCGCTTAAGATGTGAGAGGGAAGAGAGAGTTTTAAGGGACAATTGTCGAAATTTTGAGCCTTTTGACGTCTCCCAAAGGTTAAGCCTTTGCCAAATCGGTGCATTTTGTGTTGGTATGGTTAAGCGAAAGGCTAATTGCGAAAACTGATTATTCAATTCAATGAAATCACAAGTGGACTTTGCTTTTTCTTCTTAAGGGTTTTATTATCCTGTTATATAAACCTAATGATCTTATGTGATTAGTTGATGATACAGCAATTTTCATGGATAAATAATATCTGCTTAGACCATTGTGAAATTTACTTGATCAATGTAATGGAAAGGATAATTATTCTTGTTTCATAAATCACGATATCATGTCTAACCAGTAACTAGAGGTTTAACAAAATAAACAATGATAGTTGTTATTTAGCAAAAAAAAACAAAAACAAAAACAATGATATTTGGAAGAATAGGATGAATGATTAAATACGAACCGATGAGAATGAATTTTTTGGCTACTGAGAAAGATAGATTTATTTCAACATAACACATGGATACTTAGCTGATCCAGAAAAACAAGCATTTATCGAAAAGTTTCGGGAGATTTTAGGTAACATTTTCAGCAAATCAACTTTAGAAAGGCACAGCTTCAAAATCTCTGAAGCTTTGCATATCCGCTCAGGTGTGCCTATAATAAATATGCGTCCAACCAAACGATAGCTTTTTTGATCATGATTAGCTGCGTCTAGCATATCTAGCGGATAGTGCACATTGTAGAAAGTTTCTTGACCAAATTAGGAGGTTCATTCTACAATTGGCTTAACCTAACCTCAAAGTCAGTATCCAGTCTATGAATCCGTTATCTTATAGGAGTACTCAATCTTATTCCGAAATATATGTAGTTCTTAGAGAAATAAATAACCCATTCCAAAACAAATGATCCATTTTTTCACTTGAGCCATTTGGCATTAACCAAAAAAAGAAAGGACAATTAGACCAATTCTAATATGTCGATGAGCAAACAATCCTCAAATGTCAACACTCCACTTCTTTAAAAAAAAAAAAAAAATACCGTCACCTTTGCTTGATGACGTCATTTTTAATATTATGTATCGTCAATTTTATACAACTTTTTGTATCCATTGATTTATTGGCTTCACGGAATGTGGTACATCTTTTTACCTCAATCACTCTATACCAAATTGTTGATGTTAAACTTTAGTCCCTCTCTAAAGTTTACCTTAATCCCTTTGAAAGAGGTTAAACTTTGTAGTTTTAGTTCTATCCATTTGGATGAGATGATTTAAGCTTCCAAACAAAAATGTATTATCAAAGTTTGGTCGCCAAAAGAAAACTATTAGGTCAAAGATTTGGAATTTTTTTATTATAGAGAAAAAAAAACTGAAAGCAAAAAAATTGTAAAAATACAAAATAATGAATAAAATAAGGGACGTGAGGCATACGCGCCTTAATTAACTGGAGTTTAGAATAAATAAACATGAAAAATACCATTTCCCTATATTACTCTACTCTGTTTCTTGCGAAAACCCATTTCACTAAAAAACGATAAAACGCAGCAAAAGAAAACTCTCTCTCTCCTCTCCTTCTCCTTCTCCTCTCTCTCTATCTAAAAAAGCTTCGCTGTTCATCGTTGTCCTCAGAATAATCAGCCATGAAAATAAAGAACAAAGGTAAAGTACACCCATCTCCTCCTCCTACTCCACAACCCTCTTCTTCCCATGGAGATGACTGTCTCTCTGTCCTGAGGCTCCTCCCCGCCGTGATTCTCGCTCTGGTCTCGTCTCTCTCCGCCGAAGATCGTGAAGTCCTTGCTTACTTAATCACCAGGTCACTCAAAACCACCACCGTCGTTTCCGCCGGAGGAATCAGCCCTTCTTCTGCTGACTCGAGGAAATCTAGCGATAAGAAGAGAAGTCATAAACCTCCCCTTTTTGATTGCGAATCTTTCGATTGCTACACCAGTTACTGGTCTCGATGGGATTCTTCTCCGAACCGTGAGCTCATCCACCAGATCATTGAAGCTTTCGAAGACCATCTGACCAGCGGCGAGAGCTCAGCTTCTTCCCGGAAATCAATCGGCAAAGGAAAGAAGAAAGATCGTCGCCGGGTCGTCGAACCCTCGGGTCGACCCGAAGAACCGATTGCTAAAATCGAAGAGCCCGTGGTGGGTTCCGATGAAGTCACGCCTGTGAAATCACCGGAACGATTGGCCGGTGAAACGGAGAAGGCGACGGAAATCGTGAGGTTGCCGGTGGCGGCGGCGACGACGACTGGGCACAAGGGTTTGGCGAGGAAGGTGTTACCGGACGTCTTGGGTCTATTCAATTCGCGTTTTTGGAGCCTTTTGAATCCGAACGCGTAAGGCATCTCGCTCAAAAAAGCTCCTTTTGTTGTTTTTCTTTGTGTTCTTTACAAAAATGCTGTTTTTGGAACTTAAAAACAAGCTTAAATGCTTTATTTTTAAAAACAATATAATTACTATATGATCACTCAACTTGTTATGTTGTATATTTTTTTTGTTGTTGTTGAAGAAAATGCAGGCATATTTTCTATTACTGTTCTTGTTGAGACTTATCTTTCATTTTCGTGAAAGTTTTGATTGGCTTTGAAACTGTGTTGTTTTCTTCAGTCTCTGCAATATCTTTTTCGGTTTTTCTCCATTTTGGGTTGGTGGTAAGACCCTCACTCTCTATGTTAAGTTACACAACATTTTTAGAAATTTCAATCTATTTTTGCTTAGGAACAAAGTTATAGGGATTATTAGGTAGGTTCATAGTTTCAGATGGTGGGCCAACAAATCTGTCTTTGTTTGATTAAGCAGTTCTCAAAGAGATAGTGTCTCATATAGATACTTTTAGCAACTAAAATTTGTAGTTTATATTCTTGTTTATACATTTCCCAGTTTCAGGTTATTAGATTGTATTTTCATATTTTGGGAAACCCTTTTCTGATCATGTTACCACTTTACTGGACTATTACTTTTTCTCCTGAAAAGATTTTGTCCTTGGAAAGTTATTTTAAAACACTGTTTCTTTATTTGTCTATCCAAGTTTTGTGGATTGCCTGAGAATTAGTTGGTCTGTTCTTAGAGACTGCAGAAATTTTATCCCAAAGCCAACTAGAGTGCAAGTCAAAAATTGTACTGAATAAGTGAAGGAATTTCAGGTTAAATGGAAAAACAAAATTTCAAGGCAAATTCGTTATGATTTTTTTTTAATATAAATATTATATAAAATTGCAACCCAAACCGGGAATCAATCGGATTTACAATCGAATTGAACCAAAAGTAAAAAATTAGAACCAAACCCAAAATCTAATCTTCAATCCGGTCTACGAATTGAAGGTAAACTACAGGCCGCTAAGCCCACAGCCACCGTCGCATGTACCGAATGACTCCCGCAAACCTCCTACGACATACAATGCTTTTCCACCGAATTACCTCTCTTATGATTTTTTCACTTTTCTTGTATTCAAATTTTCAATGAATTTGATTCTTTTTGCATTCACAATCTTGTTTAACAAATGCAAATGACTGAAATAAGCTCAATCTTGAGAGTTAGATTCTACACCTATCTAGAAAGACTCATCAACTACATTGTAATGCAATGAGCCTCTGTAAAAAAAAATAGAAGTATAACTGTTGAAACATTTTTTTTGTCAACCTATTGAAACATTTGTATAAATAGAAAGATGCACAATATCATAGTTGAATTCAGCGTATTTAACATAATATATACAGCAGAAAGCAAAAAACAAAGATTAGAGCAACCCTCACCGCCTCACCGTGAGGCCCTTACATGTATTTATCAGCAGTAATCTTGTTTGTGGCACAGACACACCTCTATCTCCCTTGTGTCTCCAACGTGTTGTTGATGTAATAAAGAAAGTCGGCCTTTTGGGCATCTTCTAAGAGCATATTAACCTTGTGGAAATTCGATACATGATGTAATAAAAAAATTTAACCTTGTGGGCATCTTCTTAGAGCATATTCTAAGGCCTTTTTTTCATCTCCGTTTTGATTTTCTCGGCCCATCCAAAAATATAAAATATTAAGAAAATGAGAAAGAAAATATTGTTTCTCAAGTCACTTGAGGAACACTGTCTCCTCGAATTTTGTCTCTCTTTCTCTCTCTTCGCCTAGCTCCGTCGCCGCAAGAGCGCATCTAATTCGCCGGTTTACTTCCCCAGAAGTTCTCTTCCACCATTTCTCTTTTCGATCTTCTGATGCGGCTTCCTCTGCTATCTTAGTCCCTAGCCGAAGAAGCTCGCAGGGTAGAGTTTTCGTCTCAAGGCATGGCTCTTCCGCTCGGGAAGCTTACCATCCTCATCGGTGCAGGTCCGTTCATTAATTAATGAGGTTTTGTCTTGTATTACTCTATAATTACTCGGTGCTCGAATTCTTCTCGGGTTTTTGATTGGGTTCGTCGATGGGCAATCGCAATAAGAGGATGCGAAATTAGCTTCTTCTTCTTTTTTAATAAACCCTTTTGATTCCTGTAGAATGATCACTGTGCTTGACTGGCTCTTATTCAGCACGAATTTTCTATAAGCTGTTGATCTTTTTAGTGTCCTCACTGGGTTCGTTTACTTTTCTTCGGCCAATCTGAAAGCATCGGACTTTTGATACTTGAGGGATAATTTTTAGTGTCATGTAGCCTGATATAGATGAGAAAATTATGTTCAATTTCTTTGTGAATGGCACCTACAATGCTAAATTACCCATTGCTATTGTACTGTATCAATTAACTCATGCTTAAAGTTCATCTAACTTGCTTTTACTTTAGGTCTTGTTGGGTCAGTTCTTGCCAAAGAAGGGGGCTTACCAGATGTATCTAATTTGGTCTCGGGTACTTTTAAGGTATTTGAGTTTTTATCTTACACTGCGTACAATTCTCTCTAGTAAACATCTTCTGACTTCAAAAAGTTTTCTCCTTTCCTTTATGCAACGAAATGGTGGTTGGTGAATCCTTTTGTGTTTGATGCTGTACGAAAAAAAAATGGGGTAATGGATTATTTCTGTTGACAGATGATATTTAGGCAACTGAAACAAGAAGAACCTGCCAAATCAGCCAGCAATCCCCATAAGTCTACACTTGTATCCCAGGTTAGTTTGACATGGATCTTTCTATTTGTGAGGATAGAGCTGAGTAATGTAGATTTGTTGAGGACTTGGATTTATTGTGAATCAATTGGTCTGAGCACTGCCTTTTTTTTTTATAGGTTGACAGTCTTAGGCGTGAATTGCAGTTGCTATCTTCAAACAGACCTATCACTATTGTTACGACAGCAGGATCAGGTCCTCTAGAGTTCTTCTTATGTTGGAGTTTAATATTCCTTTCTTCTGCATAAAAAATATGTGATAAATGAGCGAAATGGTTTGCCTAATATGCTGATATGAAGCAGGACATTAAAACCTTTCTCAATCTCTTACATTTGCTTTTATTTATCTGGCCATGGTTTTTGAGATCCACTTTCAGGTTTTCTTCTTCTTTTGCTACTTTTTGCATCAAAGAAGGCTGATTTACGGTCCTTTCAATTGCATTTTCTTTCTAGCATTAACAAGTCATGTCATTGATGTGACTTCAGTGTTTCTTTTACTGCTAATTGTAGCTTAAAAGCATGTAGTTAACAATTTCCTTTGATTCTCAGGTGGTAAGAAGTATGGTTTGATCATTATTATTGGGGTGATAGGCTACGGATATGTATGGTGGAAGGTAATTATACTGCACCATATTTGAGCTAGTCAAGACTTCGTATTTTGGAAAACAGTTCACTTTGTTCTTCTTGCCAATGATATTTACCCGACTCAGTTGCTTGTAGTTTCTTTCTTTATTGAAAACTGATTGGGCACTGATTTAATCTGCAACATTCTCAGGGCTGGAAACTTCCAGATTTGATGTTCGCGACAAGGCGCAGCTTGTCAGATGCATGTAATAATGTTGGCGGCCAGATCGAAGGTTTTTATACATCGCTCTCGGCAAGTTCTTATTTCCCATATTTACTCTAGCGCTCTTAAAGACTGTCTTTCTTGATTTGACTAGTGAACTCTATTCTTATCAATTGTAATGGTTCCTTTAGTGAGCTAATCCATCCAAGTGATCTAGTACAGTTTGTTGTTTTTTCTTATTCAGTTGCAGAACATCAATCTTTTGTCTTATTATGACATTTCATGACAGGGTACAAAACGGGAGTTAAGTTCAAAAATTGACGGGATGGGTCATACTTTGGATGAAAATACAGTAATTATTCAAGAAACAGGACGACAGGTATGCTAGATTGAATGTACACAAATACTTCTGGTTCACTGTGCTATCAAGGCTTTCTGATGATTCTACCTGTTTTCGTGATAAATTTTATCAAAAATGTTTAGGTAGATGAACTACGGGATGGTACAGCAAACATGAAAGATGACATTAGGTCTGTTTTCGTTGCTGTTGAAAATCTGGTGAGAAAATTTAGTAATTGCGTACATGTGTTCACCAGTTTGTTCTCCCTGGAAAAAAAATAAAAAAGAACTAACCTTTTTAATCTTCATAACTGTCAGGCAAGCAAAGTCCTTCGCATTGAGGGAAATCAGGTAACATTTGTCACAGTTGTAGTTGGAGAATTCTGTTTTGTCATCAGGCATTGTGTTGATTTAAGATTTAATTTTTCTTTACCATCCATAAAGGATATGACGCTTAAGGGAGTTGGAGCTCTGCATGCTCAGTGTCGGGAGAACATGAGAATTCAAGAGTCCAATCAGGCATGACCCTTCCCCACTGTGCAGTGCGCATTTCAGAGAACTGGTTACATATTCCTCGTATTTACCATCAACTTCTTTTATGTTTAGGCTTTGCCATCAACTTCGTCAGTGCAAGCCCTTGAGACAGCTCCTATGACACCATCATCAAGGGTAACTGACGAAATCTTTTTATCTGGTCTCACAAAAAAATTCAAAACTGTTCATCACGTTATTGGAATTGTTACCGGTCTTGTTCTGTTCTATTGCTTACTTCTCTCCGATGTTTGAATGTTAGCAGACTCTGTCTCTGCCTCCTGCTTCTCCCCGTGAATCCCAGTTGCCGTCAACCCCTAATGGAACACAACAGGTATGTTCTACCGTAGACCAGATTCGTTGATTTCAAACTAAGTTTCATTGTGCTGAGTACCGACTCTTCATTTGGACAGCCACATGGTCCACTTCAACACACACAGTCTATGTCTGGTTTAAAGGAGATAAGTGAAAGCTCTAGCAGCCGCGAGACTTTTTCCAATTCTGGAGAAGCCATGGGAAACACGAGTTCAGGCCTGTTTAGTATGTTCTCAAGACCAAGAATAACGAGGACTCGTAGTGTGGTCAACGCAGTGCCTGCTAAATCGAGCGGACCCCAATAGAGTGGCTTGTCGAAACTAAGGGGAGAGAGTTTGATCATTCTAATATTATGATCATAAAAAACCAAAAAAGGGGTAACTGCGAGTATAGAGTAGAGGATTTGAGTACGTTTTGTATCAAAAATGTCATAAATGGTGCAAAATTTTTGTAGGGATGCAGGCTTTATATTTAATTGGAATATACTGTATGTCACAATTGATCAATTCGTTGCTCTGCCCTTTTGTAATTCAGTAATACAGGAGGTGGATGATGGTTTTGTCTGGCCGTCTCTTCTGTTTTCTTTTTGTATTGAAAGAAAGGCTGGTCCTTCTATACTGCACTTTTCTAATAAGGCGTACAGTTGTGTAATTCGAATTAAGTGAAATGATAAGAGATTGTATCATGTCTTCTTTGATTAAGTTAACTACTGAGTTTGACGATATGAGATCACTATTTAAGTCAATTACTAGCAAGAGAGAACCAGTACCATTTTTGTTTAATGTTGTTTCTACTGGTAGCTCAAAATAAACAAATCATCTACTAAATACACTTGCCCACTGCTTCTTTGTTAACCCTAATATTTGAATGAACAAACTCTTTTCTTCAGTTAGTAAGCACTGAGTTGACCGCACTAAGAGTCCTCACTATTCTTGGCATTGAAAACCTACCAAGCACACCCGCACTCGAGCCTGATGCACCATTTCCCGTGGCTTTCCCTGAACACGTTCCATCTGAAAAAGCCTTGTGACTGCTAGAGCTTTCACTTATGTCCTAAGACCCGAGTTTATAGAAAATTGTTTTAGGTTAGCTTTGACGCATATTGATGCTCAAAACTTGAGGGATAGAGGGGAAGGAAGATATATAGAATCTTTACCTTCAAACCAGACAAAGACTGGGTGTGCTGAAGTGGACCATGTGACTGCCCAGATGAAAAGTCAGTACTTAGTAAAACGAAATTTACTTTTTATTGGGCAACTCTGTTTTGAGATAGAACAAACCTGTTGAGCTCCATTAGGGGCTGACGGCGACTGGGGTTCACGGGGAGAAGCAGGAGGCAAAGACAGAGTCTTCTAACATCAAAACACCAGCGAGAAATAAGGAATAGAAATACAAGACCTAATAGCGTGATGAAACAGTTGAGATTCATTGCGAGACCAAATAAAAGACTTAGTCATTTACCCTGGAAGATGGTGTCATAGGAGATGCCTCTAGGGCTAGCATCGATGAAGTTGATGGCAAAGCCTATACATAAACCAAGTCTAGGTCAATAAGATGAAAATTGAGAAGGCTCACGCCTGACTGCGTAGCCTTTCCATAAAACGAACTGCACAATAAAGAATGCTCATGCCTGATTGGACTCTTGTATTCTTCTGTTCTCTCGACACTGAGCATGCAAAGCCCCAACTCCTTTAAGCGTAATATCCTATATTGACGGCAAAGAGATTCAAATTCGATCAACACATTGCCTGATGAGCAATATAAAGTTTCCAACACAACCGTGAGAAATGTTACCTGATTTCCCTCAATGCGATAGACTTTGCTTGCCTGATAATTACGAAGACTACAAGGTTACCTCTTTTATTTTTATTTTTATTTAATTTTTGCAGGGAGAACAAACTGGCTAACACATGTATGCAATTACTAAATTTTCTCACCAGAGTTTCAACAGCAACGATAGCAGACCTTACGTCAATCTTCATATTTGCTGTACCATCCCGTAGTTCAGTAACCTAAACATTTTGATGAATTATAAAGAAAATAGGAAGAATCATCAGAAGTCCTTGACAACGCAGTGCAACAAAAGTATTTGTGTACATTTAATCTAACGTACCTCTCGTCCTGTTTGTTGAATAGCTTCCGTATTTGCATCCAAAGTAATACTCATCCTATCAATATCTGAACTTAGCTCCCGTTTCGTACCCTGCCATAACAGAAAGAAAATGAGACAAATATCAATGTTCGCAATTGAGTTGATAAGTAAAAAAATGTATATCTCACGAAAGAAACCATCATAACTGATAAGAATAGAGCTCAGTATTCAATTCACGAAAAATTAGTAAGCGAACAGTCTTAAAGAGAGATATAGACACTAAGGGAAGTCCAACTTGCCGAAAGCGATGTGTAAAAACCATCAATATGGTTGCCAACATTATTACATGCATCTGATAAGTTGCGCCTTGTCGCAAACATAAAATCTTGAAGTTTCCAGCCCTGAGAATGTTCCAGAAGTATTAAGTGCTCACCAAGTTGTAAATAACCAAAAATAAGAAGAAAGTAATTTCAGAGTTTAGATGAATTGACTTGGCAGGAGAACCGAATCGTAAATTCGAGGTCAACATTAACTTAGATAAGCAAGTAAAATAATTTAAGCAGCTCCGGTATGGTGAAGCATTACCTTCCACCACACATATCCGTAGCCTATCACCCCAATGATAATGATGACACCATATTTTCTACCACCTGTGAATTGAACGAAAATTTTAACTATTTTCATCCGAGTTTTGATTTAACAGTAAACACATAATCATGTTACTGTAATGAAATGACTTGATGATGCACCGATCAGAACATAAGTCCGCCTTGTTTGATGCGAAAAAAGTGGTAAAAGAGAGAAAACCTGAAAGAGGATTTCAAAAAACAGTGGCCAGCAAGAAAAATATGTTTTAAACCAATCGACAAGTTTCATATGAAACCAATCTTTTTCATATTGATGCAGGTGAAGAATACGAAACTCTATTATAAGAAATAAAATAAACTCCAGAGGACCTGATCCTGCTGTCGAAACAATAGTGATAGGTCTGTTTGACGCCAGCAACTGTATTTCATTCCTAAGACTGTTAACCTACCAAACAAACAAAAAAAAAATAGAGCTGATTCACAATAACTCCAAGTCCTCAACTCAAATCCTGCTCTATATTACCCAGTTCTATCCTCATCAAACAAAAGATTCATGTCAAACTAACCTGGGCTATAAGTGTATCATTGCGAGGATTGCTGCCTGATTTGGCAGGTTCTTCTTGTTTCAGCTGCCTAAATACCATCTGTAAAGAGAGACAAAAGCGTTACTCCCAATTGTTTTTTCTTTTGAACAGCATCATACACACATGGACTCGTCAAGCTATTGCACAAGATAGAGATTTGAATACCTTAAAAGCACCCGAGACCAAGTTCGAGACAACTGGTGAGCCCCCTTCTTTAGCTAGCACTGACCCAACAAGTCCTAAAACAACATTTGGAAAACACACAATTTTGTAAAGGGAGTAATTTGGATGATCATTAATCATCTACGCTAAAACAACCGATACAGAAAGTTCGCATTCACTGAGAAATCAAACATAAACTTCTCCTCGTCCCTAGTAAATAGCTGTCACGACTCACGAAGAGCGACAAATTCCAGTGTATTCAGGGGAAGCTATTATCCAAATTTCCAAATCCAATACGCCATACAACACTGAATTATCAACAGTCTTAAAACTAGAGCGATAGAAGCGTCGATGGTTGAGAGCCAGTCAAGGACACTGATATTTTTCTATAGGAATCAAAGGGTTTATCAAAAACTCTAATTTCTCATTCTCTTATTGCGATCCACCCATCTACGAAACCAATCTAGAAACCAAAATTAGTCACTAATACAAGAAATACCCAATCATGCACAGACCTGCTCCGAGGAGGATGGTCAGCTTCCCGAGCGGAAGAGCCATAGCCATGCCTAGAGACGAGCTTATACAGCGAAAGACTAAGATGGCGACAAAGGAATCGATACGAGAAGATGGAAAAGAGAATTGGTACAGAGAGAGAGATAGCTGCGGGGAGGAATCGGCGAGACAGAGGCGCTCTTGTGACGACGAAGTGAGGCAGAGAGCGAGAGAGAAAGGCGACGTGCGACTAATATTGCTCGCTTGTTTAGGCAAACTAAAACCAAACCGAGATTTTTTCGGTCTCATTCGGTCTATCCTGTGATCACAATTCACAAACAATACCTGGTCCAATTAATTTATAAACCGTTGAGGTGAAGAAGGATCATCAATGCCGTTCAAAAAAATAATAATAATAACCCCGAACTATTTATTATTTTTCACTAATTTCGAACTATTTTAAATAAATTTGTAGTGAAAATGAAAAGATAAAAAAAATTTTAAAAATCACACCTCATTGCTTTGAAACAAATTGAAAATGAATTTGATTTCACATTAATTTCACTCTCAATAGTCAATACCCTCCCCCCCCCCCCAAAAAAAAAAAAATAAAATAAATCAACATCAAAGTATGCCACCTAATTATGTCATGAACCATTTCAATGAACGAGATAACCATAACAGATTATAAGTTAAACACTTATTTTATCAGAATTCGCATTCTTCCTTAATTGATAATAAAGAGAAATACAGTTACAAAAAAAAATATTAATAAAAAGGAGAGAAATACAGTCTTGCGTTGAATCTAAGATAATGACGGTTATGTTATCTCAATCGGTAGTCTAATAGGCATTTAGGTTATCTCGCGTGAGTGCCTTCTATAATTGAGTTGAATATGGATATGAAAAGAATACACATCTTGGCACAAGATATATGTTTACCCAACACAAGTGCATCTTGGTTACTCAACACAAGTGCATCTTGGCACAAGATATATGTTTGAGGTTGTATTCGTCTTCCATCTCAATATCTTGATCTCTAGTAGATAATAGTTTATGCACATACAAATGTTACTCCCACATGAATTTGCATGGGTAAACACATCCCTTTTGCCCAATTACAAATAGGTTACTCCCGTATGAAATTACAAGTCTATAGTTGATAATATTTCCTTAAATTTGTCACATCACACATGGTCATAAAACTATGTTCGTAACTCGTAACTTCTGGAAAAAAAAAAACTTGGTTTAAAATGAAACTTTCGCATTTCCTTGTCTGAAATTGCCTGGTATTTGTTGGAGTCTCATAAAATTTTCTTTTGAGTTTCATTTTTTGATATTTGATTCCGTGTTTAAACACGATAACTTCTATAAATGCATTTTCTCCTCCTTTAGTTTCCAAATGCGTCACTTATTAACTTAATAATTACCTATTCGATGCGGAAATGTTCAAAACGAGGCATGTTTTGTCTAATGCCTATAAACATATATACGATTTGTCTTTGGAACACACACAGTTAAAAAACCGAAAGCAAATATGTAAAAAATCTGCGTTTATCAATGTCGTTAACTAAAATTCCCGCAGGTTGGTCACGAATCAGCCTCAGGTTCATCACGTACCATCAGCTTCAGGTTGGTCCTTGTACATATGCTGAGCTTTTTCAAGCAATTCCCAATTCTTTGTCATTCTTTCTATTTTTTTATTTAATTTCTTTCGTGCATACTTCTTTTTTAGAACAATAAATTTGAATTTAAAAAAAAAAATCCCGCTACAAACATTTTTAAAATGTAAGAAGATGATTGAACCCAAAACTGAGAAGTCGAAACCTCATTACCTGTAGGCTGTAGCCATTGACCTATCATAGGTATGACATTTTAATATTTAGTTAGGGAAAATGAGACTTTAAACAATTGCTTTAACAATCTAATGGTTTTACGAGCTTTAGGCAAGGATCGATCCGATCTGATAGCAACATTAAACTGGAAAAATCGTTAGTGTGTTTAACTTGTTTCTTTCTCATATCTCTGTTTCTACTTGTCATCTCTTGCATTCAAACGGACATTATATCCAGTGCCGTGCGAAGACTTCTAGAGGCTTGAGGCGAGTTTAAAAAAATCGACATGTGTAATTTTAAAAAACTAATAAATGATAGATAAAACTCGAACTGTTATAAAAAAATATATATTACATTTTCTCTATAATGTTTTTTCAAATTATTACTATCTATAAAAACGTTTCCGGATCATTACAAAAGAGAATTGAAATCATGACATAAAAGAAAGGTCAAAATTATGGATCGAGATGTTAGTGGCTCTTAAAAAAAATAATTAGAAAGTTTAGGACTTTTGTTAGAAACTAATCAAACTAATTGGAGAAAAAAAACTATTTTTAAACAATAGGAAGAACCAAACTCAGGTAAAGACTCAACAAAAAATGTGCATGAACCATTACACTAAAATTAATTTTTGGGAATTATGGACTCCAAAATGTTTATAATTTAAGGAGCCTGGGGCAAATGCCTTTTTTATATAGTCATAGGCACAGCACTGATCATATCTTCGTGTAAAAAAAACACAAACTTATATAGGTTCTTAGGTTTCACAAGGATTGAAAAATTATATCTTCGATGTCTTAAGTCCCTATTTAATTAAGTGACAACTTGTTTAATAGTTTTGTTTTGGAAATTTAGTAGTGGACTGTGGATATAAGTAAAGGAAAATTTGTATGCGTTTGTAATTTGTAAATGAATCTTTGATAGTAATACTGTTCAAAACCAAATGAAATTTACACAAGTATGAACCATATATATGTCTTGGAGACTGATGAGACCTTTTAGTGCATAATGACTATGAGTCTAAGACCACAGTAACTTACTATATATTGCAGGACGGTGAAAAATACAGAGGCTGGTCCCAAAAACTCAACCCCACTCAAAAAAATAAAAATCAGACGTGACTTCTTTGAATATAAACCCATCTTTCTATTTTTGGCAAGGAGGTCCCCTTCCCATTACGTCTTGACGTGGACCCTGTCCGTCTAATTTTAGCAGCTTAATCCGACGACTATTATACCTTCTTCGACCCTCCACGACATCGGTTTAGAGCCGTCCGATTCAATCTCACGCCAATGGACCACATCACCAGTACTCCGCAACTTAGCTGTCGTGTAGGATTTCACGTGGCATTTATTTGTTCTAGTTTGTAGTGCAAATCGCAAGTTGATGTGTGGTCCCTACCGATCATCACCGTCTCTCCTTTAGCATCGTTGATTCTTCTTTCTTTCCTACGTGTAATAGCATTCTTGTAGATTTGAGATCTCACAATGACCGTTGGATCTCATCGATGGATCTATCCTTTGGTGTGTCATAAGTTCCCAAAGCGATAAAAAAGAGTATTTCCAAGTGCTTCTTTCTTTCTTTATTTCTTTCTTTCATATTAACTTCTGTTTTTCTTTTGGTATGCTTTAGAGGTAGAAAGATTATTCGGCGATATAACCACTTTTACGAATTATATATATCTTACAAGATCTCGCGTCATATCATTAAAATATAGTATATGCCTTACAGAGATTTTTTTGTTCTTTGGATAACAGCTTTAGAGAGACTTCATCAAGAATGTCTTGGTGTTTCTTGAAATGTTTAAAAACTAAAAATAGTACCATTGTTGGTCTCATACCTTGTAGATATCCACCACATATATTATCGATAAGGAATATTTGCAAGTTCTTATAAAATAGTACAGCAAGAGAAGGAAATATAGAGGATCATTGGTATGATGACATCAATAAATAAATAGTTGAATGTACTTTAGTTTCTCTTTTGGTTTAATGCACATCATCTTTATCAATTGTCGTCATCTTACATTGAATTACATGACCAGATCTGATAAGATGTGAATTCGTACTTGGCTTACTTGTCTTCTGGTACCCTCTTCTAACTAATTTTGATGTTAACCAGTAAATTTTCTTTTCTTCAGTTTTTACCGAAATTAAAGCAAATCAACACATCATAGTGTAATAATGAGTAAATTTGCTTATTAGGGACGAATTACGCATGCAGATTTGGTTGGAATTAATGCTTATAAGATCAAGAGCTGGAGATTGATCAACTTGCAAATCAAAGAAGAGAAGCTTATATAACCAAACAGAATAATAATGCTATGTTTAGTTTTTCTAATTGAATCATACCTTTGTGTCCATCACCTACTTACCGGTCAAAATAAAGCAATTACGTCTTCAAACAAAAAGCACTAGGAGTTTTGGTCAGACATGATCTCTAACATCGGACGAACCCTAAGATAACCAAAATAAACTATAGCTTATATTCAAAACTCTGTTTATTTTATCCATTTATGTTTTCTTCCCCCAAAAAAATTCTTGTATCTCAGACTCTCATACCAAACTAGTCATCATCAGATATGGTAGTGTTTTATAAACAAGAACAAGAAAGAGAAATATAATTCTTTCTAAGACTATTGTTATATTATTTTCTACTTCGATAGAATTAAGTACTAGTGTGACTTCACGAACAGAGTTATCTACCATTATATATATATATATATACTTTAGAAAAAGAAAACAAATCTAGCAGTAAGAATTTAGGTATTATTACAACATAAATGAATCACAAAAAAAGGGTGTTTTTACCTTACATTTTACACCAATCACAAGGGTAGTTCCGTAAGTTGAGAAAATCGTACGAGGCTTCACCTAGTTAAGGTTAGGTCACATGATTCCCTGAACTCGATTAGAAAAGTAAAAACAATTAAAATAAAATAAATAAATAAAAAATCAGGTGAATTTATCAGACCCTACCATCCAACTATCGACACGTGTCTAAACTCATTCATTGCCCTACTCTTTTCAGTTTAGGGTTGCCATCACTCATCGTCCCACGCGCCTATCTCTTACTCTCATCTTCCATTCTCCACCGTCGATTTTAATCTCTCATTTTCAACATCACTTTTACGAATCCGTCCGATTATAAATATCTATGTCTCTCTCAACATATTTAACTTAAAGCTTATGGTTTTAAATGTTAGGGTTTTATGTTGGCATTCCAAATTAATCCCCCATAAATCGAAGTAAAAAAAAAAAAGCATCCAACTTTCTTTAACAGGGCCGAAATCACATTTCTATAAACTAAAAAAGATTGAAACTGAAACCACTACAAGTGTTGGTGAGAGACCCTTTCTCTCTTTTTACCAATTATGTATAAACAAAAAAAAGTCTCAATTTCGAAAATATCTAAGCATCGATAGAGCAATTAGCATTTTCTGTTTTTGCAATATTTGCATAAATCCTATGAGGTGTTTGGAACTTGTAAGTAGTACACAATAATTGGTGGGTATATATATATATAGTTGAAGCTGAGAGTATATATATAAATAAAGAGAATATTTATGAAAGATCCAAGTAATGAAGCTGAATGTACTTGAGAGAAGTGTTGTGTTATTGTACAAATGTATACATGTACACATTTAAAAAAGTTAGAAAAATAGAAAGAGAAATAAAATTAAGAAAAAGAGAGAGAGGGAGAGACTCATATATATAGAATTGCAAGGGGAGAGAGAGAGAGAGAGAGAGAGAGTGAGAAAGATTAAGAGAAAGAAAAAAAGAGAGATGGGAAGAGGAAGAGTAGAGTTGAAGAGGATAGAGAACAAGATCAATAGGCAAGTGACGTTTGCAAAGAGAAGGAATGGTCTTTTGAAGAAAGCATACGAGCTTTCCGTTCTTTGTGATGCAGAGGTTGCTCTCATCATCTTCTCAAATAGAGGGAAACTGTACGAGTTTTGCAGTAGTTCGAGGTATTTTCTTTATCCATTTTTATCTCTATATATGCATTGATTTGATTTTTATATAAAGTTTTTTTTTTTGTATTAAAAAATATACATATCTATATGTGTTGTATGGGTCTCTGATGTGTTTGTGTCGTACGTGTTTTCTTTCATCCTTTAAAAGAAATCTAAGAGGAAATTTTAGTTTTTTGGGGATACCCATTTCTGATCATTTTAAAAGATTTTATATATAGCTTTATTTGATGTTTTTTGAGTTTCTGATGATTTCCATTTTTGTGTTTCTTCTGTTTTACTTCTGTTTTGTTTTTCTTTACATCAACGTTTTGTTGCAGATCCTATATATATATATATATATATGCTTAGTTTGTTTCTCTATACTTAGAATTTCTGCTTAGTTTATAACTGATATCCTTGAGTAATTTAGCTTATTCGTCTGTCTAACATGTTTCTCATAACAGCCATCAATCTGATATATGAAATTATTAGGGTTAATTTCTCCTGTCTGCCAATGAAATTCGATGATTAATTAGGGTTTCTCTTGAAAAGATTCTTCACAGCTAATTAAAAGTTTCGACCTTTTGATTATCAGAGGTAGTCCAATATCCGATCAAATCACTCAAGTTTTCAGTCATATTGAGAAGTTCTTTGGGGTTTGATTTAACTTTGACGACTTCTTGTTTCCATGGCTACTCACTTTAATCAATTAGTAACCCTTAGGGCTCCTAAATTTGGTTTGAATTTTGACGTTTGGTTTGAATTTTGACGCCAATGTCAAATTCATCTAATATCCATTGAATATTTACCTCAGATTCATCCCTCTTTCTGGGTTTTCTCTGAAAAGACTCCCAGATTTTTGTGTAAACCCTAGGCAAAAAAAAAAAAAACCCAATTTTTTATTTGACCTGATGTTTCAGATTGCAAAATTTAACTTGAAAATTTGAGTCGGCTCTTGAAAAAAAATGACTTTTGCTGTGATGTAGCATGCTTCGGACTCTGGAGAGGTACCAAAAGTGTAACTATGGAGCACCAGAACCCAATGTGCCTTCAAGAGAGGCCTTAGCAGTTGTACCCTCTTCTCTTTCTTCTTACCTTAAAAAATTCTACTTTCTGCTTTAATTTATGCTTTGCCTTTGGTTCATTATTAATGTTCAAATTTTGTTGAAGCAGGAACTTAGTAGCCAGCAGGAGTATCTTAAGCTTAAGGAGCGTTACGATGCCTTACAGAGAACCCAGAGGTAACTCACCAACTCCTTGAGCTACTGCTACTAGAGATGTTTATTTTTTTGGTGATTTTTTTTGGATGATTTCTTGAAATAGGAATCTATTGGGAGAAGATCTTGGACCTCTTAGTACAAAGGAGCTTGAGTCACTTGAGAGACAGCTTGATTCTTCCTTGAAGCAGATCAGAGCTCTCCGGGTACGAATTGCCCAATTTCTCATATATATCTTACTCTAATGATGTCTATAATAACTAAGATGCTATATCAAATTTGGGTCTCTGCAGACACAGTTCATGCTCGACCAGCTCAACGATCTTCAGAGTAAGGTAACCAAAATAAAAAACTGAATGATGAAGAAATGACATTATTCATCTATATGTGCTAATTATAGTCGGAAACCTTTAATATTTGGAGCAGGAACGCATGCTGACTGAGACAAATAAAACTCTTAGGCTAAGGGTAATATATACTTTCTCATTTCACAATAATTGCATCAGCTTGGTTATTATAATCTAATTACTAATCTCACTATACAAGTGTGTACGTGGCAGTTAGCTGATGGGTATCAGATGCCTCTCCAACTCAACCCGAACCAAGAAGATGTTGACTATGGTCGTCATCAACAACAACACTCCCAAGCTTTCTTCCAGCCTTTGGAATGTGAACCCATTCTTCAAATCGGGTAACTTACTTCAAATCTAATTAACCAATTTTGGTCTCTATTATATTGTGTTGTTTCAGATTTGTTTAGGATCTTGATTAAACATCTCTTTAAGATTTATATATAATATATGGAGCAGGTATCAGGGGCAGCAAGATCATGGAATGGGAGCAGGACCAAGTGTGAATAATTACATGTTGGGTTGGTTACCTTATGACACCAACTCTATTTGAATCTTTCTTGATTTTTTTTTTGGTGTGGACATTTTAAAACTTTCTCATCCACTCTTAGGCTACATGATGATGATTACCTCTCTCTTTCTCTCTGTCTCTCTGTCTCTCATTTCTGTCTTGTGTGCATGTGTGTGTGTAATGTTAATTATGTCCTTCTATAATCCAATAATTTTGTTCAACAAATTTTCACCCCCAAAATTGGCCACTGTCACACGAAAAAGTTTTGTTTCAAGTATGTTTCCAGCTCCAAAATCTTTATTTACTCCCATTTTATGTTATATAAGTCTTTGTATGAATATTATTAACAATTAACAATAGTTTTAACTATAGTGTATATTGGATAATATAACTCAAATGACGACAAAAAAAAAGGATAATATAACTCAAACTACCTAAAGGCTAAAGCCCACCAGCGGAAAGGAAGAAGTTGTTATCTATCTGTTAAGGAGAAACCCACTGGGTATTTATCTATATATAGGTGCACATCTAAAATGTATCATTTTGGGCTATCTCTCTATGGGCTTATAGAAGACTCGACTGATGAACAACACATCAAAAATTCACTAAACCGACCTTAGCTTTAAATCAGAACCAGAAAGAAAATAATTATATATAAAAAAAAACCGATCGGAGAATTTAACAGCATAAGTGCGAGGCACATGCAAATCATGCAAACTTTCATTGCAAATGCAAGTTTGTTGTTGAACAAATGAAGAATAAATTGAAATGCGTTTTGAACATATTTAATCTTTGTGACCTTAAATAGACTAGGCCAGCAGTAACTTTGTTTTGTCACTCTAGAAACCTAACTTAAGACTTTCATCTCCACCCAAATAAATGTGCTATAAGGTTAATGGTTAATCATTACAAGGAAGCTAATAACAAAATACTTCATTATTCACCTAAAAATTTCAGTATTCCACAAATTCTTTCTATTTCCAACTCGAAGAGCTGGATTGAATAGACCGACAATGAAAAAGTGCAGCCAGTCTACTAAAAGACATGAGTAACTCTCTCTTATTTGATTGAAAAAAAAAAATCTCATATATAAGTCAAAAAAATCAAACAAATTAAAAATAAGAAAAAGAGCACAGCAGAAAACGACTTCTCTGGTATGATTGGAACAAATTTATTAGAGAGAAGAGAGAGAAAGAGAGGTTAGATAAGAATGTGGTAGAAGATAAGGCCCTACACGTCATCGAGGGACCCACATCTCCTCTCAAATTGTCTTCCACCTCCCAATTTAACCATCTTCTTCATACTCGCCTCTCCATCGCGTGTTCCCACGCGCACTCTTTTCTTTATTGTTGTTGTTGCTTTTCTCGTTATCCAAACACGATTCTGCTTTTACTGGATTTTCTTTTATTATATATATAAAAAAAAAAAGTCTTTGCAGAGAAGTTTCAATTCCGCGTCTGTGTTTCTTTTGTCTTCCCCAAGAGGATTATCGTCTCCATTACTCCTTAGTTTTTGAAAATCGCCATTAAACCTTCTTTTTCTTCAATCAATCTGCGTATTATCCACTCACCTTGGTTCTCGCGACACTTTTTGTCGAGGAAAATATATTGGAACTTTTTTTTTTTACTGCGATTTTGGAATGATGAGAAGGCAGCGAGATCAGGATTCTAGGGTTTTCTACGATCTATCGGCTTTGGTTTTGAGTCTCCTTCGTTCTCCTCCGATGCCGATTTCTCTCCCCGATCGATTTCCGGATTCACCTAACCCATCGGGTAGGATTCGAGCTCCGTCGCATCGGTTTTCGTCATCGAACGCGTTGACGCATATATCTCCGTCGGGCTTCGCGTCTCTGCTTCTCGGCATATCGGTGGCTCTTATGCTCTGCGGATCTGTGACTTTCTTCATCGGCTTCCTCTTGATGCCTTGGGTTCTGGCTCTCATCATGGTTTTCTACGTCGCCGGGATCGTGTCCGCCATTTCCATGGCTGGGAGGTCAATCCTCTGTTACGTCTTGGCGCCGCCTTCTCCCTCCGGAAAGGAGATTTCTGGTAATTTTTATTCAGATTATGTTTGTCAAAGGCTTTCGTTTAGGAGCTTTTTTGTTATAGATCATCCAAATTTCCTCTTCTTGATTATCTCGAAATGATTCAACTGGGTATGATTCTTTTAAGATCTTGTTGGAAATGGAGTTTCGAAATTTAGGGCTTTAATTAGGATTTACGTTACGTGAAGGCATTTTTCTTGAAAAGCAATAAAGCAAAATCAGAATACCAACATTCATTTTTCACATTTCGTTTTCATTCTTGTGGTTTACTTCTCTTCTGAAACTAAAGCTATGTTTTTTTTTTTAATGGCAGAGTCATGTTTATGGGTTGCTTCTTCTTGCAATAAAATTGTTACATAATAAACTCACAATGTTTGTTTTGGCATATTATCCTCAGAATGGAAGCTTTTGTGAAGTGACAAACAACAAGCAGCTTAAAGCTCTATCATCGGGAAACAGAGCCGAGCAGGACAAAAGATGGATTAATTATAAACACAATCCAATAGAGTTTTTCTATGTTCTTTATCTGTATTTTGAGGTGGAGTTGGGGGAAAAATCTTGTGGATATTTGGGAGTTTTATATTTCTTTTTTTACGTTTAAAGGGGAAAAAAACAAGATTTTCTATTTTACTGTTAGGAATAGAGAAGCCTTTTTATTTGTGCTTTCATCGATATGGTTTTTGTTATGTAATAACATGATTTCTTAAAAAGCACACAAAAGATTTTAGGATTTGGACTGTATTTTGTTTCGATTTTCTGTCTTTTCTTCCGACTAGCCGTCAAACAACATTGGCTTCTTAACATCAAAACCAAACGAGTTAAGATCCAGATTGAGAAGAAGCTTAAACCAAACGTGGCTACCTGGAGTAAGATTGTATCAGAATCAAAGTCAAGCCAAATCCTTATTAGTCTAAATCGTATCAAATCGGAATCAATTTGGTTTTGATTTAACTACTGTATAGCTTTATATTGGAATCGAATGAACAAACCAAACCGAAACACACACTAAACCAAAAAATCGAATTCCAACAACTCAATTTCTATATGTTGTTGAATGAAAAAAGGTGGAGGTGCCGTGAGGTATTCAAGAAGCGGTCAATAGATGTTACGTGTCCAGCTAGGACTTACGTTCAAGACACAAACAAAGACTAGTTAAAAGAAAGAGAGAGAGAGAGAGCGGCGGAGAGGTTAGTGAAGAAGAAATGGAGTCGAGTGAGGATGTGGAGGTTCTGAGCAGAGCCATCGAGAAACTTCTTGATGACAAGAGGAAGAGAGAAGCTGCTGGTGACGCCTTCATCGAAGACGATGATGATCAGCTTTTGCTCTCTAGGCTTATCTCTCAGGTACCTTTCTTCCTCAAATTCGATAATCTGAATCTGATGTTGCCGCCCCCAATCAACTTTTCTTGGTACAAGATTGAATATGATGTCATTGACTTTGCGAAATTCGAACGAGTCTGTGTGATTGTTCCGTTGTGACGAGTGCTTTGATTTGGTGAAATCCGCTTGGTCTGATCTACCCATGAATCGAACAATTGAATCCAAGCTGTTTGTCCTATAGCCTGTCAATTATCACAATTTTGTTCCCAACGAAGCTCCAATTCGGTATGGTTGGATCATTAAAAAAGTAGATCAACATTATTTTTTTGTTGGTTTGTCAGTGTCTACTTATTCCTATATGAACAACTTGAGTCTAGGGGATGTAACAGTAAGCTTATCTTCTCAAATTATTGTGGCTAAACAAAAGCCCCCATTCTCATAAAGTAAAAGTACCGTTTGTGTTTTGTCAAGTTGATGGTTTTGATGCCCAGAACATTCTCTGTAATTGGCATTGTGTGAATGACCTCCTATTCCCGTTTCAGGGCTGATGCTATTTTGTTTGTTTATAACTCAGTTGGAATCACCAAACCAAAAAACTGTTGGGACTACCAAAGAAGAAGAAGAAGAAGAAGAAAAAGAATCGCTACACTCCTCAGCATCCAAAGGAAAACGCGAGGGGAAGAGACATTTGGAAGAGAGTGTAGAAGAGATAGCGAAAGACATCAAGGAGGTGAAGAGGCAGAACAAAGTAACCCATATACTGCTCTCGGCTTTGATCATCTTGACATTGACTTGGCAGCTCTCTGAGTACTCAATGATTTTCATGCTGAAAGACAGAATAAGCCACCCAATCAGATCCATCGGAGGTATGTTTTCTGGGATATTCAAAGATAAGATACCTCCTATCAAGAAGAAACTTCCTGGGGCTTCCACTTCCAAAGAGGAAAACAACACAAACGCTGGAGTTCATGTCCAAGTGCCCGAGCTGTTGCGAGAGTTCGGTTTCGAAGATGATGATAAATGATTAGCTTTCGTTTGTTACAGTTTTATAAGTAATACAATTGCAGTCTCGAAATAGGGGTCTCACCCTCAATTGTTTCTTATTTTCAGTGTAGTGTACTTTTGTATACGATCAAAATGGAAAAGAGTAGTTATTTTCATATGAATAAGGGTTTCCAAAAGGAGAAGCATATTTCAAAATAAACCTTTGTTTGATAATAAGCACTTACTGAATCATGGATAAATGCCCGAAAACAAACGGAGTCATCTCAAACCAAAGTAACAAAAGAGCTCCATTGATTTTAAATTAAAAAAACAGACAGCAAAACACTTGAAACAAGCTTCAGTTTCCTCCCATCAGTCTCCTTTTGGCTTGTAATAATGGTTCATAAACCCCTGCCACCACATTCCTCAGGCATAGTTCAACCTGAATATGTCATTGTGCACATAGTAGCTTCCTTGTGCCGTCGGCATCAAGTGAAACATCTGGGCGCACACACATAAGAAACGTATCTCAGGAATTTTTTTAATGAACACGGCCAAATATAAACAACCATGCACATCCATCAAATTTATATGGGCAAAGACATAATATCCAGTGTGTGTTCCGCAACACGTTCCGCAACACGAGAGATGCATATGTAGCTCATTTTGTGTAGGTCAAGTTGATGTGAAAACAAATCGCACTTGTCTCGATGCGTATCCACCGTTTACATTCCACTAGTTTGATGATGTTCACACGAAAATGATAACAAAGACACAAGCAGTACCATGAAAATGAAACTCAAAGACTATCTACTAATGCAAACGTATTAATTGGCTTCTTATAGGAGAGAGCTAGTAAAGAGTCTTCAACTTTAAAAAGACTAACAGCAGATGATATACACACACACACAAGATCCACATTGGAGACTTATAGAACAAAGGCAACTTAATTGAACGCATCATATCGTAGCAAAGTTGACAAACACCTAGAAGAAGAAGCATGGAAATACCACTTTTCCTAGCAAACCGATGCAACAATCACGAAGCAGAAGCAAAGAGAGGCTTTACAAGGCAAAAATCAAAAATGTCAGAACCAGATGACACGAGATTACATGTACGCAACCATTGGTTAACTCCAACATATTCCCGGATCTATCACTAAAGACATCAAGGAGGAGAGAGGTCTGAAAGTTCGAGACAATTTCAGATCGTTCAAGCTTCTTATTAACCTAATAGCATATCGATCTATAACAAAGCACGATTAAAACCCTAAGACCCTATCGTTCTTTCTCATCAACACTGAGAATCGAAAGTTCTCTAGATCGAGGGAATGAGATTTGGAAAAACCTGGCTGAACTTGAGAGCGTGCTGTTCGCCAGCGAGCTGCAGATTGCCGGAGACAAAGACGACCATGCCGCCGGCGGGACCAGAGGGCTGGCAATCGACGGTGGTGATGTTGTGCTTGCACTGCTGGAAGGGGAGGCTCGTGAGCTTGGCGACGATGTTCTGAGAGCCCTGGATCTTCTGGCCTTCGAAGGTCAACATGGATCCTTCCTGGTACAGAGAAACCAATCCTGCGCGATTGGCGTCGAAGGTGGAGTAGTAGTGCTCGACGAAAGCCTTTGAAATTGCGTCTGGATCCATCTCTGTCGTCGTCGTCTTCTTCCTTTGATCCTTGTCTCCGTCTCTCTCTCTTGGGTTCGTGCTTTCAAGAGTAGAGAGAAACCGAGAGGGTGAGAGATAAAACTGAACAAAAATCAATCGGCCAAGACGAACAGATACTTAAAGGGCTCTTAACGATACTTGAGCCTATTTGGGCCCATTAATATTTGCGTATCAATCAATGATGTTGTTAATGTTTCAAGAAGCTTATATCGGACCGGCAAACCCATGATGAACCAAAGATGGATAAAACTGTCTTTAATCTGTGAGGCTGTGACAATTTTTTTTTAATATTTAATGTGATTTAAATTAAAAATTGCAAACAACTAGAAAAAGATATGTTTATATCTTCAGATATTGACACATGTTAAACAGGTGACGTATCAGAGAAAAAAAGAAAGAATGCTTCTCTATTAAAGGAGCTGTATATTGAAATATTGAAATTGGAAAAACCGGATTATAGGTCATTTGACTAAGAGCTTTGTGGGTTATTGCTTGCTTTTTTTTTTTTTTTATGTATTTTAGTTTTGATAATGGCCAAACATTTTTGTCACTTTACCAACTACTGCACCCCATCTCATAATAAATTCTAACACGCCTTTATTTATTTTCAATTTTATTATTGGAGGGTGAGAAGTGAGACTAATATATATGCTTTTGTTCCCCTCCACGTGGGCCCCCTTTCCTTTTTTTTTTTCTTCTGCTGCGGCCGTTTATTTTTTTATTTTATATATAGGGTAAGTTTTTTTTTCCAATCATTTGATATGTATACTATTAGAGTATTAATTAATGAAACATTTAAAAAGAAAAACATAACAGAGTCAAAAACATTGTATTTACAGAAAAAATCATGATCTACACACAATCCCAACATGAAGTATTCGCACTAGAATCGAGTTTTCTTCACTGAATGTCTCTGGAAACAATTAGAATTTTTTGTTTCAATTATCTGTATTGAGTGCATATGCTTAAGATTATAATTTTTTTGTTTGGAAGTATGAAAAAAGAAATAGAAAGATAATCAGATAATAGAGAGAGAGAGAGGAAGCAGACATTTGTCTTCCACCATATTCTTCTCATCTTTTCCGATGATAGATTCTTCTTCTTCCTCTCCTACTCCTAATTCGTAGTAGTTCCTCCATTAGATTATCCACTGAAGCCTCAAGCTCCTTTTCACTTTCTCACCTTCTCGCTGCTTTATTGGCTCTCTCCTTCTTTCTCTCATCATCATCATCATCATTAACACTGAAATTTTCTGTTGTATTGGACCAAACTCGAGCGAATTCTACGTACACGCTATAGAATTTTTGTTTCCTGTTTTGGATTTCGAGGAATCTCGCTTTCCAACTTTAAGTTCCTGTTCAAGTTTCTACCCCTTTTTTGTTTGTTTGTTTGTATCTCATATCTGTCGTCATCTTTGATTAAGTTACGCTTTGATCTCTCCATTTGAGCCTTTGGGTAGTCTAATCTGACACGTTCCTGTGTCTTTGTTGCTTTTTCTTCTCTCGTTTGTAAGTGGCTTGAAGGATAAAACCCCAAAAAAACAAAAAAACTCTACCGTCGGAATTTTGTGATTCTCTGATTCTTTCCTACAGAGTTTAGTTTTGGCTCTGAGTCTCTGATTCAAGCTCCTTGCAGTTGAATTTAGCTGGTTGCAGTCACTCTGTTTCTTAGAGGGGTTTGATCGTGTTTTCAAGTGGTGGATGAGTCTGTTCCATGTGCTAGGGTTTGGGGTGAAGATTGGGCAGCTCTTGTGGATGATATGCTGCTGGTTCGTTTCCTGGTTCGTTGATGGTGGGATCGAGGACAAGTCTGGTCCTCTGGTTGGCTCTGTCGGTGATCCTGAGAAGACGAAGATGACTACGATGAAGAAGAAGAACAAGATGTGCTTCTGGAACAAGATCTCCAGCAGCGGACTCAAGATCCCGAGTTTCTCTCATCAGTTTCTTGGCTCCGTTAGGTTCGGCAAGACTTGGTGGAGGAAGCTGGTGGTGGCCTGGGTCGTCTTCTGGGTTCTGGTCTCCTTCTGGACCTTTCGTTACTTTAGCTCTCAGGCTATGGAGAAGAGGAAAGAGACGCTAGCTAGTATGTGCGATGAGAGGGCTCGTATGCTCCAGGATCAGTTCAACGTTAGCATGAATCATGTTCAAGCCATGTCTATCTTGATCTCCACCTTCCACCATGGCAAGATTCCTTCTGCTATCGATCAGGTATTCTTGATTCCTCATCTTCTTGTCTTCCAATCTTTATTTGAATTTCTGTTATGATATCAAGTTCTAGGAATCAATCCCAGATTGCTGAAATTGTGATTGATGGATTAGATCTAGTCTTGCTTGTTGAACATAAGTTGCTCCGATGATCGATCCTTAGATAATTGTCAGAGTACTAACACTTGGTAGCCTGATTTTTATCTTCTTGAGAGTTAGTGAACAATATACTAACATCTAGAAGCTTTGTGTAGAGTACATTTTCAGAATACACTGATAGAACTTCCTTTGAGAGGCCTCTCACGAGCGGGGTCGCATATGCTATGAAAGTGCTCCATTCTGAGAGGGAAGAATTTGAGAGGCAACAAGGTTGGACTATTAGGAGGATGGATTCTCTTGAGCAAAACCCAGCTCACAAGGATGATTACGACCCAGAAGCTTTGGAACCATCCCCTGTTCAAGAGGAGTATGCTCCAGTTATCTTTGCTCAAGACACGGTCTCCCACGTGGTTTCTCTCGATATGCTGTCTGGGAAAGTAAGCTCTTTTCTTGTCAAGTCTACTACTGTACGATTTATGCCGACATGGCTTGTTCATATTTTAATCTGTGCTTATTGGTTTTTAAGTTGTTGTGATCATTATCGTTATAGTTTGGAGCACTGCTTTAGCTGAGAGTAAAGCCAATCTCACTGAATTCTTATTGACAGGAAGACCGTGAAAATGTGTTGCGGGCTAGGAGATCAGGTAAAGGGGTCTTGACAGCTCCTTTCCCACTGATAAAGACAAATAGACTTGGGGTGATCTTGACATTTGCTGTCTACAAGAGAGATCTCCCCTCCAATGCAACGCCGGAAGAGAGAATTGAGGCTACCAATGGGTGTGTAGCATAGCACTCTATAAATAATTGGAATTAGATATTTTGCTTAATCGCGGATAAGATTTATAGATATCATTTTTGCTCATTGATCTCTTTTGATTCACCTGAAGGTATCTCGGTGGAGTGTTTGACATCGAGTCCCTTGTGGAAAATTTGCTTCAGCAGCTGGCTAGCAAGCAAACGATTCTTGTCAATGTATACGATATCACCAATCACTCTCAACCGATTAGCATGTATGGTTCAAATGTGTCAGCTGATGGGTTGGAACTTGTTAGTCCCCTAAACTTTGGCGATCCATTTAGAAAACATGAAATGCGTTGCAGGTATTTGGACCAATTCAGCATGTCTGCTATTTCTTCTTCTTTTTTTTTTGTTTCCAAGAATCCAGGTGCTAACATTTTGTTGTGAGCGTCTCTCTCCTTGTAGATTTAAGCAGAAACCACCATGGCCAGTGCTATCAATGGTGACATCTTTTGGTATCATCGTGATTGCGTTGCTTTGTGCACATATATTCCATGCAACCGTGAGTCGGATAAACAAAGTTGAAGAAGATTGTCATAAAATGGAGCAGCTCAAGCAAAAGGCTGAAGCAGCAGATGTTGCAAAGTCACAGGTAAATATATCATCCTCAATCGATAGTTTTCCACAGTATATAAATCTCTCTATGTTAGAGGGACGGGTTTGGATCTAACTTTGTTTTCTATGCAGTTCCTTGCCACTGTGTCACATGAAATCAGAACTCCAATGAATGGTGTTCTTGGTGAGTGTCAAAATGGCTCTATTTCACCTCTATATTATGAATAGTTTCTCAAGAACATACTGAACTAAATATCTTGAAATTTTGATCTCATGTTGACTTTGATGTGGTTTTAGGAATGCTGCATATGCTTATGGACACAGAGTTAGATGTTACGCAACAGGATTATGTTAGGACCGCACAAGCAAGTGGAAAAGCTTTAGTCTCGCTAATAAACGAGGTTTTGGACCAAGCAAAGATTGAATCTGGAAAGCTTGAGCTTGAGGAGGTGCGGTTTGATTTGAGAGGCATATTAGATGATGTCCTGTCACTCTTCTCCGGCAAGTCCCAAGAAAAAGGGGTAGAGGTAATTTACGAATGATCTTTCTGATTTGCAAAGCAAGGTTTGTAACTTGTATCTAGTCTTTCCTACTGATTTTTCGACTGTTGCTGTTGAACGCAGTTGGCAGTATACATATCTGACCGTGTTCCAGAAATGTTACTTGGGGATCCCGGGAGGTTTCGACAAATACTCACAAATCTTATGGGTAATTCCATCAAGGTAAATGGTGTTGTTATATACTTCCTTGCATCCTAGTTGACTGATAAAAGTAGCTGATCGTTTGTAAATATCTTTGCAGTTCACTGAGAAAGGACACATCTTTGTAACTGTTCATTTGATGGAGGAGCTATTAGAATCTATCGATGTAGAGACAGCATCAGCTACTGAAAGTACACTGAGCGGGCTTCCAGTTGCAGACCGGCAGAGGAGTTGGGAAAATTTTAAAGCTTTCAGCTCCAATGGGCATCGGAGTTTTGCATTATCTCCACCTGAAATCAACCTGATCGTCTCAGTTGAGGATACTGGTGTAGGGATCCCTTTAGAAGCGCAGTCCCGTATATTTACACCTTTCATGCAAGTTGGACCATCCATATCCAGGACGCATGGAGGCACAGGAATTGGTCTTAGCATTAGCAAATGTCTAGTTGGACTGATGAAGGGAGAAATTGGGTTCTCGAGTACTCCCAAGGTCGGGTCCACGTTCACATTTACTGCAGTATTTGCCAATGGCATGCATTCAACTGAAAGAAAGAGCGAACCTCAGAACAACAACCAGCCCATATTCTCGGAATTTCGGGGAATGAAAGCTGTGGTTGTGGACCATAGGCCTGCTAGGGCGAAAGTCTCGTGGTACCATTTTCAGCGCTTGGGAATTCAAGTCGAAGTAGTTCCACGTGTTGACCAGGCTCTAAGTTTTATGAAGACTTGCACCAACACTGTGAATATGATACTTATAGACCAAGAAATATGGAATAGGGAAGCAGATGTGTTCATTAAGAAGCTACAGAAAGACCCTCTTGTGCATTCTCCTAAATTGGTTTTGTTAGCAAATTCAATAGACTCCTCGATATCAGATACTTTAAGCACCAGTACAGATCCTCCAGTGGTGATAGTGAAACCACTAAGGGCGAGTATGCTAGCAGCAACTTTGCAGAGAGGATTGGGTATTGGGAACAGGGAAACTCCTCAACACAAGGGACCTCCTGCTTTGATTCTCAGGAATCTTCTCCTTGGAAGACAAATTTTAATCGTGGATGATAACAACGTAAACCTGAGAGTGGCAGCGGGAGCTCTGAAAAAGTATGGGGCTGATGTGGTGTGCGCTGAGAGCGGGATAAAGGCAATCTCATTGCTTAAGCCACCCCACGAGTTTGATGCTTGCTTCATGGACATTCAGATGCCGGAAATGGATGGGTATGTCTGAATTTTAATGCCAGTTTGTGAAATGTTTGAAATTATGTAATAAAAACTTAGACATGTTTTTCCCCGTCTTTCTGCAGATTTGAAGCTACGAGGAAAATACGGGACATGGAAGAGGAGATGAACAAGAGAATTAAGAGTGGAGAGGCTTTGACAGTACCGGACGGGAACAACAAATCATGTTGGCATCTTCCAGTATTAGCAATGACCGCAGATGTGATTCAAGCCACGCACGAGGAATGTCTAAAGTGTGGAATGGATGGGTATGTATCAAAACCGTTTGAAGCAGAGCAGCTGTACCGGGAAGTTTCTCGCTTTTTCAATTCGCCTTCAGATACAGAATCATAAAAAACGGTGGGCTGGAAAAGAACGGTGAAGGAACACTACAACTCGTGTCGCCTCTGCATCTTTGAAGTAGTAAGCTCCTACATATATATCTTCCTCATCTGAAATAGCCACACTTTCTCGACTGCCAGTACAGCTTTTTTAACTTTCTTGTAGGAAAAAAACAGATTGACGATTGCAAAAGAGTGTATATAGAAAGGCCTGTGTGACCATATGTGGCCAGGCCAAGAACTTAGACCAGCTTCCACTGTAAAGTTTTCTTTCTCTTCTCTGATTGGGACACCAAATCTTGTGGTTTGTAGATGAGTTGCAGCTAGAATATATTCTGAGTTGCTTTGGACAGGGAAGAGAGCCATAGTATGTGTGTATTGTGTGTGAATGATTTAGGATTCTTCATATTAGAACAGTGCAACTTCTTCATTATCATCGTCCAAGATAGGGAGTGGACATTACTTATACATACTGCTTGTGATATAAAGTTGAAAATAGCTTCACTTCTTTGTCTTTCTTCTTCTCTTTTGGCTAAATTCTTTGTCTTCTTTTTCACACTGGGAATGCTTTAGATGGTTCTTACACTAATTTAGTTCGATGTTTTTTTTGTGTATGTCATTGTCAACGAACATGCATGTGGAATTATTGAAATATTACGGGTTTTTGCTCACTCATGAGTCTTGATAATTCTTCAACTGATTACCACCAATACAAATGAGAATTTCACAAGTAAACTCGTGTTAAGCAAACACACTTCTTTATTCATCATGTTAAATATACCCCAAAAAAAGAAAAATAAACGAATTTTATATTTAAACCAAAAGAAAAGAAAAATTAACGAAAATAACTGTAGTTGTTATACGGACTTTGACTTTTTAAACACGACCGCTAGAACATTCAGATTGACCTACGTCCGATTTTGTCTACATTGACCATGAATGAGGCTTTCTCAAGCATTTCAAAGCCCAATATCAGAATAACAAATCATTGACCGCCACGTAGACCTCACACGTCTCGGTATCCAATCACAGAATGGCTGTGACAAAACGACGTACGCGGTGAGTTGCATTACCGGTCCCTTTTAAAGACAGGAAAAAACGGATTTTGAAACGAGCAAGACAAAATTTAGAAAAATATAAACAAGGAGAGGTATTTATTTGGCTCGCGATCGTCATTTCGATTCACCTGGTTTCTTCTCCGCCGTAATCATGGTATATCACGCGATCTCTATGCTTTGTTTGTTTTCTCGAGATTCATGTTTTTCTTATTGGCTAAAAAATTATGCTTTGTACCTCCGATCTGATTCGATACGTGTTGTACCGTATTATTTGAGGATTCGGTTCTCTCATGAGCTATATACATTATCAGGGATTTCCTCTGTGTTTGAATATTGAATTATGGGTTGAAATATGAACAATTGGGAAGTTTTCGCATCATGCCAAAATTGAGATCTCAATTCTAATAATCAATTACAAATACCTAATTCGGTTACGAAATTTGAGTCCAAGTAGCTGATTTCCTTGTCTGCATTATGGTATATTGTTGCTTGATTTAGATGCATTGCCAAATCTTACCTACCATTGCCCAATTTCTCTTCATTTTGATGCATTAATGCATGGATCGTTCTGCCAATCGGTATCCAATATTTGGTTGATTGTGAAATGAAGAGATTGTGATTTTGAGTTTTTGATGTTTGATCAAGAAAACAGCTAATATAATATTGTCGTCAGACATAATGGGCCGTTGATTATTGACTCTGTGTTGGTTTGATATCATTGGCAGACAACTTCAAAGAGACTAGCAGACAGGAAGATAGAGAAGTTTGACAAGAACATTACAAAAAGAGGTTTTGTTCCAGAGACCACCACCAAGAAAGGCAAAGATTACCCTGTCGGTCCCATCCTTCTCGGCTTCTTTGTCTTCGTCGTCATTGGATCTTGTGAGTTCCTCTTCTCTTTCCATTTCTCTTCATTCCTTCATTTTCTTTTTTTTTGTAAAAGTTAATAATCTATGTTGAAGACAACACCAAATATAGCTTCTTTTAGTTAGTTAGTTAGTTAGTTAGTGAGGCTTCGTACTCCTTAATTGATTTATGTCCGGAAACATCCTAAAGTGTTGAGATTGGTTCCCCAGATTGGAGTTGTGCTTTTGCCTAGTACTTCCACTTTTATATAACACCATGATCTTGAATCTGAATCATTGGATTGTACAAATGTGTCTTTGTGTGTATATATTGATTAATCTTCTATATTCTTTGTTACAGCGCTCTTCCAGATCATCAGGACCGCAACTAGCGGAGGCATGGCATAAACCGAATCGCAGAAGAAGCAGTTTTCAGAATGAATATCTCCTTTTCTGACTTGTCTCCTTTTCCTTTATACATTACTGTAGAATGCGTTAATTTATGTGGTTATACTACATGTTATGAACAATTTTTGAGTGTATTTCAAAACAAATATATCCAATCTTTGATATTGTCCTGAAGTTAGTTGCCATTGTTGTTATGCTTCTGTATTCTTGTTCCCTTGTCTCAACTTGGTTCGCCATATAATGGATACCAAATACAAATTTACAGTTTATATCTATTTCCCGCGGATTTAGTGAAACTATTTTCCTCTTGGATCGGACCGGTATGTATCTCGCCCAAACAGTTCGGTGAACTAGAAGATCAATGATCCGACAGGCTAAAGGGGTATATTCGCCGAGAATTTAAATTGCATTCGAGGGATGGATTGGTAGGGAGACACCACACGGTTGGTGGTTGTCGTGAGCAATTGTCAAGAGAAGCAAGCAATTCTTTTAAAATGAATTTGAATTCTTTAAAAATGAATTCTCTTGTTCAATATTCAAAGGTAAATGAAACAAATGAATAATGATGGGCAATAATAGTTGTAGGACTCTTGCTTTGTGTTTTGTAAAGAAAGTATAATTTTAACATACCACGCGAAACAAATTAAAGAGAGGATAAAACAATTGAGGAAATAGTCGTGAGAGCTGTTTTGGATGGACGGTTGAGTCTTCTTCATTATTTACTGTTCATTTACGAAGAATCTCCGTGAACTTTTTACAGTTAAGGGTGCAAGGAATGGTAAAAGTTATTTTTAAATTAGCTTTCCTAACTTTTTCTATACAGTAATTTTTTCCTAACAGGTAGTTTTCGTATTAAATACTTTATCTCTACTCATGCCAATTGAATTTATATCACTGAACCGCCATCCTAAATTCAACCATCATACTGTTATTTACTATCGTATCTAATTTTTTTTTTTTTTTGAACAACTACTATCGTATCTAATTATGTTGCCATCTCTTAGCTTTATTATTAGCTTTATTCGTTACTAAACGTTTTATTTTTACCGCTTTATATCAATTGGACCGTATATTAATAATAGATGTAAAAATAGTTGGAGAAAAGGAAACACTAAGAAAATATCATGAGTTATCTCATCATTTTTTCTTTAATATATTGGTAATTGCAATGTTAAATGGATGTGAAATGATTGACCAAAGCATATTGATGGGATGACAAAAATGAACCCCCACGCTTTACGACTACTTTACATTCCCTGTGGAATGATTTTGAAAACTTAATTATTGCACCAAAAGAAAAAGATAACCAGGCAAATTATGCACACATGTAATTAATTACATTCGACTGCACATTTTTTCTTCCTTTTCAACTTGCACATTCAATGACTTTTGAACTCGAGTTATTTGCAGTCTTCTTCTAACGATAGCACATAATCATCATATTCATTTTCTTTTTTTCCCAATTTTTAGTTCGCAATCATCTCTAGTTGCATGTACTTTTTTTTTTCTTTCACTAAACATTTTCCTTCTCCGATTAAAACATTCTTTCGCGTCGCGAACTAACACTAAAACATTGTAAATTACGGTTATATGCATGACAATATTCATTTCTACTTAGGAATTCTTGGTGGGAGTGGATGGTTTTGTTTTGAATCTTAGTTTTTGATCTGTTGTCTATTTTTTCCTAGAGTAACTTGGTTGCAAGAAAGAACTCGAGCCATATATTTGACGTGTACAAGAGACATTTGAGTTCATCAAGAAAGATAGTCATATGCAACATGCCAACATGCATGTCTATCTTCTAACTCCACTTTTTGTTGCAATATACATGTTGTCCAACACATACATGATTCTTACTTTATACTTCTCCTGTGATTCTTAACGAATTTTTAGACACCTAATCAAAGTGTTGTCGATCGAATGTTTTTTTTTATCATATAGTAGTCTAACATCATATATATATACCAATGAATCTTGATTCAAGTATAGCTAGATCCTTAAAGTACATATTGGTCACAAGAGTTTTTACAACAGAAATGTAATGTTTATTGTGGTAGAAACATTCGGTTCCATATATACAATTACAACAGAACGAGTAAGTGGGAAATTAATTTTGTAATAGAAAAATATAACGTAACAGAAGAATAAAGTCAAGAAGAGAGAAGAAAAAAAAGGAGGGGCAAAAGAGGAAAAAAGAGGAGAAGCTGGAATAATTGCGAAGAAATAATCATATGGGGCCAACTGACATGGAAAAAGATGAAGCAAAAGAGAGAGAAAAAGACAATTCAAGGCAGCAGAAGAACGAACGAAGGAAGATGGTTTTAAGAGAAGGAGACAGAGAGGCTGAGATGGTGGGAGCTTAAAGCTTAATCACCCCCCAAATTACCTTCTTCTTCTTCTTCTTTTTCTTCTTCTTTTCTGTTTTTCGTTTGCCCTCTCAAATCGCTGCAAATGGCTGCTGCTACTCCTGACTGCCATTGATTACTCTCTCTCTCTCAGTACATTCTCTCTTTTGTCTCTTTGTCGGGGCATGGAAGAAGAGCTTGCCATGCTCAGACAGCTCATCGGCCAGCTTCAAGAGCTCTTGCACAACGGTTCTCCTCCTCCTCCTCCTCCTTCACCTCCCTCCTCGTCTTCCCCGTCGTTTTTAGTTCTCCACAACCCTCACTATCAGAACCGGTTAACATCTCTCTCTCTCTCTCTCTCTCTCTCTCTCTCTCTCTCTCTCTCTCTCTCTCTCTCTATCTGACTAGATCTATGTGTGGTGCTTTCGATCTTATTATTTGCAAATTGTGGCAATTTTGGAAGCTCGTATTGTGTTTCGTTTAGGGCTTTTTTGATTCTCGTTTAATGCTTATGGGGGTACAATCTCGCTTGTTCCTTAGAATCATGCGATCTCTTTGTGTTTCGCTTTAGAATTAGCTGAAGGAGGAAATTGATCCAGGAATTGATTCCGATATGGTCATAGAAAAGCATCTTTTTGCCATTGTTCTTGTAAAAACTATTTACTTGTCTTCACTGAAAGCTGCAAGTCATATCATTCATTTTCCACTCCTCCCCCCAAAATCTTATACTGACTATTACATCATTGGGTCAATAGCAAATTATCTGCCTAATTCCCTCTTTTCTTGGAAAATTTTGGTGATGATTACTGTGAATCCTGACTTGAGGCATTCCCTTTTGTGTTTAACCAATGCTTGGACCGGAAAAGGGTTATTCTTTTAGCTGGTGTACGTATTTGTGGTTGGATTTTAGGACAAGTCTTTGTTACCACTGTAATGATTTCATTTTTAGAAAAGAGGGTAATGTTATGTCTTTTCCCTGACAGATGTCGTGATGTTTTCTTTTTTCTTTTCCCGTTTTTGGCAGATGGTGTCTGCCCTTTATTGAGGAAACTTCTTCTGATGATTGTTGTGATATTGTAATGGCTGCTGGAAAGAGGCCTGGGATCTTCAAGATGTTAGAGACTGTCAAGAAACCTGTCAAGCGATCTCGAAAAGAAAAGAATCAAGGAAAATCATGTACAACGGGAGGAGATGACACTAGTGGAAACATGGATCAAGAAATCTGGCAGGAGTTTCCAAGAGATCTCTTTGAAGCTGTTGTTTCCAGACTACCGATTGCTACTTTTTTCCAGTTCCGCTCAGTTTGCCGAAATTGGAACGCTCTTATCGATTCAGATAGCTTCTCCCGTTGCTGCAATGAGCTTCCTCAGACCATCCCATGGTTCTACACCATAACTCACGAGAATGTCAACTCGGGACAAGTGTACGACCCTTCTCTGAAGAAATGGCACCATCCGATTATCCCTGCACTACCAAAGAAGAGTATAGTTTTGCCAATGGCTTCTGCGGGAGGTCTAGTGTGCTTCCTAGACATTGGTCACCGGAACTTCTACGTGAGCAACCCGCTGACCAAGTCTTTCAGAGAGTTGCCAGCTAGGTCGTTTAAGGTCTGGTCTCGTGTCGCTGTGGGAATGACTATGAATGGAAACTCCACCAGTGATGGGTATAAAGTCCTGTGGGTTGGATGTGAAGGAGAGTACGAAGTCTATGATTCTCTGAGAAATGTGTGGACCAAAAGAGGGACCATCCCGTCCAACATAAAGCTCCCTGTACTGCTAAACTTTAAGTCACAGCCCGTGGCTATCCACAGCACACTGTACTTGATGTTGACAGACCCTGAAGGGATATTGTCTTACGACATGGTCTCAGGGAAATGGAAGCAGTACATCATACCGGGACCACCACACCTGAGCGATCACACGCTAGCAGAGTGCGGTGGGAGGTTGATGCTGGTGGGTCTTGTGACGAAAAACGCTGCCACGTGCGTTTGCATATGGGAGCTGCAGAAGATGACACTGCTGTGGAAGGAGGTTGACAGAATGCCAAACATATGGTGCTTGGAGTTTTACGGAAAGCACATTAGGATGAATTGTCTGGGCAACAAAGGTTGTCTGATATTGTTGTCCTTGAGGTCCAGACAGATGAACCGTCTGATAACTTACAATGCTGTTACTAGGGAATGGACCAAGGTCCCTGGCTGTACCGTTCCTCGTGGGAGGAAAAGACTTTGGATCGCTTGTGGAACTGCGTTTCATCCTTCCCCTACAGCTAGGGCTTGATCCTCTCTTCTCTTCTCTTCTCTTGGTTCAGTTTTCCTTTTGGAATCCCACACGCGGTTGGTTTGTTTCTGTTGTTTGATTTTTGTTTTGATTTTCGGGACTGTAATATATACGAAACGTTCGTGTTGTAATAACGAAACTCAGGTTGTGTGATAACTTACTTACTCGGAACTTCTTGGAACTGTGAAGAATCTCTCATAAAATTTGAGTAATTTCTTTTAGCCCATTGCGTATTTAGGAGTATCAACTACGTGTGGCGCACCAAGTGAACAAAAGCATAACACCGAGGGCATTAAACTTCAACAAAATATATAACGTCTGATGTAATAACTTCAACAAAATATTCTTCACAACATTAACATCATGTAGTAAACAGAAAGTCGACGCGTTCTACAGTATGAAGGAGAGAAAAAGAGACAAGTAAGAAGAAGAGATATTCATTTTGAAAACTGCATCTTCTAGCTTGAATTGGATTCGGTTTACGCCATGCCCCCGCTAGTTGCGGTCCTGATGATCTGGAAGAGCGCTGTAACAAAGAATATAGAAGATTAATAAAATTTATACACACAAAGACACGTAGTACAATCCAATGATTCAGATTCAAGATCATGGTGTTATATAAAAGTGAAAGTACTAGACAAAAGCCACTCCAATCTGGGGAACCAATTTCAACACTTTAGGATGTTTCCGGACATAAATCAATCAAGGAGCACGAAGCCTAACTAACTAACTAAAAGAAGCTATATTTGGTGGTGTCTTCAACATAGATTATTAACTTTAACAAAACAAAAGAAAAAAAACAAGGAATGAAGAGAAATGGAATGAGAAGAGGAGCTCACAAGATCCAATGACGACGAAGATAAAGAAGCCGAGAAGGATGGGACCGACAGGGTAATCCTTGCCCTTCTTGGTGGTGGTCTCTGGCACAAAACCTCTCTTAGTAATGTTCTTGTCAAACTTCTCTATCTTCCTGTCTGCCAGTCTCTTTGAAGTTGTCTGCAAATGATATCAAACCAACACAGAGCCATCAATCTTCGCCCCATTTTGTCTGACGACAATAATATAGTAGCTGTTTTCTTGATCAAACATCAAAAATTCAAAAATTCAAAAATCACAATCTCTTCATTTGACAATCAACCAAATTTTAGATACCGATTGGGACAACGATCCATGTATTAAGGCATCAAATCACACGAGAAAGTGAGCAGGCAATGACAGGTAAAGATTTGGCCATGCATCTACTAAATCAAGCAACAATATACCATAATGCAGACAAGGAAATCAGCTACTTGGACTCAAATTTCGTAAACGAATTAGGTATTTGTAATTGATTATTAGAATTGAGATCTCAATTTTGGCATGATGCGAAAACTTCCCAATTGTTCATATTTCAACCCATAATTCAATATTCAAACACAGAGGAAATCCCTGATAATGTATATAGCTCATGAGAGAACCGAATCCTCAAATAATACGGTACAACACATATCGAATCAGATCGGAGGTACAAAACATAATTTCTCTTGCCAAAAAGAAAAACATGAATCTCGAGAAAACTATTAAAGCATAGAGATCGCGGGATATACCATGATTACGCCGGAGAAGATACGCTTGAATTGCGTTAACAGGTGAATCGAATTGACGACGATCGCGAGCCGAAAAATAGTTTCACTTTTTTTTTCTTCTTTTTTTTTATATTTTTTTTTTGGCTAACTTTTGTCAAAATCCGTTTAACCTCTGTGTTTCACCACCTAAAAAAGGGATCAATGTTGCTATTCTCACAACTCACATCGTCACAGCCAATTTCTGATTGGGTAAAGAGACGTATTGTGTACACGTGGACTTTAATAAATGGATTGTTATTTGAGATTATAAAAGCTGTGAGAAAGCTGGAGAGTCGATACTCGTTGGACAGAAATCAGACGTGTCATGTCAAATACTGAATATATCGGGGACGTGTTTAAAAGTCAAAGCACGAAGTTGTATGTGTCAATATTTTTTAACTAGCAGCTAAAACAATCTAAGAGAGCTTTACTCGTACACTGGAATATTTTTTTGTTGAAGTTCTTTTTCTTTTGTGGATGATGTAGCATGTAGGTGGATAGGTAAAGAAATCTCGAACTTCTAGATTTTCTTTGGGATTTTATGATTTAATGATGAAGACTTACAAGCATTAGTTACACAAATCTCTCTTATACAAGGTTCTCCTCTGTTTAAATGTGCTCTTTGGTCTTCTCTTACGGGTAGGAGGTGATTGACTGATTGTGTTGTGATTTTCACCTTCATGTGCATCCTATGACTTGTATTAGAGAGATTTGTCCAAGTGATGCTTGTAGCAGTTAATTAAGTTACACAAAAAAGCAGTTAATTCCATCTGATATATATCCGGGTGACAAATAAAAATAAAGAAGTTTTAAATGTTCAAAAATTTTCAAAATATCACAAATCTAATCTAAAGTTAAAGCTAACATTTCCTAATCAATCCATTATTATTACTTCCACAAAGTTAAAGGCAAGTTCTAGCCTAGAAAAATAATCAGTATACGATTGTCTATTGTAATACATATTTGACGCCGAAAATTAATCAGTATACGATTGAATCTTTGTTAAGAACCAAAAAAAAAAAAAACATTATACACTTGAAATAGTTCCTATCATCATCACCAACAAAAAAAAAAATAAAAAAAAAAACATTTTACGCAAACGAGCACCAATTACGTGTTGTGTTGTGTACCAGCAAAATATATAGCAGAAAATAAAATAAAAAGACATCAAACAAAATTCCGACAAAAATAAAAGCAAGCGAAAAAATGAAAGAAACACAAAAAAAAAAAATAAGCAAACCAAAACAGTAAGGAAAATATTTTTTTTTAAACAAGGAAGAAGAAATAGAAGACTCTTGAGCAGATTATTCCATTTCCCTAAGGCGATTTTGGTGTGGACTCGTCTCCCTCACAGTCGCTCCTAGTCAAACGCTTCTTCTCGGATCGGCGACCTCTAGAGATTTCTTCAGCCGTCTCTTCTCTGTTTTGCTACTTAGAGGTGTCTTCTCTTACTCCTTCTTGTATTCTGGGATAACTTTGTTTCTTCTTAGATTTGGGATTTCTTAGAATTTAGCTTTATACTTCTGTTCTGAGAGAGATCGATGAATCAATGAAATTGTTTAGTGTGAATAGCGTATGTGTAGCAATTTCTTAGAATGGCGAATCGTTTGTTTTGTTTCTTCGTTTCCATCTCCCTACGAAAAGAGAAGAAGACGTGTGTGGTTTTCTACTAGACGAATTTGATTGTAACATTTGATTTTTTTTTTTTTGTTTCTGTTTCTCTAATCCCTATCGTTAGTTAGATGAATTTATTGATTTCGGGGACCATTTGCTTTCATTGAAAGCCCTTAGCTGAAGGGGACCTTGATTGGGATTGAAACCTAACTTTGATGTCACATTTGATTAGTCCAGTCATTATTGCTGCAGATAGATCCCCTCGTGGTTGATCTTGGTGCCGTTTTCTTTGACATTGTTGTGTAAATTTGATAAACCCCTAAGCTAAGCTTGTAGCCCTTTTGTGTTTGATGAAATTAGTTAGGAAGCTTCTGAAAAGTACAAAGGAGGAATTGGGGGTGGAAAAGTTTTCAATTAAGATGGCTATAGGATGCCGTTTACATCGTGTTTCTTGGCAAGTTGCTCATATTCTGGGCCCAGTTGAATTAAATGCCACTTTGGTTTTTGTGTGATGGAGAGTAGAAGAGGGAGCTAAGAAAAGTAATACCCTTTCTTGTCCCCTTTTTGCTGGTCTTGGTGAAATATAGAAAGCTTTTCTCTTGCTGAGTTCCAAAATAGTAAGTTAAAAAAATAAATTCTGATGAGCTGTGTGTGGTTCTTGATACTCACAAGGTTTTTCTGCTTTCTTTTGGTATTGATAGTTGTAGGGCGTCGTCTCTAAGGTAGCTGTTTGGCTAGCCAGAGTTATTTATAGTGTGTTTTTTTTTTAATTTTGGCTTACTGAAATACAGATTCTATATTTGATATATCTTTCTTCTGCAAACTTGTGTGATTTGTCACTCTGGATTCGGTGGTAGGTCTATGAAACCTATCTCCATCTTCAATGGACTGCAACATGAGATCTCCTTTGCCATGGGACTGGGAGAATTTGATCATGTCCAATCCGTCAAAGACTGAAAGTGATAGAAAGCAGCTATCTACCGAGTGGGAGACTGAGAAAGGTGAAGGCATTGAATCTATAGTTCCTTATTTCTCGAGCTTTGAGAAAGTCTGTAGTGGCTCTGCCACCAGTTTCTGGCAGACTGATGTATCCAAAAGCTCACAGTCGACTTCTATCAACTCATCATCCCCGGAAGTCAAAGTATGCAAGGCTGCATCAGAAAGTTCCCCTGGAGTTTCTTGCAGCAACATAGATTTTGTCCAAGTGAAGGCATCCACAGCTCCCGAGGTATCTGCTGCCTCTGCTGAATCAGATCTTTGTTTAGAACTAGGGAAGCGGACATACTCTGAAGAACTTTGGGGTAGAAAGAATAATGACATTTCAGCTGTTTCTATGAAGTTGCTGACTCCATCTGTTGTTGCTCGAAAGAAATCTAAGCCGTGTGGTCAGAGCATTCAAATCTCACGTTGCCAAATTGATGGCTGTGAACTTGATCTCTCTTCTGCCAAGGATTATCATCGCAAGCATAGAGTCTGCGAAAAGCATTCAAAGTCTCCAAAAGTTACTGTGAGTGGCCTGGAACGTCGATTCTGCCAACAATGTAGCAGGTAAAACCAAGAATATGGTTATGTTCTGGCCTCATTTAATCCTTAAGTTGCATTCTCTTCACTGTAAAGTGCAAATCGAGCTTGATTGCTTTATTATTTACAGGTTCCATGCGGTCTCTGAATTTGATGAGAAGAAACGAAGCTGCCGCAAACGTCTTTCTCATCATAATGCGAGACGTCGCAAGCCACAAGGAGTATTTCCATTGAATCCAGAGAGGATGTACGGTAAGAACCTACACCACGACTTGGAAAAAAACAATGTTTCCACAGGATCTTTCCATCTGTCTCTATCATACACACACACACAACTTCATTTCAGGGAAATCTAATGTGAAATGGTGACTCCTGCAGATCGAAGACAGACAAATATGGCGTGGAATGGGTTGTCCCTTAACTCGAGATCTGAAGAAAAGTATGCATGGGGTACCACTTATGATACAAAGCCTGCACAGACGGAAAGCGGCTTTACTCTGAGCTTCCAGAGAGGTAATGGCTCTGAGGAGCAGTTGTTTGCGAGTAGCAGCCACTCTTTCTCTGCGCATCAAACCTCAGGCGGGTTCTCAGCAGGGAAGTCCAAGTTTCAACTTCATGGCGAAGGTTGGTATTTTGCACTTCTTCATTGGTCCTTTAGTTTATGGATCTAGTAGATCTCTGTTGTTCTTATCTTCTAGTCCTTTGAAATTGTTTTGGCAGGTGTGGGAGAATGCTCAGGAGTCCTCCATGAATCTCAAGATTTCCACCGTGCTCTCTCTCTTCTGTCAACTTCTTCTGATTCACATGCGCAGCCAGTTTCTCTACTCTTTTCATATGATGGTGTACCAAAATAGATGAGTAAGTAGTGTCATTTGTAAAACCGGCTAGCTTCGGTGTTAGTGGATAGTGGATACTAATCCAATTTATCAAAAACAGCTTCCTCCTGGCTCCATTTGTATGCCAACTTTATCTTTATCCTTGTTTCCTTACTAGTAGTAACCAAGTCATTGTCAACAAAAAACACGAAACATTGAATATATATAATAATATGAATACCTCTGATAGACTGCAAAGTATCTGTCTTTATTTTAGACCGCTGGAATTTGCTTCTCACCTATACAACAAATTTCGTGGAGACGCTTCTTGTTCTCGAATTGCAAGTTGGAGACATCAGATGATAATGCCAAGTTCACTCGAGGGGTAGGTAAAATCTAAATCACATCGTCTAAATTCTTCATTCCAAGTAAGTTCTAAAACAATAGGTCGTTGTAGGTAAGGGAAGATATTACAAGTGATGTTTTTGGAGACTCAAGATAAATTTAAATTATTTTTTCTAGTGGATATTACCTCTTTCCACTTCCCCTTCGAAACCTCAAAACTCTGTGTCACAAGATGTATCATGTATTGAAAACAATGGATGTCTGTTTATGAAACAGTAGACATGTCTGATAGAGTAACGAAGTTGACATACAACAGGATCCAAGAAGAAGTAGACATACAACATGATCCAAGAACAAAGTTGACTTAAAAAGGTTTGGCTTACTAAAGTAGAGGAAACCAGAGCTAACCATGTGACTAGTTTAGCTTGAGCAACGAACACAACCGCAATTTATTTTATTCGAAAAGGAACTCCATCGGATACAACCTTGACTTTATAATGGAGTAACTTCGCATTCCTTACTCATTTATATGAAATGGGTAGGGAAAGTGCCATGTATTGGCTGAGGTTCGACCATGGGATTGTGTTTAGTCCCATGTGAGTCCGAAGACGTTGACAGAAGAGAGAGAGCACTGTAGAATTCTTGCGATTCATGGAGGCCTCCTGAGTATTCCCCTACACCTGCCAAAACAGATAGATCACCTTCAACACCTGTGATCTACAATGACAAGATGACCAGTAAAGAAGTGAATATATCAAACCTTTGCCAGGAAGTTGAGAGTTAGACTTCCCTGCTGAGAACCCGCCAGAGGTTTGATACGCCGAGAAAGAGCGGCTGTTACTAGCATGCAAATGCTCCTCAGAGCCATGGCCTCTCTGGAAGCTCAAAGTAAAGCCGCTTTCCATCTGTCCAGGATTCGTATCACAAGTGGTACTCCATGCATACTTTTCTTCAGATCTCGTGTTAAGGGACAAGCCATTCCACAACATATTTGTCTGCTGTCTTCGATCTGCAGTAGTAAACACTTGACATTAGAGTTCCCTGAATTCAAGTTGTGTATGTGTCTGTGTGTATTTGGGAAATTGGGAGAGAGAACATAGACAGATGGAAAGATCCTGAGATAAACTTGTCAAGTTGGGTTGTAGTTTCTTACCGTACACCCTCTCTGAATTCATTGGGAATCCTCCTTGTGGCTTGCGACGCCTCGCATTGTGATGAGAAAGACGTTTACGGCAGCTACGTTTCTTCTCATCAAACTCAGAGACGGCATGCAACCTGAAATTTTTGAAAACAAATCAGCTGTCTACCCTATAATATTAGGGCATGTAAAAACTATTCTGGACAACTAAACTGAATTAGCATTTTACAGCTAACAAGAATGCAGCTTACGAATAAAATGAGGCCATGAACATAACCATTAGTCAGAACCATAATCATGGTTTTACCTGCTACACTGTTGGCAGAATCGACGTTCCAGGCCACCCACAATAACTTTTGGGCACTTTGAATGCTTCTCGCAGACTCTATGCTTGCGATGATAATCCTTGGCAGATGAGAGATCCAGTTCACAGCCATCGATTTGGCAACGGGGGACTTGCACGCTCTGACCACACGATTTGGATTTCTTCCGAGCAACAACAGATGGAGTCAACAGCTTCGTAGAAACGGCTGAAATGTCATTACTGTTTCTGCCCCAAAATTCTTCAGAGTATGTCTGTTTTCCTAGCTTCAAACAAAGGTCTGATTCAGCGGAAGCACCATATACATCGGTAGCTGTGGATGCCTTCACCTGGACAAAATCTATGTTGCTACAAGAATCTCCAGGGGAACATTCTGATGCAAGCTGGGTTTGTTTGACTTCGGGAGATGACGAGTTGGTAGAGGCCGACTGTGAGCTTTTGGAAACAGCAGTTTGCCAGAAACTGGTGGCAGAGACACTACTGACTCTCTCGAGGCCAGGGAAACAGGGAAATATAGATTCAATTCCTTCACCTTTCTCAGTTTCCCACTCAATAGATGGCGGCTTTTTGTCATTTTCAGTCTTTGACAGATTGGACATGATCAAATTCTCCCACTCCCACATCGGAGATATCATGTTGCAGTCCATTCAAGATGTGGGTTGATTTCATAGACCTAATAACAAAGCCAGATCAACAAATCATGCAACAACCACAAGTTTGCACAAATAGGGATAGTAAGTGAAAGCGAAATGCGAAAGAGAAGACTAGACAATCGCTACCTTATAGACAACGCCCGTCAACTATCAAAAACCATAAGAAAGAACAAAAAAAGAAAAACCTTGAGAATATCAAGCACCACACACAGCTCATCAACGTTTTTACTCACACTTTTATCATTAACTTGAGCGATAGAAACCTTTCTATGTTTCACCCAGACCAGCAAGAAGGTCAAGAAAAAAAGGTTTCTTATTTTCTTAGCTCTCTCTTCAAATCTCCATCACACAAAAACTAAGTGGCATTTATTCAAATGACCCCACAGCTCCTCAAATCAGATTGCCCAGAATATGAGCAAGAAACACAATATAAACGGAATCCTTATAGCCATTCCCTACCCATCCATCCTTTGTACATCCAGAAAGTTCCTAACAAAAAAAAACCCAAGGCTAAAAAGCTATGCCATAGGGTCTACACAATTTACACATTGAAATAACTATGTCAAAGAAAACGGCAACCAAGCTGAGCCATGAAGGGATATGTATCTGCAGCAATAAAGATCAAACTAATAAAACGTGACATTAAGTTAGGTTTCGATCCCAATCAAGGTCCCCCCAAGCTAGGGTTTTCCATGAAAGCAAATGGTCCCCAAAACCCAATAAATTCGTTTAACTAACCAAAGCGATGAAAAAGAGTTATCGATGCTACAATCAAAATTTGCGTAGTGAAAAAACCAGCCGTGTTGCTTTCTTAGGGAAGAACAAACGGAGAAGCACACAAACAGCAAATAATAAAACAAACGTGAGAAAACGATTCGCCATTCTAACAAATTCTCTATACCATTTCAATTCAACATGAAAAAAGTTGGTTAAATTCAACTAAGAATCGATCACTTTATCGGAACAGAAGCATAAAGCTAAATTGTAAGAACAAATAAGGAGAAGAAGCCCAAATCTCAGGAGAAAAGTAAGAGAAGAAACCTCTCAAGTAGAAAACAGAGCCGAAGAAAATCGCAACCGATCGGAGAAGAATCGTTAGACTAAGAGCAATAGAGAAGGTGGAGGAGAAGCCATAATCGCCTCAGGGAAACCGAAGGAGCTGCTCAGGAGTCCGGATAACTTCATCCTCACAGTCCATTTTTTTAGTCCCCTTTTCTTTCTTCTTCACTAATCTTCTTTACCTTTTTGTTACTGTTCTGCTTTGCTTTTTGATTTTTTTTTTTTTCATTTGGGTTTTGCTTTCCTCTTTTATTTCTATGTAAAAAGAAAAAAAAATCATATAATTTATCAGAGAGACAAGAAATGTGTCTGCATATGTGTATGTCGTGCAAACGATCGCAAATCAAAATTCCAAAAAATAAAAAGTTACTATCGCATTTGAAGTTTTACTAACACAAGTTCATTTACATTAGAAGTGATGAGTTTATTTTCGAGCCGAAAGTTTACTCTATCACAATCCATATACAATAATGTGATTGTGAAAAACCGAATTATAAAAACAACAAAATAAAAGTACTTGTAGCTAATCTAACTCTCATTGCATTCTTCAAGATTATCAGTACCTACATATACTATATTGATTTTGTGCTATAATAAAAGCATGCATGAAATATCGACTTAGGATTGCTACAGAACGATCAACGCATCCCCATTCACCTATGATTTAACTGATCATTTGCTGTTTTTTTTTTTTTGAACATTATCATTTGCTGTTTTGCAGCTTTCTATTTTTGTCTTGGATATGGTAATATTTTGTTTTGTAGGAATTTAAATTTTGTTTCTCAATGAAAAAACTAGGTACAATTTTTTTTTTGGCAAAACTGAAACAGAATTAATATTAGAAAATTCTATATTCATTTTTGAGATCTTAAAGCTGTGGAGATTCTTGATATCGGAGAAGTGTAATCATGTATCTTATAGACTTAACGAGCTGTGCCATTGAGGAATGATGGTGTTTGACGAATATGGTATTTTCCCCGTACATGTACTTAAGATAATTGAAATCGTTGTTTGCAGCATAAATTTTGTTTTCTAATAGAGTTTTTTTTTTAGATTTTTTTTTTAAATTCAGTTTGAGAAAAGCTTTCTTAACATAGCTAGATCAACATATATAATATAGAAAATCGACAAGAACGAAAAAATGATTTCCTCTTATAAATGGCAACGAGCTTTATACTCAATTAAGATCCATCCATGTAACTAAGTACTTGTACGTTTGTTTTTCTCTACAAATAGCATTATCAGTAATTTGAAGCTTTCTTTGTTTTTTTTTTTGAAACAATGTTTTGCCAATTGTAAATTTTAGCACACGTGACATGTTTTTTTATAAAGTGGATGAGTGGTGATGGTGAAAGATAAAACCGGCAAAGAATAGTAGGGTCATATTTTTGAGAGTCATTATTTGAAAAGGCTTTGAGGTATTTATTTACTTGCAACCGAAAAAGCTGTTACGACTAAGAAACTATTTGCATAACAATTAAAAGAAATGTAATTAAGTTGATTTTGGTAGAAGAAAATCAGACGGCGGTGAGATGGAAACCGGCGAATGGAAATGATGAGGAGGAGGAGGAGGTGGCGGTGGAGGAACAGACGTCAAAAGTGGTCATGGTTCCATCTACTCCGATGTGGCTCAAGTGCTTCACGTCCGTCGGAAACCCTATCTCCATCTCCGCCTCTCTCTCTTCTCTCTCCTCTTCATAACCTGCTCATTTATTCCAAAAGAACCCCAAGATTATACATACTTAACAGTTCACACTAGAGTTTACTTGTTGTGTTAATTGTATAAAAGATAACAAGATCTCTTCCTTCGACTTTACTTATTTGTATGGATTTAAACTATGGATTATATATGGTAAACGAGGTTGAAACCCATACAAAATCATAGGTCAGTCAAAATTTCATTTTTTAGTGTTGAAACACCTTCATAGGCTCAAGTGCTTAACCCATATGATTGTCTAATGCATTATTTCTGCGCAAACAGCAAGAATACGATTTAATTTGGTACGGAATCTCTAATTTATAAGGCTTCATAAACATTTTACACTTTTAGATTATCTGTTTCAGAAACCCTTTTACGAAATGTTGTGTTCCCAATATGAAATGGTATATATGAAAAAAGAGAGTAGAAAAAAGGACATACGTATGAAAAAGTGAGCAAAACTCTTGAAGCTTCGAATAATTTTGTAGATACCATCTGAAATATTAGCACCGTTGTTCTCTATCTTTGTATCTTCTTTTTGAAACAAGCCATATTCATCACCTTCTTCTCTTCCTTAATGGATAAACCCGAAAAGGGCAAAAGAATAAGAAAAAAAAAAGAAGCAAGGAAATATGAAAAAAAAAGGGACGAGAGTGTAGCAGAAGGTACTCTTGATGAGTTGGTTTGGTTTCTTGTGTTGATGTGTAGAAGCCACGGCGACGCTAGATTGCGTTAAACACCCCAACGAGAAGGGCAATACCACACATCGCTCCATCCGATCTTTCATTTCTTGTTCTTGATGCTTCTTGCTACACTCGAAATGTGAGTGAAAATGTTTCTATGTATAAAAATATGTAAAATGTGATATTAGCGTGTGTGAGTTGTATGAAATGATGGAAAAAGTGAGGGATTTTTGTTAGGGGTTTATATTGCAATCTCGTGCGTGTTTGTGGCTTTGTAAGCAAGTTAGAATCATTATTACATTGAATAATTTTTGTAATTCCTAACCCAATGAAAGATTAGACAGAGGGAGAGTGTCATTATTGAGTATGCTTGAGGATGCTTTTAGTTGGCCAACAGTGCCACTTAACCTAATTTCAAGATTAAAAGATTCACGATAAACCATTTCCTCACCTTCCACTTTATCTCCTTACCCAATAATCTCCATCTTCGTATTTTTAATCAATACCATAATTAGACTAAAACAGTTCTCTTGCCACAAGTTCATTTTAGAGACACACATTTACGTCTACAGCAACCTCAAACAGCTTTTCATCTTTATAAAAGAAATACACACTGTTTAGGATTTACCTTTTTTCAATCCTTGAAATTCAAAAACCGGGCCGACCAACTCAGCAAACCGGTAAACCTCTGACTAACTCGACTAGATGAAACCCAATTGGTGGTGGGTAATAAAGTCTGTGGATATGTAAACAGACCAACGCAACCGTAAGAGTTACAACCTAATTATGCTTGCTTCTCTGCCTTAGAATTTCAGGTTATGTAACCATTCATTAAAAAGAGCTTCTGATTCATCATCAACTCAGAATATCTATATTGATATTTCAATTGTTTCTGTATCCAGACGGTATTAAACTATATAGTCCTCGAGTTTATCAGTCATTTGGCTTATCTTTTTCTCGACTCTGGGCCCTCTCTTGTAAAAGAAGCCACAATTTTCTGGTCATTAATCTTAGAACCAACTCCAACTCTATTTCGGAGAGATAAAATGGAATTTTCCCACCAAATATATATTATAATTTGATGAATTCCCCAAGAAAATGTAATAAAACACCGGCATACATAGTTGGTATAGATCAGCAAGAAGCCAAGAATAAAATAAATGATGGCCTTACACTGCATAATTTACATAGTCGCAATGGAGAAGTAAGAAGAGGTAAGACCCGTGATTCTACACTCTTTAAACCTACAAGAAGTATTTCATTCTTTCGTCTCTCCTCATTGCATTATACACAGCTTGAACCTGTCAAACCAATCAACACAAGTTTTTATCACACCTATCTTCAACTCCAAACTTTCTCTCATACTTCGTAAATTGGGTTTGATTCTCTATATGCTTCTTATGCCTATTTACCCACATATTGCTTTCCATATGTGTGTGTGTGTGTGTGTGTGTGTGTGTGTGTCAAAGAGAGAGAGAGAGAGAGAAACAGGGAAATGGGAAAAACCTGCTCGCTAGAGACAACTCGGATAGGGCCAATATTCACCGACACATATTTGCCTTTGCTTGATAGTGTCTGCTTTACACAATCCTTTGATGGGGGCAAAAAACATAGATACACGGATTAGTAGGATTCTTGTCTTCTCAGGATTAGAATATTGCTTGAAAGACATTACATAAATATATATTCTAATATGATTCTTTTAATGGAGTAATAGCTCACATCCAAACATAACATAATATAGGAATAAACAGTTAGCAGCTAAGCTACTGCACAATACTAAGCATAGACCAAAGCAAGAGAACAAAAGCAATATACTATGTAAGTACTGATTCTATTTGAGCTAGCATGTTTCCAATCTGCAGACTGATAATCAGAAGAGTTAATATAACAAATCTCGTTTCATGTGCCTAAAGCATCATACCGAATGATGTATTCAAGAGGAAAAAAAGTTACCTCTGGGATTTGTCGATCAATAACAGATTCAACAGCAACAACCATAGCATGAACAAAGTCATCGCCACCAGTCCCGATCGCAGTAAAGCCTCTATCCGTTGGGTATGTATTGACCTGGCAAAGTAAAACGCCAGCCTCGAGTCAGACAATATCCATTAGTGACTGCATTCCAAATCTACAGGGCCTTCACAAACACCAGCACATAGTATTTGAAGGCAAAAAAATAAAGACCAACTCTGACCAAACAAGAATAAAGATTTTCTGCAAGGGATACCTTCTGGTCAAGTTCGAGCCAGTCTTTAGCAGACTCATCAGCCACAGTGCCTCCGATAATCATATTAGTAGTCTTCCCTACCCTCCCATCAGTCTTTGACACTTCTGCATCCCAATCAGCAAAATGAATCAAAGTATTATTAATAAACTAGTACTCGTGACTCTTCACCATTCAAGCTTTGATTGTTCTAAATTCCCTAAAGAATCACCCACTAAGTGCAGGATTAGTTAATCGAATATACTACAGTTTGTTTTAGTCCCGTAGTATCGAGCAAATATTCGCGTGCATATCAATAGAACCTACAAATCCGTTTTCCATTTCGTCACAGATCCAAACCATATCGCATCCGATAGCCAAATCAATCTCGGCCAAGCAAACAAAATCACTCAAAACGAGGTACTAGGGAGAAATTTCATAGAGCAAACACCTGAAATCGCCTTGAGAACAGCTTCTTGAGGCGGGCCTTGCTCGGATTGATCGTTATTGGTGCAATTGAGCCGAGGGACCGGGTCGGGAACAGAGGCAAAACCACTGAAACTTAGACTCTTTGGCGCCGGGAACAATCCATGGACCGGAAAAGACGCCGGAGAAGGAGGGAGAAAGAAGCACCTACTTGAAGTCCGACGTGATTCCGATAGGAAAACGGAACGCAGTATCGTTTTGCAAGCCATTTTTCTCAAGCTAGCTCTTAGGAGATGATGAGTCGTACAAGCTTAACGCTGCTGCGTTTGGTTAATTTATGCCCCTTAGGTTTACGCGTCTTGTGTAAAAGTAAAACCATCTCCAATTGTTTTGGAGTTTTGTTGAATTGTAAGCTTCACGTATTCAACAATCATATAATTGGAGTCATTTTAGTTGTTAATCACATACTATTATTTGTTGGAAGATTTGATCAATCCTTTAAGACTAGAGGATCGTAAGAACACAGAATTACCCTTTTTTCAGAGCTTATTGTTACAGTATTATCTTCTGTAAATAAGAAACTCATATGGAAACTGTGTGTACACCTTGTGTTCGTGCCACAAAACCAGAACATAACTGCATAGCTCAAAGCTCATACTAATGGCAAAATACCTTTCTCTTACCCCTACGAGGAACGCATACGAAAGAAACAAACATCCTAAATAATTAAGTAAGAAAAACAAATTTGATGGATGTGTACACGATCTGCTCGGTAAACAAAAACAGTAGCCAGAAACGTTACTCTCTTCAAACTTAGAACAAGGTTCTGTTGTTGTGGGGGCGAGGAAAATGTAAGTAGGAGCTTTTTATCTAGCAGGAGGTGGAGGGCCAAGGGATTTAGCCATGTTAATCCAAGCAACAATCCCAACAGCGAGAATTACCCAACCGCATACATCATATGTGAAGTCATAGTTCTTCTTCTTCTTCTTACCGCCCTGCAAATTCCTCACATATGAGATTCTTTCACTTTCTTGCTTACTAGATTACCAGCAATAACACTGTGATAACTTACGCTAGCATTTGATGAAGCTGAAGGACCTCCTCCTCCACCACCTAGTACCTGCTGTCCCATTCCATGCCTATTTATCTCCACATGCAGTTCCGGGGCCTATTCCCATATAGACATATTAAGGTTTTAGGTTTAAAAACATGTCATCAACATAAAACAGATACAAATGATTCTCAACTCGGTTTATCTATTGTAAAAACAATATGATTAATGTTATGACATAAAGATTGAAGTTGAAAATAGTACCTTCGCTGCAACCTCCAAGGACTTGCGATATAGCTCATTACCTGGATCCTAAGAATGTAAAAAGCAAATAAAAAGTAAGCAGTTTATCACGCTACACTCATAGCAATATTGTTGTCATTACAAAACCATAAAGACTGAAGATGTACCTCATTTTCCGCTCTTTGGAAATAGTCAGTGGCTTTATCAAAGTGACCTTTGGCTCCATCGGCATCTGGAATCAGAAATGCGTGAGAAGTGTAGGCGTTCCCAATACACCAAAGAGCCTGATGCTTCCTTGGATTCAATGTCAATGCCGCTTCCAACTTGGAAATAGCATCTACATGATCAATGAACATTTTGAGCAAATTAAAAAGCGGATGTGAAGCAAAAGATGATTTAAAGCTTTAAGAAGAAAGCATACCATTTAACATCTGCTTCGCATCAGGAACATTCTGGAACTGCGAAAGTTCAAGTAATGCTCCACCCCACTTCACCAAATTCTGCATAAAATAAAATATCCATAAAATCTTTTTCTTGATTTAAGAAACAATCTTAAGGAATCAGAGAAAATCATTATCTCAATCTCATCACCCCAATTCTAATATTTCCTTTGAAGTAATAGCCCAGCCAATCGACTCAAGTGTTGATAGGTAAATGAAGTAGGGTCGTATTCATTATCATGAGCAAATGATTCAAGCTGTTTTCAAATTCATACGCGACATTTCAATGAATTCAAGACCCAAAGTACACACATAAGTGATTACTAACAATACAGAGTAAACATCACACACACACGCAAACAAAAACCAATGAAGACAATCAAGTAATCCATTTTTATTCAACATCATTGTGAAAATCATATAATCAAGAGGAGACTGGTACAAACCTCGGAATCGAGAGGATCTTTCTCGTACTGAGTCTCACAAGCTTTACGAGCATGCTCGAACATAAGAAGCCTTTCAAAGTCGGCGGCAGAGAATTCCATCGTGAGATGCAGGGGAAAGACAATCTAGGTTTCGCTTGATTCTGTTACTGGGGAGAGAGATTACAAGACCTCGAAAACGAAAACAAGTTCGACTGTGTAACACATTTGTGTGAGGGTTTTAAGCCTACAATTCGTGGATGTTTGTAACACGTTATTGGGCTTTAAGTGGACTTTCTTATGGGTCTTTTGATGCTATCTTTCCTTGGTAAACGCTCCATTCCATGTGTTCTCTCACTAGTATGTACTTCACTGGTAAACATAAATCCAATCAAAAATTTTATTAAGTTCTCACTAGTATGTACTTGGTTGTTCCAATGTGAGAGCGAGATATACGTTACGACAGAATTAAGAAGTTTTTACTTCTTCTTCACCATTTCCGTCAGGTTGTGTTTTTAACCTTTGTTGATGTTCTACCGAAGGCTAAAGCAAGCCATCGGAATTCTGTACAAAAATAAAATATTTTGTTTTTTTTTCTTTCTCCAGTTGTCTCAGTGTTTATCAATTATAAATTGCAAATTCTATGGAATCCATTTAAAATTACCAATCGACTAGTGAACACGTCCGCACCTTACACGGGTTGATATTGATTGTTTAAAAATTTTGTAGTAGTTTAGATTAATTTGTTTTCTTATTTTTTATTGTTAAATATATTTATTTGTTTGATTTCATTGCATTTTTAATGTTTGAAGACATGATGCGGACTATAAATACTATTATTGTTTTTTCATCCATTGAGCTGATGTATTTTTTGAATGAGCATATGAACTATATATATATATACATAATAATCAAGAGAACACAATCATAATGATTTGAAGTACCGTACAAATTTATTTGAAGAAGAAGGAAGATGTTAAACAATTTAGAAGGGTGTGAGAAATTAAAAAGAAGTCGTGTACAGATTTATATTATATTTGAAGTCGAAAGCCCTAATACAGATATCACAAATATCGTCCTTCCATTAGACATTTCATTTACTGATTTTTACGTTTTCATTAGATTTAACTATATATAAGGTTTTTAAAATTTGAAAATAATTTGATTGACAATGGAATGAAATAAAAAACCACAATAACTTCGAGCTATATGTTTTAGGTTATTTTAACTATCATCTAAATATTATCCTTTTCCCAGTTAAAAAATTACATGTAATTGAAAATCATCCCATAAAATAAATATATAGATAACACACTCGAGTTGTGAAAATCATCCTCTAAAATAGCCCATTTATTAAGTTAGGCGAAGCAGCCCAATAGGCCCATGAAGTTGAACCCACCTAGATTAGGGTTTCATATGTCTCCCTTATATATAAACAATCTCGAAAATTAAGAGGAAGAAACCTAGTCTCTTCTCCGTCAGTTCTTCTGTTTGGCCGTCATGGTAAGTGCTTATTACACTCTTTACCAAGTTCTCTTTACCAAGTTTTCGCTCACAATCTGTGCCTATATTCTTATGTTCTGTGCATTCGTATTGCTTTTTCTTCAGGTGAAGTACTCGCAAGAACCCGACAATTCCACCAAATGTGAGAAACTCTTTCTTTGTTCTTATTTAGCTCACTGTTATTGCGTTTTGGGAGTGATGCATGATTATTAATTTCAAATGGTTTCGATTGCTATGTTTTTGCAGCTTGCAAGGCGAGGGGAGCCGATCTCAGGGTCCACTTCAAGGTAAACATCTTGTGCCGATATTGGATCTCGAAAAAATGAATCAAATTTGCTTGTAGATAGAACAAACCTGATTAGCAAAAAGCAGGGCTCTGCTTGTACATAACAGAGCTCACGTAAATGTCAGGAAAATCGAATTGGTCATCGTGATTGGGTGAACCTACGTTTCTTCTAATAGCTGATGGTTCAGTACATGATGGTACATTTTAGCTCAAAGTATTGTTCTTTTTTATTTATTAGCTGCCTTTTTTAATTGGTTTCATTAATTTATAAGTAGCTCGTGATCTCGCAATCAAATGGTTATAGCTATACTCTGCTTTAAAATCTTGCATTTTCAAAAGTTTAATCATTTCTACCGTTGTATACAATTTAAGATGCTTAAGGTTTTGTGAATCTAATAGTGTTATCTTGTCTTTGTTGTAAATTTGATTTGTGTGAACAGAACACTAGGGAGACAGCGCATGCCATAAGAAAGCTACCATTGAACAAGGCCAAAAGGTACTTGGAAGATGTGATAGCTCACAAGCAAGCTATCCCCTTCACACGTTTCTGTCGTGGTGTGGGTCGTACTGCTCAGGCGAAGAACAGGCATTCAAACGGTCAAGGTCGCTGGCCTGCTAAATCCGCTCAGTTCGTTCTTGATCTTCTCAAGAACGCTGAGAGCAATGCTGAGGTGACGTTGGACTCTAACTCTACTCTACAGTTTTGTTTCTTTTAAAGTGATTTGGCGGTTCTGTTCCGTTTCTAATGATAATCCATTTGATGTTCATCAGGTGAAAGGTTTGGACGTCGATGCCCTCTTCATTTCACACATCCAAGTGAACCAAGCAGCAAAACAGAGACGGAGGACATATCGTGCTCATGGAAGAATCAATCCTTACATGTCAAACCCATGCCACATTGAGTTGATTCTGTCAGAGAAGGAAGAGCCTGTGAAGAAAGTGCCCGAGACTCAGCTTGCAGCCAAGTCAAAGAAAGGAACCTCGTCTTGAGCCTTAATAGTCAGTAGTATTTGTGAGTCAGCTCTGTTACAACGTTTGATACATTTTGTTCGCTTTTGTTTCTATAAAGACAAAGTTGCCAATTTAAAGACATATATGATGATTGGTTTTTGGATTGATGCTTCACTTTTGCTTTATTGATTAACCAATACAGAACTTGAAAGTAAGGGAAAATGAGTTGAATCTTCCCCCTGGTTTATTAAAACTTACAATGATTAATCAGCCTAATAATGTTGATTGAATTATGAGTTTGTGTATAAGTCTCGTGATTTTAAAATCGAAAATGCACACTTGGTCAATGTTATCCAAGTGATTATCTAAAGTCAGAGTCTTTTTATAGCAATTTTTGAACTTTATAAATGAAGCAACAAAACGTGAACGGCAATTAAAATGGTGATGGAGTCGTCGTCGGCGATCATACCCGGCTTGACGGACGACGCAGCGGAGCTCAGCCTCTCGCGAATCCCGCGCTCTAGCTTCCGGAGCGTTTCCCAGGTCAGCCGGCGATGGAGGACATTCCTCAGGAGCGATCATTTCGCTGCCATCCGAGAGTTGACCGGAACTGTTGAGGAGTTCATGTGTGTTCTGATGGAAAGCGAGTGTGGAAGAGACGTGTACTGGGAGGTTTTCGACGGCTCCGGGAACAAACTGGGACTGATCCCTCCCGTCCCTGGACCTTTGAAGCGCGGTTTCGGCGTCGCTGTGCTCGATGGCGGGAAGATCGTTTTCATCGGAGGATACACGGAGGTCGAAGGCTCTGGGATCAATAGCACCACCGTCTCTGCTTCTGCCGATGTTTACGAGTTCGATCCTGCTGCTAACAGGTCTTCTTTCTTTCCTTAATCCCCTTTAGAAATGATTCTTCTAATTTTAATTTTGAGCAATGAGTAAGTGAAGAGGTTTTCCTTTAAGACAAAACCAGATTTGGGAATGAAACTTAAGTCTTGATTTCTTGTCGGAATGATAATAACAGCTGGAGAAAACTGGCGGGGATGAACATACCACGCTACAACTTTGCATTTGCTGAAGTGGACGGCCTTTTGTATGTGATTCGAGGCTATTCAACAGATGCTTATAGCCTCTCCAACTCGGAAGTATACAACCCGGAAACTAACCAGTGGAGCATTATGGATTGTCCAAACCGCCCGGTCTGGCGTGGCTTTGCATTCTCCTTCAATTCCAAACTCTACGCTGTAGGTAAGGTTAAGAAAAATGCCGGCAATGGACACTTGTTGAACTTAGTTTTGCTCACGTAATTTGATGTAATCTTTCAGGGAATGGATCGAGATTCATCGACGTATACGACCCAAAAACGCAGACATGGGAAGAGTTAAACTTGGAGAAATCAGTGTCGGTCTATTCCTATACTGTTGTGAGGCACAAAGTGTATTTCATGGACAGGAACATGCCGGGACGTCTGGGAGTGTTTGATCCAGAAGAGAGTTCATGGAGCTCGGTGTTTGTGCCTCCGAGAGAGGGAGGTTTCTGGTTCAGACTAGGGGAATGGAACAATAAGGTTTTGCTGTTCTCACGGGTTTGTGGACATGAGACCTTAATGTATGATCTTGATAAAGAGACAGGGTCCAAGTGGAGAGTGTGTGATCAGATTAAACCATCTGCTTCTCAATTGACCAGCGTTCTCATCAACTTCTGATCTTCTCTTTTTAACTTCATTCTTTTCCAAACAAGTCTTTGACCTTTTGGCACTGTGAGTTTGTGTGTTTGGCCAAAAATGTCCCCAATTTCTCAACTTTGTCAATGATACATGTATTTGTTGTGTGTGTATACTAATCTTGTGTAAATATAAATGTTTCCACATTTGCTTCGACATCCCTTCACTTATGAGAAATAAATTTTTATTGTTTACTTGTATATGCCATTCTCGATTTTAATGCAAGTTGTCTGTTTTCTAACCGTTAAACAACCTTAAAGACATTTAAAGATTCTGTACAAAAGAAAAAAATTTCTCCAAACAATTTCTCAAAAAAGCATTATTCTTTCTGAAACAGAGGGAGAGAATTCTTTACAAGAAAACATCTGTTTATTTATTGTCTCCCATGTTTTAATGTGAGCGAAGAACTCAAATGTGTCTGAAAAAGATCTATCTATATATTCTATAAGCCTAAGAAGTATGAAAAGCTATCTGTAAAAAGAAGATTTTTGTACAAAGAGAGAAGTGAAGAGAAGAGAGAGAGGTTAGAAATCATCAGCGCGGTGAATCTCGCCCATAAGAATGCGATTGCTAGCGACTTTGAAACCGAGGAGAGCTGGATCAAGCTGCCTCCCTTTCTTCCCTTTCTTCTTCCCTCCGCCTTTGCCTCCTTCGTTGGCTGCATCTGATAACGATGACTCGGCCACCTTCTTCATGCTCATGCTCATGCTACTTCCACTACTCTTCTTCAACATCTCACTGAACGAAGACGCCTCTGCCGTCGTCGTCCCTTTGTTCCCCGCTCCTCCTGCTTCCCGTCTCCCACCTCCTCCTGATCGATATCATACAGAACTCCTCCTAAGTCTCATAGATACCAGATGCGTACAAAAAAGAAAAGGATATATCCTTGAGATGATAAGAAAGATACCTTCAACTCCACTATACGAAGAAGTGGCTGTCCTGCTAGCTGTGTCGGACATATGCTCGAGCAATCCCTCATGCGACGATGACGAATGTGATGACGGAGGCCTTTTTAACATCACTGATTCCTGCCCGTGTGATGCCACTACCAACCTACCAACATAAGAAAACATTTAATCAACATACAGTATGTATATATAGAGAGGGTGCTTTTTACTTGTCTAATCTACTGTTGCTAAGCGTCAGAATACAAATTTACCTATCCTTCCTTCTATCTTCTCCAACTAAGTTGTCGCTGTATGGGTCTGCAGCAAGAGAGTATATCGGGATCAGCCCTCACAATACAAGTCCACCACCCAAACCAAGAATTGGATTTAGGCGTAACAATTACTGTGGAAGATACATACCAGATATATTGAAAGAAGACTGTTGGGCAGGCGTAACAACTGGAAGCTCCCCTTGAACCAAGGACTCTAATTGCTTGCCCATTCTGTCTTTGACTTCAAATGACATCCTTCCCATTCCCTCATTTTTAGGCGGCACATTGTTCCAAGTTTTGATGTCATTCGCGTCTTTATTCATAGCAAACATATTACTCAACGCTTGATGAGTTTCATTCTGTGTTGACCGCCCACCATCCATACTTCCAGAATGCAAGGAACTACTACGATGCAATGATCTCATATAGTTCCCGTCTCCTGGCAATCTGTTTACCTGTTCATCAGAAAATGACTGCGACCCAAAAGTAGATGAAGCGTTTTGGCCACGGCCTGAAGGAGCCATCCTGTCATAGGGTTGCCCACGGTTCAAGCTCGGTGACTCAGCAGATTGATGGCCGGGTCTCTGGTGGAGCAACTCCATAAAAAGCTGCTTTGACTTGTCGTCTGTAGATCCATCTCCCATCCATGAATTGGAATCTTCGCCCAATCTCCTCATTTCTGACCTCATTCTATGATGTTCAGAATCAATATTTGATCTATGAAATTGAGATTCGGCCCAGTCACCAGGTAGCTGTGTATCAGCTCCAGGCCAGCGTTCCCTCGTTGGTTCCAATTGTGCAAAATGCGGTTCACCTAATGGTATACGAGGATTCTGTTGATTGAAACCCGGAGTGGAATTTCCCAATCTGCCAGAAGACTGCATGCGGGCAGTGGCATCCCGCAAGTCTAGACCCTGCGAGAGTCCAAGTACTGCATTCAGATTCATCCCCGGTGCACTTACAGGTAAGGATGCTGATCGCTCAAATGGAAGACCCTGCTCGAATAAATCTTGTCGAACTTGTTGCTGATATGAAATGTTCCGCTCAAGTTGACCAAACTGATCCTCAAAGGGTGGCCTCTGCTGCTGTTGGTGAAAGTCTAGTGGTTCAAATCCCGCAGAAGAGCGGGAGCGGTGGATTCCAAGATGAGTTCTTAGAAGCTGATCATTATGATCAGATGGCCACAGAGGGTCAATATGTCTCTGTTCATCCATTAGTGTATTGTGCCTCACTCCATTTGCCAACTGCATGAGCTGCTCGTGCTGTAGTAGCTGGTGCTCCAAAGACCGGATTGGTTCAGATTGCAGTAGTCCATGTTGAGATTGCATTTGACCGTATTGAGACTGCAGTAGCTGTTCAAGTAGCTCTTTCTGATGGCCTTCATGAGGCAACTGCCCAAAATTTCCTGCGGCTAGTTGCTCAATGTGTGGTGCAAAATTATGTGACGGATAGCCAGAACTCTTCTGCAATTCATTCATTAGCCGCTGCTCTAACAAAATCTGATCAACACTTTTGGATCGCGGAAAGTCATGTGACTGTCCAAACCTTGAATCAGGAGTCTGTCCTTGCAGAATCTGTTGCAAATGAAATTGTCGCGCATGGGACTGTTGTTGCTCCTGTAATAGCTTCTGATGTAATTGATGTTCTTGTTGCAACTGAATCTTCTGCTGCTGTTGCAACTGAAACTTCTGCTGCTGTTGCAACTGAATCTTCTGCTGCTGCTGCTGCTGCTGCAACTGAATCTTCTCCTGCTGCTGCAACTGGAGAGTTATTAAGTGCTCCAGATCCTGAGCTTGATCACTTATATTTAAATGTGACAGCATATCCCGATTATGCAATTGCTGTTGACGATGTTGATTTGATGGAAATTGATCCTCAAGGTTAAAGCGGTTAGATTCATAATCAAACTGCGACATCCGGTTAGCAGCCAGAGCATCGAGAGACATGTTAGGGTCAATTTGTGTATTTTTCCGGGAATCAATGGGCCAATTGTCTATAGAACCAGTAGGCTCCCCCATTGCACCATAAGACCTGTTAGGTAACCGATTAACTGGTGTATTACCGCTCTCTAGCTCAGACCACAACAAACCAAACGGGTGCAGCTTGTTCTCATTTTGATTTCGAGTAGCAGCTTTAGTTGATTCAACAGGAATAGCAGAGTGGCCAGAAAAGTCCATTGAAGCATCATGCATACTTGTCGAGGATTTTACCGACGCATAACCAGAAACTCCAACTCTTCCAGGGAATACGATTTCTGATTTAGAAAAAAAAATACAACAAGATTGTTCAGTTATATGAATACAAAACAATTTAATATGATTATGAGAGAAAGAAATGTGTTCGCCCATACAAATGCACACAAACGAGAAAAGGTTAGCAGCATAACAAACCTTCATCTTGAGCAGAAAAATCCAAAAAACTTCGGTCATCAGCATGTGGTGGTTTCAAATAAGCTTCAGACTCGGACTTTCTATGAAAATTCTCGTGGGCTGAGGGGTTATTGTACATGGAAAATGAAGGAGACGTGTCAGTAATAGAGGATGGACCATTAGACTCTGCTACAGGTGCAATTGATAAACCAGTCTCCGAATTTGCTTTTAAACTGATCCCTTCTAGCTCACTCTTTTGATCACTGATATGGGCATGAACACTTTCTGTCTTTAAATATGACATGACACTGCCTAGATCTTGAAAAGGAGTTCCATCTGGGGCATTTTCCAAGCGAACCTGTAGGTCTGTCCCAAAAAATCCTTGTTCAAACCATGAAATAATGTCAGAACCAACGAACGGTCCCTGAATTACTCCTTGAGGATCAATATACAAGAACATAAACTCGTCAGGTGGTATAGCCCCTTCTGAGTGATTTACTTCAATATCTGGTTCCTGCAGCTTTCCCATGTAATCTTGCTCAAAAGAAGCAACAATGGGTTCGCTTCCGTTTACCACAGAGGATTTATCAAACGCAGATCTAACCGCTTCAGGACTTCCATGAGATACTTGATAACTTTCAGAAGCCACTGAATTCAGTCTTGAGACACTTGAAACACCCAACGGACCTCCATTATGACTACCAAGTAATCCTACAACAATAATTGTTTGGCTTTGTTTCAGATTCCAGAATATATAAGACTTTAAAAATGCCAGCAAACTTATAAGGATGAACCTGAACTACAAAATTCATGATTTTTGAAAGACCTATTAAGCACCTACCCGAATCACGATTATGCATGGAACGATTGTCACCATTCAAAACCCCTAGCAAAGCACCATCCTCTTTTGTCTCACCTGAGTCAGGTCACAGAAGCACTTGTTATATTTTGCTAGGTGGAGGCAACGCAACTAAAGACAAGATAGAATACCTAGACTATTGTTACCTAAGGATTCTTCCCCAGATGAAATGTGAACTTCACTACTAGTGATCCTTCCCTTCCATATACCGTTAAGGCTTGCCTAATAGATGAGATACCCATCAACAGACTCACGAAAAGTTAGTTACAAATAAGAAACAGAAATATTAATGACACACTTATGGAAAAGGAAAATGGAATAAGTTCTCAGTGGGGACCATACCTCTTCTTCAGCATCAGGTGCGATAAAAGCTAGAGGTTCGATCAAAGCAACTTGAGTAATGGAGGCAACTTCCTCCATCTCAATGGGCACCCTACCGAGGGAAGGATCAGGCTTCTGTTTTCTATACAAGTCAAGCAACTTAGCCCTTGGATACTGGTACATAGAGGCTGCAGGGCTTTGTTTACCAGGGATACCTTCACTTCTTAAGAACGCACCAGCACCAATTAAGGTAGTTGAAGAACCCCTCCCAGTTACGGACGCCCTTCCTCGTCCCACGGTGAACCCTAAATGTGAGCCCTCGGTTCGTCCTTTATCAAGTCCAAACCCAGGTGCAGCGCGATAAGAATTGGGCCCACCAGACTGGGGTTCCATTCTATGACGTGGCCTCCATTTGTCACGAGGTTCAGAGTCCCGTTCGCTAGTTGCACGGACGCTGCCAACCGCAGATTGACTTTCCATGTGAGGCTCTTCCTTGTCCTTGTTATTATCTACCTTCTCAGAACGAGTTTCTTTATCTTTGTCTTCAGGACCCCACCGAGATGACCATTTGTTGTCGCGTCGAGGTTCATGTACAGCAGCACGAGAATTAACATCATTCCACCTATCAGAAGATGCAAAGGTTTTACTGTCGCCGGTTTCTCTGCTTGAGACATTGTCAATGCGACGTTCTGATTTTCTTCGATCCCCTTTCCTAGCACTGAGTAAACCAGTTTCTCTTTCCTCCTCACGCCATCTGCGACTTGTTTCATTCTCAGGAACGATTTTCTTCCAGTCCTTTTTGTCTTCTGGTGCATCCAAGCGCCATGCATCCTTCAGATTTGGGTCACTTGGATTTCCCATGGGCACTGGAGTAGGAGATCGAACATCCTACACCATAGCAAGCGCATCACAGAAATTGACCATGAGAACAAAGTGTAAAATGTCACAGGGAAACAGCAAGACTCATCTAACAACTTGTTACTTTGTGGATAAGAAGTTAGAGTACATCAAGGTGAGAAGACAAGAAAAGTGTTTAGGCCTTGATAAGGTATTACCATCTTGCTCTCGCTTGATTTCGTGTAAAGCCACTGCGGAGACAACGGAATGCTGTTATCTGACGCCAATTCTGCAGAAAAGAGAACAATTATAAGGTGGTGGATACTGGATAGGTGAAGGAAATCAGAGAATCCAAACAGATACATAGTCAAGCACTCCTTAGTGCCCGAGTTAAAGGCACGAACAAGTGATTGGTTCTTGTTTCCAGATCCCAAACTCTGGAATTGGGAGTAAAAACAAAAACATGAAGTTGCTAATGTATCTGGACGTAACAAGGTTGATAAAGATAGATTGAAATCGTAGAACCCTAAGCAGCACAAATTAGGTCAAATTTGAAATCTAAACATGCCTGCCGCATCCTAGGGAATTCAGATCCGGAAACCAGACGATTGTCGACATTCAAATCGGTCGAGAATGGAAGGAATTCAAAGAACAGGAACTAAGGAAAAAAAGTCGAGGATTAAGAGAGGGAAGTACCTTTCAAGTGATCAGACGATTTGGACAAGATCAGATCGTCAGGCAGATCGAGCTTCCTTGCTTCGGCCATTGCAGGATTGAAACAACCAACTTCGAGGATACGTGAGAGAAGGAGATGAACGAATAGAAGAAGTAGAAGAAGAAAAGTAGAGGAGAGAGGGTTTTGGGGAGATTTGGCGGAGAGCTTATCGCTGGTTTTGGATTTGCGTTTGGAAGAGAAAGCTTTCGCGGCGAGATCGAGAGTGAGAGAAAGAAACAAACAAGACTGAGTGAAAGGGCGATAAAGGAAAGGCTAAGGAGGCCTTGCGTGACCGATCCGAGTTTGCCCCCAGGTTTTTTTTTTTCCTTTTGTTTTGTCAACCCCAGGTTTTTCTTTTTTTCTTAAAAAAAAATAAAAAATTCATTATTAATATTCGAACGAGTTTCCGTCTAATCATTACCGCATCTATAACCGCAACCACTGACTTGCCCCGGCTGGTTTCAATCCATAGTGTAAGAATTAACCACGTTGATGTTGGCAAGAGTAAGCATTTAAGTAGCTGACGAACAATTTCTTGATGACGACGACAACAACAACAACAAAAGAAGATCAGTACTCAAATCACATTTTGTTTTGGTGTGGGGATGCCTACTCTTAAAAAAAACAAATTAATTCAACATGTAAAACCAATAACCCAACAACACAAGGTTTCAAATATTATTCCTTTGTTAAATCAAGTCAAGACAGAGACTTAATCTACCATTCCTTATCAAATAACTAGGACCATGTTTGTTGTAGCTCCTCTAGCTTCTCTTCCGCCTTACTCGTTTTTTACCGCACTGGTACAGCTTTCTGTGTTGCCAACTCCCGGCGAATTTGATGCATCTGATTCACCACACGCCCTTAGAACAGCCTCATTCTGCAATAGACCCTCTAAACTGTTAAAACTAATTGTGTCTGATGAAGATATAAGAGGGTTTATATATTCGGTGGGAGATTGGACAGATGTTCATACAAGTTGATACATTGACCAAGCTTTGATGCATAACGAAAAACTTTAATCAAAATACTAAATCTCGAGTATAACACGCTGGGATGCACAAGAAGATGAAGCGGTTTTTTATTTAAGAAATCAACTCAAGCATATTGACAAGCTTTAGATGATTTATCAAACACCAAATCGGGGAACAATGACTTCCAAGCGTATGTCTAATTGATCGGTAATGCAAATTCATACTCTGGTTAACTATATAACATAACTAAAGCGGACAAACTCTGTTCTTAGTTTGACAGAGAGATAGAAGTCTAAGGCCTATCAAGAACAAAATCTTGAGCAGCATAAGTGATTACTAAGTAACACAGTTGGTCTTACCATAATTCATTACAACTAATCAAACGAGACCAGATCACATAAACTGAACAATTACCTGTAACAATTTTGCAATCAAATGAATCCATCAACAGTTTCCAACAAGAAAAACCAATAAACACAGTCTTAGTCCATCATTGGCCGAAAATTTTGGAGCTTCTAAAGTAATATAAGCCGATCAAGCCAGAGAAATGAAGCCGGGAAACGCATAAACCCTAAAAAAGTGGAAAAGGAGAGAACCTGCCAAACGCGACGGAGGCGGGTTTTAGCATTGGCTTTACGAGTAGGGGTAAGCTTGATTCGTTTCCAAAGAAGACCACCGGAATCGTGCTTCTTCACTATTTCCATAACCCGAGTTCCCCAAAACGCACCCATTCCTCCTCCCATGGCCGCCTCTCTTTCTCCACTACAAGAGACAAAGCAACCTGTCTTTGATTTGTTTCAGCTTTCCTCCGATCAGCCCATTTACTTGTAAACTAGGCCCATTTCAGTTATATCCGCAAATATTCATATACAACTTGAGGGAACCAGTTTTTTTTTATTACTTAAACAAGTTCAATTTCAAAAATAAAATCATGTACCTAAGAGCTTGTATAAGTACTATCGGGTTTTTTTTACTCACATTCAAATATGTATGTGAGTGAGTTGTTAATAAACATAATTTTTTGGACACCAGGGATTGCTTTAAATTTTCAATCTTGAGTCCATTGTTAGTGGATTTGTTAATTTAACTTATTCGGGTTAGTAAACGTACAAGATTGGCGTTAAAGAGTTTCAAGTTAGTTAGTATTGTGAAGACAAAAAGAATGTAGTACGATCGAGAAGGTGTAAGTGGCCCATGTATTTCGACTGTAATGCTATCTACAAAAACCCATCCACCGGAGAAGGAGTACTAAAAAAGAAACAACATATATGCTCTTATCTCAAAAATAAGACATAACGCTTTCTGGATTTACCAAGGTTTAAGATCACCAACTGGACCAGCAGTCCAGTTCAGTACCTTCTCGCCTGCTTTCAAGTATATGCTTCTGTCGTGTGGTAACTTCCGAGCTAACCCGTTAAGTATCTGATGGAATGCGTCCCCTGGTTGCGCTGGTTGAGGGAAGAGCATGGCTCGTTTCATCGAAGGATTGGCGAGGAGTCTCTGTTTCCTGAGGATCACTTGTGTTGGTATTGAGGTAAGGATCGTGTCTAGTTCAGGGACGTCTTTTTCACCAACAAAGACTCCTATTTCTTCCCAGGGGATGGCGTCTGCGAAAGGCAGTACTATGTCGTCCGCTATAATGACTGGGATGCACCCAAACACAACCGCTTCAACTAGCCTCGGGCTCCATGGAGCCCATCCTAGAGGACATAGACAGAAGATGGATCTTTGCATGTCTTCGTAGTATGTTGTTGGGTGATCTGTTGAGATGTCGAATAAAGGGTTGTTCTTGAAGTTTTCCCACACTGCTGCTCTTGCGCCTCTGTACAAAGAGAGAAACCCCATTCAGCAGATTCCAAGGCTATTTAATTCTAAATGAGGAAAATTGGTTCTTTGGTTTACGAGTCCACTAAGTATATATGTACCTTGCATAATAGCCTCCTTCTGGGTCGTTGTTAACATCGTAGAACAAACCGCGGAAGTAGACAAAGATAGAGCGTGGGATATCTGGAGGAATAAGATGGGCCTGCATCTTCTGTGGGGGTGCAAAAGGTGGAATAGTGATGGAGCCATCGTCCAAACACACATGGTTCCTCTGACCAAATGTCTGAACCAAAGTGGCACGCTGGAGTAGCGGAAGAATCCCTCTTTCAATGGCTTTTTCCTCCTGTTTAACGTCAAATCAAGATTTTTCAGTTTTCCAATTCTACAATCTTATGCAACATCCTCATAAGCAGATGCTCAGTTTCAATATAAGCAAGTACTGATGAACAGCAATCACCAAAGTATATATCTAAATTCATATAGTACCTGATAGTGGAAGCAAGCTCCAAAGTCATGGGGCACAACAAAGAAGTGATCAGCACCTTCAGTTCGATTCCAATAAGGCCAGTTTGATGAGATTAATTGTATGGCGCTTCTCATCATGCGAGGCGATTTAAAAGGCAATGGCAAGCCGGTAGGAGTGAGATCGCAAGTGGGGTAAATCGGAGTGTAGAACCAATCAGCTTCCTCGGGATTACGAGTTCGAACAGGACTAGATAAGAGGAACCTGTGCATGAAAATCTCCGCAGCGAACATGTGTGTGAGACATCGAGGGTCCTTTTGGAGTAGCTTCTTGTTGTACTTGCTTGGGAGCTCGTATACATAAACCTTTAGCCTACCCACTGGATCATCCTCCAAGACATCACCAGCACTTCCTGAATATTCACGGATTTTTCAAAACCTTTTTGAGCTCTCCTACTCAAATCAAATTATATAATAAACCCATTTGAACGAGAAAGCTATCATACCGAATAAACCTCAGATTTCAAATAATTTGAACGAAAACTAATCATTTCTTGAGAAAAGACGAAACTTTAAAGCTAAATCGCAAAATTAGATTGATCAATTCAGCTCTGCATTACCTGAAATTCGCTCCGTACGAACATTATGTTCAGCAGAAGAAGCGGAGAAGAAGAGGAAGAGAAGAATGGCGGAGAGGGAAGAGCGATTCGTCATATCGGACGGAGATGTGAGGGTTGGGTTGGATCCCGGAGAAGACAAGGCATTTAAGGAAAGAGTATCGTTGAGAGGTCATGGGCGCAGTGGTTGACGAGTTTACTTCGGGATTAGGTTTTAGAGGTTTTTTTTTAATAACAAGGAAATGAGGCGAACTTTGAAAATGAAACAGAGAAGCCGATGGAAAACGAAAGATTTGGGGAAATAGCTTCAAGTCACAGATATGTAGAAATTTTGCTTGTCATGTACTACTTTCCCATGACTGTGATGTACTTCTTCTTTCCCATTAATTAAAATGAAAATTCTTTTGACAAAGAAATTGTTCTTAATTTACGTTAAAAAAAATTGTTTTAAGAAATTTAGAAAACCAAAAATAAACTACTTAAATAAATCCGGGAATTTGGACTTTATATAATCTTCCTCGGCTGTGCTAGCTCCTCACAGGGATCTCAGTAAATCCTGGATGTGAGTTTAGGAGTTGTTTTCACCATTAATTATTGATTAGTTAATAGATAGTTGAAGGCCAAACAAACAATCATACGAATTCATTTGTTAGAAACAAGGTCGCGTCCCACCATTTTCTTCTTCATTGAAGCAATAACTTCGTTTAGTTTGGAATATTTGGATTGAATCTGGCGGTAAAATTTTCCTATTGCTCTGAAATTTTTTATAGAACAATAATTTTGGTGGGTTTGTTTGAATTACTTACAACTGCGGAGTGTTTTGCCTAGTGGCCGTAGTCATAGGCTGTGAATGGAGACGAAAATGCGGTGCGGATTTGAGAAGATTTTTAAAAAACGCTTTAACAACACCAATCAACATATATTTGTCAATACTTTGAGGTTTTGTAAAAGTAACAAAGAAAAGATAAAAAATCTTTGCACAGATTTCTATACCTAATAGAAATGAAAAACGCTTTTCAAACTCAACCACAAGGTACGGGTGGAGCAAAAAACCGCATATACTTGAAATAGATTTATTATTTTAATAATAAAACTGAGATAAATACATACTTATATATATTACATAAAAAACATTATTATAAATTTATCATTATTTTTTCAAAACAATCTTTAGTCATCTTTTTACACATTTAATATAAATACATAAAAATTATATTTATAAAAATTTTTGTGTTCAGTATTTTTTTATATGTTGTATAACTTTAATTAGATTAAAATTAATTAAAATAATCATTTTAATAATAGATTATTGATAAAAATGATATTTTTATCTTCTAAATAATTTCATGTACCAAAAGTTAAATTTTTCACCAATTAAACATTATTATGCATCATTTGTTTTATTTCATAAATAACATTTATTTCGTACATATTTAGATCTTAAGTAATTCTAAATATGTTTTAAGTGATATTAAAAGACCATAAACAACAGCTAAACATTTTACTATAGAGCAAATAAAAGACAAAATTACAGATATATTGTGGATTCAAAATATTTGATAATTGTTGTTTGTATTGTACTTTATTTATTATGAATTATCATTTTATTTTATTTTGTAACATATAAATTTTTAATTAAATTTCTATTTAAATATTTAAAGTTCATAAATATATACAATTATTTTTTATTAACCAAAATAAATAATTTAATTCTAATTATATTAAATTATATATTTTTATAATATATTTATCTATAATATGTAATCTGTACCGTTTTAGTCTTATTCACCATTCAAATATTTTTTTGTAGACTGTAAGCTGTTTTTTCACCAATCAAACATTATTCTGTACCGCTAATTATATATAAATTGCACTTGTCCCGCAAATATATTTTCCCGCACGTACCGCAGTTGAACTGTACCACACTTTAAAACCGCTTTTCCCGTACAGCAAAAAACGCTGTCACCATTCGAACCCATAATCGTTTCTTAACAATCAGATCAGTTGAATTTTTGGACGTGATTTTTTTTTTGTTAATGTGAAAAGAATTAAAAACTAGCCACCTTTGACCAAAAACAAGACACCAAGGGCTGTTTGGGCATTCGGTTATTCGGATCGGAACCAATCGGTTCCGGATATTTTGGGTAGAGGAAGTTAGGATCCATCGGGTATTTTTATAAATTTCGGTTCTGGTTTGGTACCTTTATTTCGGTTCGATTCCGGTTCGGATAATCGGATCCGGATCCTTTACCTCAAATTTTTAATTCGACTCACACTTTTTTAATAACAAAAATTCAAAAATATATATATCAAAACTTAAAAATATACCTAAAAGTCCCAAAAATAAAGAAAATATATCTGTAAAACCAGAAATATATACCAAATATAAAAAAAATAAAAAAAAACTAATATTTAGAAAGATATATAATTATACTTTGGATAATTCGGATACTCAATCGGTTCTCGGTTCGATATTAATTCGGTTCCGGTTCTTCAGGTATAAGAGGTTAAGATCCATCGGATATTTTTAAAAATTTCGGTTCGGATTCGGTACCTCCATTTCAGTTCGGTTCCGATTCGGATATTCGGATCCGGGTTTTTTGCCCAGGCCTAGTGCTTACTGCTTAGGTTGCTTTTGAGAGACTTTGAATAAGCGTTGATCACGGCGTTTTAAGATCTCTCAATCCAAAGAAAATGCAAACAATAATTGCTCTTGCTCCATTAGTTTCTCATCGTCTCTGTCTTGCTCCTCCTCCGTTCCCTCGCCACCGTCTTCTCTGCCGCCGTGCTCCTTCGATCCGCCTCCCAAGCCACCGTTCTTCTACCACCTCCTTCCGCCTCCTCTCCTCCTTCGGTAGACCCCACCACTTCCTACTTCCTTTTTTTTTTTTATAACTTTTTTTGGTTGGTGGGGCAATTCCGTCAAAGCATGAAAATCATTTGGATAAATTGGTCATTTTTTTTTCATCGTTGCTTCTCTTTTGAGTCTTTAGGTCTGTGTGTTTGCATCTGACGACGCCTTTTCGTTGATCTCCCGATTCTTGTGTTGAAAGCAGCAGCGAGTCGGGACAGTGAAATGGCAACTGAAGATGGGCAAGATCCGAGAATCCCTAAGATCGCCTCTTCCATTAGAGTCATCCCCGACTTCCCTAAACCAGGTCTTTTCCCTTTTGTACGATGATTGTTTTTTTTTCCAACTTTACTTTATAGCGATGTCGTCTCTTTCCACTTGTTTAAGCTTGATCTGTGTCTCGATCTTTGTAATGTTTGTCCCTCTGGATTGAATTCTTTTGGCAGGGATCATGTTTCATGACATAACGACGCTTCTACTCGACACTGAAGCCTTTAAAGATACCATTGATTTGTTTGTTGAAAGATACAAAGGGAAAGGCATCTCTGTTGTTGCAGGTAACTTCTTGCATAGGGGCTATAACTCATGGGTCTGTTTCGAATTAGCCTCTAGTATTATTAGTCTTGATTGGATACTGTGTGTGTGTTAACCTATAAAGTGAAAGTTGATTATTTCTTTTGTATGTAATGAGTTCTTTCTAAAATGCTTGGCAGGTGTTGAAGCTAGGGGTTTCATTTTTGGCCCTCCTATTGCGTTGGCTATTGGTGCGAAATTCGTTCCCATGAGGAAGCCCAAGAAGTTACCTGGTATCATTTTCTTTCCTCTAGTGTCTTAACTTGCTCTAATGGTTTAGTGTTATGTCGTTCGTTTAAATGTCTTCTTGCTCTAAGTTTAACAATTATTGTTTGCTCGAACTTGACTTGAGCAATGTGACTTCACTCGCTTGCTTTGTATCTAATTTTGTTGTTTACATATCGACGGAGTAAGTTGTCTATCTTGACCAATTACGAGAAAGGTGTTTGTTAAGTCATTTGAACACTTATTGAGCAACGCCAAATAAAATAACAAATCTCATTCCTAATGAGTAGAGTATGGTTTCTTGAACAGGGAAGGTTATCTCTGAGGAGTATTCACTGGAGTATGGAACAGATAAGATTGAGATGCATGTAGGAGCAGTAGAGCCTGGTGAGCGTGCTATTATCATAGATGACCTCATTGCCACTGGTGGTACACTCTCTGCTGCTGTCCGACTACTTGGTAACCTCAACATTTGAGAATTTGATTCATCGTTTTGATAAATCTTGAATAAGTAAATGTTTCACTTAAACCTTTGACTCTCTCGTCTCTTTATCAATTGGTTGTGAGTTGCAGAGCGAGTAGGAGTGAAGATTGTGGAGTGTGCTTGCGTGATTGAGTTACCAGAGTGTAAGGGAAGGGAGAAACTAGGAGAGACGCCTCTATTTATCCTTATAAGCTCGGCTTAACAAAGAAACCTCAAGGGAAATGGGGTTATATATTATTGGATCAAGTCTTTGATGCTATATTTTTTTTCATGTATGGTGAGACTTTTTGCTTGAGATTTGATCATTGTTGTTTCAAAACTTATCATAAATTGGGATTCGATTGCAGCTCTGACTGTTTGATCTAAAAGAGAAAAAAACCCGATTAAATAAAGTGTTATGGGTTTTATTTATAGGATCGAATTGTAACTGGAAAAATTTGGCCAATTCTTTACAAAAATTTTCGGATTTCATATCATTTCTCCCTTCATTTCAGCATGCTGGCTTTGCTAAGCTCGATTTATGTTCATATAATTCATTGATAAATGATTTTTTTTTTTGGTCGTATTCGTTGATTAATGAATAAAAATAGGTATGTGTATTTTGGGAATGTTTTCTTCAAGCATCTTGTAGTTGAAAACAGATATACATGTGGGACCCAAAACAAAATTTCAAATTACATTAAAAAAAAAAACAAAAAAAAAAAAGAAATCACAGCGTGGGTGACGCTGGCTGCTGCTGCTGCTTACACTTACAGTGACATGAACAACACAGAGGCAAAATGACAAAGAACGCTTCATCGATTTCGGATCTCCGCTTTGATTAATCGATTTTACAAAATTTCCTGGGTTTTGATTTCTCGCTCCTAATTTTGCTTGACCAAAGCTCAAGTTTGGGCTGTTTTCATGGCTGCTATTCGCGTTTCTCGATGTCCCTGATTGCGTTTTGTTTCTACCATTTCCTTGTAAGCTTTCGCCATTTTTTCTTCTGCTTAGCTTTTTTTTTCCTTTTCCTAAGCTTGTTTTCTCTTTGGGACTATGCTATATCCTTCACTTTGTGAAAGCAGCAACATTATTGTAGAGGTTAAAAGGCAGCAAAATCTAATAGCCTTAAGGATTTGTGGTTATATTCTGAAAATCTGTTTTTTTTTCGTAGTGAAGCTGCGTAGATCTGTTGAATCCATTAATCGCATTTCTGCGTCTGTGAAGAGAGGAAGAGGAGGAGGATGTTGTGTGCTTGTTCAGGCGAACAATTCCGGTTCGAGGAGCAGCCTGGGTCGCCGGAATCACTAGCAACAAGAGATTTCTCAGCTAGTGGACTTTCTTCTTCCAGAACTAGAGGAGGCGATTGGGATTCAAAACTGGAAGAGATTCAAGTGGATGAAGCTGAATCGACTCTAAAGGAGGCTCTCTCACTCAACTATGAGGTGAGTTTAGCTACTTCTGCACTCAAATTTTTGGGTAAACAGAAATCACCGATTCCTTCCTGATGTTGAGCTTGCTTTTTCTGTTTTTTAGGAAGCTAGGGCTTTGCTGGGGAGACTTGAATATCAGAGAGGTAATTTCGATGCAGCGCTTCAGGTGTTTAAGGGGATTGATATTAAGGTCTTAACTCCGAGGATAGTCAAAGCCATCGTAGAGAGAACACGTCCGTGCAAACCACCACGCTCCAGAGTTGCTATTGTGCCTCCAAGCTCAATGTCAATGCATTCTGTCAGTTTACTTCTTGAAGCAATCTTGCTTAAAGCTAGATCACTAGAGGAACTCGGGTGTTGCAAAGGTATGTAATAAGTATGATAAACCTTTCATGCTCTCTGGATTTTTGCTTTGAAATCTGGTCACAGTGCTCTGCTGTTTATTGTTTTACAGAGGCTGCAGAGGAATGCAAATTAATCCTGGATATGGTTGAATCTGCACTACCAAGTGGCATGCCTGACCGAATCAGTGGATTTGGTAAACTACAAGAAGTTTTTCAAAAGGCCCTCGAATTGCTTCCTTTACTATGGACAAAAGCAGGGAATTTTCATGAAACAATTGCTTCATATCGCCGTGCTTTATCCAGACCATGGAATTTGGATCCCCAAAGGCTAGCTATTACGCAGAAATCCTTAGCTTTGGTTCTACTTTACGGAAGTGTTGAGGCATGCCCAAAAGAGAACATGGAAGAAGCAATTGTGTTACTAATGTTACTCATAAAGAAGATAGTGGTTGGAGAAATACAGTGGGATCCAGAACTGATGGATCATCTCACTTATGCTCTTTCGATGACTGGACAGTTTGAAGTGTTAGCGAGCTATCTAGAGCAGATTCTTCCAGGTGTTTACACTCGAGGGGAGAGATGGTACCTTCTCTCACTTTGTTACAGTGCTGCAGGGATTGATAAAGCGGCCATCAATCTATTGAAGATGGCCTCAGGTCCTTCTGAATCAAGACAGATACCACACACTCCTTGGTTATTGTTTGGAGCAAAGCTGTGCTCTGAAGATCCAAAACACTCAATGGACGGCATAAATTTTGCTCAAAGGCTGCTCGACTTGGCAAACAATCAGAGTGAACATATTTTGAGCGAAGCACACAGGTTCCTTGGTGTATGCTATGGAAACGCTGCAAGAAGTTCCAAATTAGACTCTGAACGGGTTTTATTTCAGAAGAAATCCCTTTTCTCTCTAAATAAAGCAGCAAAGAGGGCCATGGATGGTCCGGAACCAGATGTTATATTTAACCTAAGCGTTGAGAATGCAGTTCAAAGAAACCTTCAGGTGGCTTTGGATGGCGCGGTTGAGTATTCTAGTATGGTGGGAGGAGTTTCTACTAGAGGATGGAAACATTTAGCTATTGTACTTTCAGCGGAGAAACGGCTCAAGGATGCTGAATCTATTCTGGACTTTACCATGGAAGAGGCCGGTGATATCGAGAAGTTGGAGCTTATGAAGTTGAAAGCTGTGCTTCAGATGGCTCAAGAACAACCTAAGCAGGCATTGAAAACATGCAGCAGCTTGCTGGCCCTAATCCGGGCGCAGGAGAAACCTGAAAAATCCGAGGTACCTAGTTCGGGTGTCATAATATGAAAGAGACATACTCTCTGATACTTGTGATCTCTCTGACTACTCTTATTCTATATTCCCAGGCTCTGCTACAGAAGTTTGAAACAGAAGCTTGGCAAGACCTGGCCTCTGTCTACGGAAAGCTAGGTTCATGGTCGGATGCAGAAACATGTCTGGAGAAGGCAAGATCCATTCGGTTTTATTCTCCCAGAGGCTGGAATGAGACAGGTATGGAGAAAAGACATTTAAGAGTCATACAAACGAACTCATAAAGTTTTCCACATTCATAATTTCTCCCGTGTTGATAACAAGTTCCATACATTTGTTTCTATGGTTGGGATAGGTTTGTGTCTAGAAGCTAAATCACTTCATGAAGAGGCTTTAATATCCTTCTTTCTATCGCTCTCGATCGAACCAGAACACGTGCCCAGCATTGTCTCTATAGCAGAGGTTATGATGAAATCAGGTGGTGATTCACTTCCAACCGCTAAAAGTTTTCTGATGAACGCGTTAAGATTAGACCCGAGAAATCACAACGCGTGGATGAAGCTAGGGGATGTTGCCAAAATGCAAGGCTTGTCACAGCAAGCTGCAGAATTTTACCAAGCTGCATATGAACTAGAGCTGTCTGCTCCGGTGCAGAGCTTCATTTGACTTGCAAAGAGTTTTTAGGATGAAGTCACTCACGCAAACAAGGTTAAAATTTCGTCAGCTTCTAAACAAGGTCGCAGAGAGGCAGATTCTTGACGATAACTTTTTGATAAATAAAGTTTGAAGTTGTAGTTTGTTGGATGGTAATGTAAGATCAGTTATATGAGCCACATTGGTTTTGAAGAGTATCTCATTAATCTACATGAATTAATGTCACAGCCTCACAGGGCACTTCCTTAGATGGAAGCTATCATAGTTACTTAACCAATGTCACAGGCAGTCTAGGGTCTGAATTGAAAACCAAGTCTCACGTCATATGCGTTGTAATTTATCATATAAAGTATCTTGTGTAGTTTAAGCTTTTTACATGAGTATTCAATCGCTTCCAGCCCAAGTCATGCAGACAACATCAAATCGACATTTACCAACTAAATTTGGAAGTCCTGTTTCGTTACAGAGAAACCATCACTTACTAAAATAAGGAGCAACTTGTTGTTCTTCATAGTGTATTTAAACAACAGAGAATTATCACTAACCGAGATTTACACATTCGCTATATGATATACTATATGATCATTACGCTAAAGCACTAAAAAAAGAACAACACATACTCCTAAACCTAATTAAGCATTGCAGCTTGACTGACAAGTTTCTCTGGTCCTTGTGTGAAACCTCCACGTAAAGACATAATCTTTGGAATCGCAAGCAAGTTTCATCACATCGCAGAACGCGTGCACAAACTCCTCCTTACCGTCTCTTCCCCACTCTATCCTCACCCAGCAAGAAAACCCATTGTTCTCCGGGATTTTGGTTTCACAGAGATGGATCATCACTTCCCCACAGATCCTCTTCCCTCTCACCATTGAATCTAGCCACGAGCACTCAGGCTGCCCCATCATTTCTTTGTACGCCGAGTTCACGAGCCTGACCCTGTTCTTGGAATCGGATATGATAGTGGGCAAGTCGTCGGATTCGACTTCCTCTTCGACCTCTTGTGGTAATTTCTTGCTGATTTGATATGGTGGAGATGGGTTGGTTAGTGGGTTTATGCATGCTACGTTGATCCTTGAGCAAACCGGCCTTATGGCTTGCGGTGCAATGACTCTGCTTGTGTTTGTGTCTGTGGCCGTGGTTGTAACTGTGGGTCCTTGTAGTTGCTTCAAGAAATCTCTCTCTTGTATCACTTCTGCAGTCTTGTTCAGATCAATGACAACTTTTCCTTTGACCTCTGGCTCCATGCATTTGGAAGGAGGAGGAGGAGAGCATTGAAGAAGAGGCAGAGTCACCAAAGCAGAAGAGCCGCCACCATTATTCTCCAAGGTGTAGCCAACTTGTGCGAGGCTAGGTAACCCATGAGGGAACGCCTGAAACGACAGAGTTTTAATAGGGCCAAAGACACGTGGTGTAGTAGTAGTAGTGGTGGAGGATATTGTGGCAGAAGGAGATGACGACTTGGGTCTCTTCAAGGCGAGAGGAGAAGTTGGGCCCATACCACCACGGCCTCGCTTGCGGGTTCTTGTAGGCCTGGCTTGAAGCTGAGGCCAGAGGTTACGGAGGTAAGGAGATTGGCTGATCTTATGAGACATAGAGGAAGAAGTGTCATTATCGTTAACTTGGGAGGACGTCGTTCCAGGTTTAGGAGCAATGGGTCTATATTTGGACAATATCTCAGCTGTTTTAAGAGTTGTGGTTGTTGAGTGAGAATGGTGTGACTGATGAGGGTTAAGTATCTTTATCATGGCGTTAAAGAAAACAAAAATCTCCAACAAGAAGAAGGAAGAAAGAAAGAAAGAAAGAAAGAAGAAGAAGATGGATGTTGAGAGATTGGTGAAGAAGGAGGTTATAATAAGGAGAGGAAAGGACCAATAAGAGAGAGGCGAATATTAAGGAACAAGGACATTTGGAGAGAAAAGGATGGGTACGTGTTAGAGAAGGTCGAGGATAGGGACACGTGTGAGAGAAATTGAGTTAATGTGCCGTTTTTACAATGGAAGAAGATATTGGGAGATGTGGTTCGGTTCACCAATCACAGTGGATGTCACCGCAACGCGTGTTGTTGCTGGACGTCATGCGTGCCTACACCTATCTCCCCTCTCTTTTTCTTGATTTTTCTTCCTTCTTAATTTCTGTTTTACTTTGGAGTATTTTGACTACATGCAATGTATGTATGTATATTCGAGGCTTTGTGAAAATGTTTTTTGAACTTGAAAAAAAGTTATTATTATTTATTTAGTTGTTGTTGTTGTTGTTAATAGGCGTTATCGATCGGGGCGTGTCTTTGGTTATTCGAGAATAGACGTGTGCGTAAGGAATTGGTGGTTGGGGAGTAACACGAGGCAGTTGCAGCGTCTGTCTGCTCCATGCAACGGTGGGAGAGAAGGAAAGGCACGTGGAGTTTTCTTAGTTGACGTCTGTGGGTTTCTTTTCTCGTACGTGTCTTCTTAATTTTGTAATGCCTTTTTTTTTTTCTCTCTTTTCTTTTCTTAAATAAAATCCTGCCTTTGCCGTTTAACATCCTCTGTTTGGTCGACACATACTCTTCTCTCGCCTCCAGATTTCCGTTTGTCGTGGTTTTGCTGTCTCTTTTTTACTTTTCTCTGATTCTGAATTCAGGGAAAAATAAATAAATAAAAAATTTGGAATCGTTATGAAAAAAAAGTTTTACGTTTTGCATGCGGCGTCTAACGCTCCATGTTTAAAGATTTTTATCATGTGCGAGATTTGTTAAGTTTATCCATTCGTCATACACCAAATTTTATGGTTACTAGATCCTACCATATATATATTCTACAAAATGGCTTGATTCGTAAAAGTGAAGAGAGAAAAAAAATATGGTTTACGGTTCGGTTGCTAAGTTTGGGAAGATTCTGAAATGTGTATTGCATTAAAAAAGAAGAAGAAGAGATATATGCACATCACTTCTTAAGTCCATACATGCAATAGTTTCTTTACTCGACTGACTGTACCTATGATTTAAGTGAATCTCCCTTACATTGCATTGCATGTTCATCCGATGATTCTTTGTATCCACAGACACAAAGTATTGTACATGCTTGGGAATGAGCCGACTTTGAAGATGGCCCATATATTAGCTGGGCCTTTGCAATAACAGGTTCTTAATATATAAAATCTATTAGATAGCAAAACTCAGTATCCAAACAGTGACAAAAACAACAAACAACCAGAAAAAGAAATGCATAAATTCAAGAAACTATTATAATTCGCCACTATTTTTCCTCTAACTCTTAAACACTTCATTCAACCTACTATGTCAGGGCCTCAAAAATGAAAAGGGAAACTTTCTTCAGAGAAGAGCTTCCTCTCTCTCTCTCTCTCTCTCTCTCTCTCTCTCTCTCTCCTTCCTTATGTCCCAAATATATGTCTGTGAACTGGTTGTGTATCTAAACTCTTGATAACTTCCATCCATGGTTTCTCTACCACCAAGATTGCACTTTTCGATAGATGTCTTAGATATAGAACCGGGTGCTTTGAGGTTACCATTTCAAACTTCTCGCTCTCATTACTCTTGCTCTCTTTTTGATACTCCTCTAACCTACGTTTCCGGGTCCCATTCCCCAGTTTCTTCAAACCAATGTTAGCAATTCTACCTTCTACTTTTTCAGAGAGGTTGCCGCATGACAAATCCATCTCTTCGTCTTGTTTCCTCGGCTTCCCAAATTCAATCAAACACTTTGCTCTGCTTTGCAACAAAAATACAAGTGTCACGATTACAAGGGCTTTGTTTTATTTTCGTAGTGCAAATGGTCGTTAGTGAAAAATCTGAAGTACCTGGAGCTGTAAATGATTACAGATGATGAACTTAGTGATGGAGAGAATGAGAGCCCTACGACTTCACCAGGAAACTCTTGGTATCTCTTTGGCAAACAAATAGTGTGCAGCAATGACCACTCGCCCAACTGTCTAGCTTCCACGTCCAATGCAAAGACCTGGTTTGAAGAGGTTGAGATCACAAGAATGTTGTTGTCCCTGGGATGAAAACCAGCGGCTGCAACAGATGCACCATCAAACCTTGATATGAACCAATGCTGCCTGTAAACAAAATCAAAGCCTAAATGAAACCAAAAAATATATATATAGAAGAAGCTGCTAGTAAAATATGCAACCCATGAACAAGTCTTCACAAAGAATTGTAAGCAGAAAGGGATCACAAAATGTTCACCTCTGTGTTTCTAGATTGAACACATATATGTCCCCAAAGCAATTGATAGCAGCTAGCCAATGATCATTTGAGCTAGTATACAGTTTTGTAACCGGAGGCTCGCGAGGAGGAAATTCACCTTCCAGCCCCTCCTGACGTGGAGTAAAAGTATGCAATAACTCCATGCTATTACTGTCAACAGTCTGCCAACAGAATAAAGTTCTGATGTTGATAAGGTCAAGCAAGCAAAATAATAATTGATACTAGCAAAAGATTGGCACATACATATATCCTTCTATCTTGCCCAGCTATTATCAACCGAGAGCAGTCACAGCTGAAGACCATTGAGTGAGCAAATGGAAGATTGGGAAGTCGCTTTCTATCTGCACTCCATGGATTCTTTCCATGCTTATTATTTTTCAACTCAAATAGACTTGGGCGAATTTGGTCAGAATAAGCAAAAAGTGACCCTGTGTTAGAAATTGCACTGCATATGATCTTCCGGGCATCTTTACTTTTAACACGAACCAATGGCTTGGTGGAGACACGCCCACTAGAATCACTGCTTATGTGAATACGAAGAATATCTAAAGAACAAGAATCCTGAACCAAGAGAAGAGAAGTCTGATTGAACATTGTATTATGTACCATCTGCATAGGTACTCTCTGAGGCGCAGGACATATATCATGTGGAGGGAACTTAGTGAACTCTTGAACTGAGTATGCAAAAAGCTTTGCATCATCACCAGCTGAAATGAGCATTGGAACCCCCATATGTGCCCATTTATGGTAACTAAAACCAACCGGCTTCTCCTTTCTCCGCTGTTTAGGACTTTTTCCTTTTGTATTACTGTCTGGAAGGGAACCTGCATAAGGTGGGAGCTTAAGAACCACAAAATAACAAAAAGACTAGGCAGCTTCTAGATATATGAAAACATTGTTCTCATATGCATCCTGATACGCATCATGTCCTATGCCCAAAATCGGTGTAGGGTTTCTCTTGATAAATGTCAAGTAGTTGATAAAATTGGGTTACTTTTTTTACATCCATTTCTATTTGTAATCACATGAGGACTTCTTAAAATACTCATTTGTGATTCTCATCCGGAGAAAAGAGTTTTAGGGAGGTTAATTGCTTTTAACCGAGAAGGCTTTGACACAGTTGGAGTTTTAGCTTCTGATTTCATTTTACTGCACTAAAGAGAAGCTTTGGGTTTTCAATAGGTGTTTGTGATCCTTAAATCTAACTTTAAAGGCTTTAACAACCGCATTTAACGTTCTAGTGTCTGATTCTAGACTATGAACACTTTGAGTTTTCTCTGTGTTCGTGATCCTTTAACCCTTAACACATCCTAACACGAATTTTATTGCAAACCATACTGGAAAATCTGAATGTAGTTTAACTCAAGAAGCCACTGACCTTCTGAACTTATTGGCATTGCCACAGTTAGAGCTCTGATGTCATGCGTATGAGCCCTTACACAACCGATATAATCCCACTTATGAGTGGAAGAAGGTTTCAAATCTTTTGAATTGAGTGTACCACCAGCGAGCGTATATAGGATAACCTACAAAAGAATGAACAGAGAATTAGAAAGTTGACACCATTAATACAAAATAACACATCGAATGTTATGCTAAAGCAGGAAGGTTTCTGTTTAATTTTCCAGAACCTTACAATTGGTCAAAGTATTTGTTTCCACTTTATTTGAGTCCCATGTCTCGTCAAAGGGAAACCAATCTTTATGATACACCAATTGTTAAGGTGGGATTCACATGAGATAACACAACAGGATCATTTACCTGTCCATCGGCACCTGCAGAAAACACACGGTTATGACTTGGGGCTGCTGCAAGAGCATTGACATCACCCTTGTGATTAGAATGCGCCTGTAAAAGGGTTCCACGCTGGCTATCCCAAAACTGGACACTTCCTGTACTATCTCCGCTGACAAGAACTCCACATCTAATATAAGATACAGATCATCAGCAATAGGAAAAGAAAGACACAAACTAACATGAGTATGATAATTATTTACCTCAGTGAAAGAAGTGACCAAATGCAGAGCTCAGACCCATTTCCAAGTCCTCCAAGTCCAACTGTAATTCTATATACCTCATGGCAGAGATTAACATCCCAGCATCTGATCAGCCTACAAACAATGTTGGGAAGCCAAAAACAACTTAATTAGAGAAATCGAAGAAACATTTAGGGGTCTTCTTTCCAGCCAAATTAAGTGTCTCTTACGAAAGTAAATTAATATTCATCCCATACAAAGCAAACAAAAAATATTCTCACCCATCACTACTGCCTGAAAAGATTCTGTGAGCGTCCAAACTCCATGTCACACTTAGAGCACGGCCTATGAAAATAATGATCCATAAAAATCTAAACAGATACAATAATGAAAAATCAAAATGATGCTAAACGGGAGTAAGGATGTCTCACCACTGACTCTAGGCAACGATCTATAGTATGTTAACTTGTCTGATTCAGAGATATAATATATCCTCACGCAGCCATCATCACAGGCAACAGCAAGATGCCTATCCAGGGCCTCTGATTTCTCGTCAAGCTCATCCAACTCTGAATCATCTTCAATTCCACTTTCTTCCTCGTCATCTGATTTCTCACTCAAGTATCTATTCTGAATCAGCTCAGTTTCTTTGCCTTCTGTTTCAGTGGAGGGAGGTGTCACAGCCATTTGCCAGATTGATACTCCAATTGACTCTAGGACGACCTGCACAAATAGATTGAATGATCGATAAGAGAAATAATACTTGCAGAAAACAAGCAAATAAGAGAATCCGCTTATTTCGGAAATCAGTAAAAACCCATCATTTACAAGGAGCTAGAAGTTTTAATTAAGTGATATTCACCTTCTGCTTCAGGTCAAAGAGATCCCACTCTGAAATTGTTCCATCGATACTCGAAGAAAACAATCTAGCGGAATTCAAATCTTTAGAGCCAGAACCAAGCCAGGCAAGGTAGGAGATTCTCGATTTTGGATCTCCATGGATGATCTAAGCTCAATTGAGAAGAAAAAAAAAAATCAACTGGGCATACTTCACGAATCTCAACGAATCGAAAATGTGATAAATGGAAGAAGAATAGGAGGAGCTCGTACGAGTTGACAGTGCCAAGAGACAGCACCAGGGGAGACGAGCCAGAGCTCAAGAGAACCGTCTTCACGAGCTGCGGCGACCTGAGAGCCGTCGGGACTGGTAGAAAGGGCTACCACCGGAGATGGCTTCCAATCGACGGAGCTGCAACGGTACTCAAACATTGGTGCTACGGAGGAGGCGAACTATCTTCTCTGAGAAAGAGGACGCAACACTAGAATTTAGGTTTTTGAAGGGTTTAGACTTTTTAACGGTGGTTTGAAACCGGCCGGGTCGACCCGACTAGATTTGGGGCACAAAACTGGATCCAGGTTAAATACGTTGTCCCAGGAAATAATAAATGTGGAATAAATATCTGCAGACCCTCTAGATAAGTAAGCGGGTTTCATATCACCATATATTACTTATCTTAAGCCATACGTTTTAGACATCACTCTGCTCTCTGCATTACTCTTTCCAAATTCAATGGACTTTTCTTCCAAATGTCCAGATTTACATAGAGACACTTGAGACTCTGTTTCTTGTAAAGAAAATGAACACATCTTCACACTATTTGGTAGTTATAAAGATGCTCTTAATGGTGACAATGACCTCCATGTGTCAAGCTGCGAGTAACGTCCACCCTCTGATTCTTGTTCCAGGAAATGGAGGTAACCAGCTAGAGGCAAGACTGGACCGAGACTACAAACCAAGCAGCGTCTGGTGTAGCAGCTGGTTAAACCCGGTTCGCAAGAAGAGTGGTGGATGGTTCAGGCTATGGTTCGATCCATCAGTGCTCTTGTCTCCCTTCACTAGGTGCTTCAACGAACGAATGATGTTGTGCTATGACGCAGATTCAGATGATTATCAAAATGCACCTGGTGTCCAGACCCGGGTTTCTCATTTCGGTTCTACAAAATCCCTTCTTTACCTCGACCCTCGTCTCCGGTATAGTACCCTCCAACATTCTTTGTTACTAGCTTCCTTGCGTTGAGTTCTGGTTTATTAATGATCAATATGTGAATTGTATGGTACATATGCATTAAACACTTAAAGATCAATGTGTATATTTGGTTTGATATAATAAGGTGTCATTTTTGCAGAGATGCCACATCATACATGTCACATTTGGTGAAAGCTTTAGAGAAAGACTGTGGATATGTTAACGACCAAACCATCCTTGGAGCGCCATATGACTTCAGGTATGGCCTGGCTGGGTCGGGCCACTCGAGCCGTGTAGCTTCACAGTTCCTACAAGACCTCAAACAACTGGTGGAGAAAACGAGCAGAGAGAACAAAGGAAAGCCAGTGATACTCCTCTCTCATAGCCTAGGAGGTCTTTTCGTCCTCCATTTTCTCAACCGTAGCTCCGCTTCATGGCGCCAAAAGTACATCAAACACTTTGTTGCACTCGCTGCGCCATGGGGCGGGACTGTTGAGCAGATGAAGACGTTTGCCTCTGGGAACACACTCGGTGTTCCTTTTGTAAACCCTTTGCTGGTCAGGCCTCAACAGAGAACCTCCGAGAGTAACCAATGGCTACTTCCGTCTCCCAATGTGTTTCACGACAGAACTAAACCGCTTGTTGTTACTCCTCGGGTTAACTACACGGCTCATGAGATGGATCGGTTTCTTGCAGACATTGGGTTTTCTCAAGGAGTTGTCCCTTACAAGACAAGAGTTTTGCCTTTAACAGAGGATATGGTGACTCCTGGAGTGCCGGTTACTTGCATATATGGAAGAGGAGTTGATACCCCGGAGGTTCTGGTTTATGGAGAAGGAGGATTCGATGAGCAACCAGAGATCAAGTATGGAGATGGAGACGGGACGGTTAACTTGGCGAGCTTAGCAGCTTTGGAGTTGATTCACAAAGTTGAGAGCTTGAAAACCGTAGAGATTAGTGGAGTCTCGCATACCACAATACTTAAAGATGAGATCGCACTTAAAGAGATTGTGAAGCAGATTTCGATTATTAATTCTGGATTAGCCAACGTTAATGCCATGACTGAATGAAGGCAGCTATTAGTCAGGTTGAGAGTAAGTGAAATTAATTAGTTTGTTTTCGTTATAAGCTTACATATATCTCACCATTGTATAGTTGTAGATAAAGAAGTAAAGCCTACAGGCTACAAGAGAAATGGAATGTTTATCTCTTTTTTTTTTATGAGATGAACATGAGTTGTCTCAAGTGGTAATGATCTTCTCATTAAACAATTAAAACAAATATGAGACTGTTATCCAAAGCACACCGGATTAAGACAATGAAAGGAAAACGCTTCCACAAACATAATCACAAAGACAAAAATTTATAATGAATGCACATTTCTATATATAGAAGAAAAAGTAAAACATATTATGTGTTAACGAAGAGCTGAGGAAGTCATGAGATCAGAATCAATTAGAGTCTGGAGTGATTTAGCTTTCCTTCCTGTAACCTTACCAGCTTCTTTCAAGAGTTGGACCAATCTTCTCTTCTCCTCTTCTGTTCCAGGATTCGCTGTCCCGAGCTTTTCCTCCCGAGCCCCAACCACATGTCCTAGCAACTCAATTGCATCATCCAACCTATATTCACAACAGAACCGAGGTTTGTTTGAGGCCAACAGGAGAGGAGGATGTATAAAAACAGAGATTAACACAAGTACCTGCCAGTTGCATCATAGGCTCCTGCAAGGTTGTTGTATACTCCAAGTGTTTCCGGGTGATACGGACCACATTCTTGTTCTAAAATACACTTGGCTTCTTCAAGCAACTCAACAGCCTCTTCTATCGCGTCCAGCTGAATGCAAGCTAAACCCATTTGGTTAAGTGCAATCCCGAAAAACGTTGATTGTTTCTTTCCTGTAGCACGTAGTTTTGATACAGCACTTTTGAATGTGTTGTATGACTCTATGTATTTCCCCATCATATAGTACAACACTCCAATTTGAGCTTCAATCCCTGCAATCATGATTTTCTGACCGGGAGAATCAGCGTATATCTTCAGCGCCTTTTGCAGCAAGGTTATAGCTTGTTCCACCTCGTTCATAGACTCACAAATCACTGATATATCTGTAAGACCACTTGCAATCTCTTCAGGAGAAATCTCTAGGTTATGTGACTCGTATATCCGAAGTGCATTATCACAGTACGACTTTGCTTCTCTAACTTTTCCTGTTCGGTTATAGAGATCAGCTAAACGGATATAAACTGAACCAACAGCTGGATGGTTCTCTCCTTTTGCTGTCTTCAGTGCCGTGAGAGATTTCTGGTATGCGCAAATCGCTTCATCAAACCGAGACAAAGACAAGTAGGAGTCACCAATGCTAGTATCAACAAAAGCAACCTCAGACTCTTGTCCATTTGCAGCCATGGCCATACTGGCTAATACCAAATGCTCGAGGGCATTCTCGTGATCTCCCTTAGTCTCACATATAAGACCCATGAGTCTTCTATCTGCCGCCTCTGCGGCTGAAGCTGGTAAACCGTTTTCTCTATGTATAGAAAGAGCCGTTTGGCAAACCTGCTCAGCCTCGTCAAACCGTAATGCTTGTACAAGAGCCTCGGCTAAGTATCTGCATGTTTCACCAACTCTTGGGTCGTTTTCTCCCAAAACCTTTTTCTGGACTTTCAATCCCTCGGTATAACACGACACTGAGTTCTCTAGCTGCCCCACCATAGCGTAAGTATCACCTAACTGCATCAGACCAGCAAATTTGGCTAGTGCGTGCTCTTCTCCCTCTTCGACCACTGGAATCTCAACTGAGCGCTGCAGAACCGGAATTGCGTCATTGTACTCCTTTAACTTACAATGAATCGCTGCTGTAACATGCAAACACATGATCCATTCTAAACATGGTTTCCCGTTATTCGCAGAAGCCTCAAACAACTTAGCTGCTCGAAGAGATAACTCGAGAGCTTTGTTGATATTTTCACCAGAGCTAACCAAGTTTCTCGCTTGGTTCAGTAGAAAACGTGCCAGCTCCACATTTTCAGATGATGGCTCTTCATTTCCATTTTGTAACTTGGTTCCGACTTTCTTCTTCCTCATGCCACCATTTTCCAAGTTCGATTTGTTGGCATTCTTCTTACCAACTTGTTTCTCCATATCCTTTGGCATGACTTCCAAATCTATCTTTGAAGAGTTTGGCTTAGTAGTACTTGCTGGTCTCATGAAATCAAACTCATCTGGCTTTTCCACTTCGTCTTCCTCTCCTTCATCTTCAGTTATATCTATATCTCGCATCTCTCCTAGAGCAAGATGTTGTAGATCAGAATCAATCTTTGACTCGTCACCAGATCCAAAGCTCTGCCTTGAAGGAGACTGATTAGAACTCTGCAATTCGCAGAGATTCTTACAGAGCTCCTCTATCGTTGCGTCAAACGCTTGATCCATACTAGAATGTTCCTTAAAATGTATGGAATCGCCATTTAACTCGTTAAAAGACGCTCCTTCCATTATTCCCTCCTAGTAAGACAGCTCTCTGCAGACGAAAACAGACACAATCATAAGCAAACATAATCAACGGAGCTGAAGAACTCAAAATCGGATGGGCAATTTCCAGGAAAAAGGAACCCTTTTTCCAAACAATGGGGAATTTGAAGCTCTGGAATTTGGAAAATCACAGAGAATAAAAAGAAAGTAGAAACATTTAATGATTCGGATTCTTGAAGAACGCATATGTTCCAGCCCAGAACATATCCCAAAATACGCAAATCGCTCGCTCATATAATCAATTTTGCATACCTTCGTTACGACACATTACCCAGCCATTGTAAGAAAAACAGGAGGCAATACCTTGTATTCAGAGATTAAATTGAAAACTAGCTAAAAGGAAATCAAAAGGGGACAAAGAGGGGAAACATAAAAACAAATTTCTAACCTCTTTAGGGGGGTTTGTGTCGGAATCGGATTCCTCGAAGGGAGACAGGAAATCTGAGAGAAGGGTAGTTGCAGAAATGATAATTGTAGAAATGGGTCGAAGCTGAGAGAGTTGAAATTTCAACTTTTTCGGTGGAATGTCAAAGAGGAAGGAGGAGCGGGAAGAGAGAGAAAAAAGTTAGAGGCTTTTCTTCTCTCTAAATGCCCGCCATGCTCCTCCTTTATTGCGCTGTCATTTCCTTTTCAACGAAAACTGTATTTTACTTCGAATGTCAAATCACCAACTCAGCTAAATTTGGAGAAACTGATTTTAGGAACAAAAGAGAACATGTAAAGTTATAAAAGATTATACTCCATGTAACATTTTTCTCTTTCAAGCGATTTACACAGACTTTAAGTATATAGTATTATTAGTATAGTAATTTTCTGTTAGTGTAGTTGATCATGTATAATTTACCAAATTGAATATCTAAACAGCTTCAAACCAGAAAACTACATCAAAAATCGGATAAAGAAACCTAGGTACCATCATCTTTCGGTTAGTAAGCTTTCTTTTAGCTTCCCATTCTAAACACTCTCGCAGTGATGTTGCTTTGACAATGTTGCGGCAAGTACTATATGAAGGAACAAAGTCAAACGACAAATATAGTTACAATGAAACGACGGCGTATTAGTCACTCAGGCAGTCTCAGACGGTTGAAGACGACCAAGAAACTCTTCTCAGGGCCAATATATAGGAATCCAAGGTCCGCACCCTTCACATATGGTCCCATTCCCTGATCACAGAAACCCCAAACCATTAAACCGCAAGACAAAGAAATGATGGTCGGCTCTATTGTGTTTCTATATATTATTTACCTTTCCATTGAGCTTTAAAAGCTGGCCCTCGACCCATTTTGGGTTTTTAAACCCAAAGTCTGCGATTCTTCCTTCTCCCATGTAACTCGCAAGCTGCATATACGTAAAAACATCTTCTGGATAAGCTTTCCATTAAATGTCAACATGGTTAAACCCGTGAAATGTCTTAAAGCTATTCTTTCAAGAGGAAATCAAAGATTGTTTTCGACTCTTGTTCTGATTATATGTTTAGCTTAAGCATGGTTCTGGATCTTTTATCGTTTTACATGTCTGACCACGAATTTTTTTTTTTTTGGGGTCAGCTTCTGTAGTTCTGATAAAACCAAAGCTCAGGAGATGAGGAAAGTGTCATTACCACTCCCATTTCCTCTGGGAACAATCCACGATCCCTCATGCGACTTCCCTTCCCAATCCTTGCACGAAATGTCACCTATCAATAATTTGTGACCTTATCTTAGATTCTTTATCCCATATAAAAAGGGTCATAATTTGACAAAAAAAACCATTAAAAAGAGGAATAACCTGGCCAGCCGGAACATTTGGATCCCCTGTCAGCTTCACAGCCTCAACATATTCAAAGAACTCAATATCTGAGGTGTTACTTTCCTCTGCATCAATCCAGTGGCCATACTTACGCTTAAGTTGTACTATCTCGGTGCCATAAGGTCCGAATGCACCGACATATAGGCCTGCACTTCAAATTCAGAACATATCCTGAGTTGAGTTGTACAAATACAATCTGAACCCATATCAAAAGAAAGAGAAAAACACTAATGCAAAACCAGGATTACCATCAAATGGGTCTAGGTCGCTTTCAGGAGTTATGATTCTATTAAATGTTGTATACTCAGAGAGCCGATTTCCTTTTTGTGCCTGATTTATAGCAAGCTTGACAATCTCACGGACATTTCTTGATACCTAGAACAATGATATCAGAATATATGCGTGACATCAGAATGCTACTTATGTCAAAAGGCTGTTAAACACATTTACGCGACAACATAGAGAGGTGTTAAATAAGAAAAAGCTTAATCTGATTTTGGAGTTCAGCTTTATAAAGAGCAGTGTAAATTCAAGGAATTCACCTTCAAAGAAGGTCTCTCTGGACCCCAGAACGCCTTGGCAACCTCTGCTGGCATCAGATCTGAAATTCCTTGAGTTGCTAGAGCTCTTACTTGTTCCTTGGACACTGTGCTTTTTCTTGTATCTATATCACTCTTCTTTCTTCCAGGAACATGCAAGACAAAGGAATCTTTTTCATTATCCGGTATATCTGCGGAAACACGGACAAACTCATCCTCGATAGAGGAATCCTCTGTGTTATGAAGAACCCCTCCTATGAAAACCTTAGTGTTTAAATGCTTTCCATTATCTGCACTATCCATAGATGCAATTTCTTCAATACTGTCATCATCTTCTTCTTCGTCAGCAGAACTAGTTTCCTCAATGCTTTCTCCGACCAGCTCTTCAACAGCATCATCACTGCCTACAATCTCTTCATCGAGGACTCTCAGTTTTAGCCCCGGGATTTTATCTTTTAGATATTTTATCACATTTTTAATCCCTTCTTCAGTTGGTTCCTCAGCATTTAGCTGTTTATCTTCTTTTTTATCCACTTTCACTTCATTTCCTCGTACATCTAGAATGGATGGGCTCTCAAGTGAGGTATTCGATGATTGCTTTGCACTTGAATAGGAATCCTCGGAAATGGATGGTTTTTGCTTGACATGTTGCAAATACACCACCTGTACACATGCAGATATACAAAACAGCTCGAAGGGGTTACTCGGTGCTATTTTAAAAAGAAAAGAGGCATCTACATTTATAAAACTTCAGAGAAGGAACAAAAAAACTCAAGGGTAATCAGAATAGCGATTATGTAACGGTATTCTTCCACAAGATACATTTATAAGGACATACTGATACCAGAACTTCTAAACTTAAATTTACAAATGTGTTGTGCTTAAATTACCTGCATAACGTATCCTCCGTCGGTGTCTTTAACAACAAAAATCTCAAACAGAGGTGTCCCAGCCGCTTCATTCACCAGCTGTCTGTACGACGCAGTTATCAGAATCCATCACCACTAGCAATTGAAAAAGGACTAGAATCCTGAGTAAAACATGCTCTCACCTGGGACTGTAACTCTTGCCAATAAACCTACCAACACCTGGAGTTATGCGTACAATTCTGCCAAATGGTTCCCCGGAATCTTGAGGATAACAAACCCACCAACCCACCTACACAGACATCAGAAACGTGATGATGCTTTGAAATTCTAAAACAACCTATGTCCAGATAAAAGCATAGATTCTCGGCTACAGGTTCGTGGAGTTATATGAAGCCATTCTTACAAATCATCACTTATGTCAGGAAACATATACTCCTACAACTAACCTTAACTACCTCAATAGTTTATAGGCATGAAACATTCTTTGCATCCTTTATAAAGCTTAAGAAATCTTCTAATTTTTGGCTTTTTTCTTGATTTAGGTGTGTAGGTGTCATCTAGGACTATCAAGCAAGCGTAGAAACACTTATTAGATTGCATTAAGACCTTCAAGGAATTTCAAGAAAAGAAATGACCTTGCAACACTTAAAAATGTTTGTGAAATCTTATACTTGTTATTTTACAAGCTTAGCAAGAAAGAAGAAAATATGAAGAATGGCGAATAAAATTACCAGTCCACTTCCTGTCTGTCTACATAGCCTGGAAGCATCATGGTAACGCTCTTCTCGTATTGCAGTCTGCGAGGAAGCTATTATCATACATAAGCAAAGAAGATAACACAAGAATTTGATGTTATCAAAAAAAGTCCAGACAACACATATCACCTGTAACTGGCCCATGATCTCAGCGACAGCATCATTCACAGTGGCTTCTCCAATAGCTTTTTTCAACTTTGCTGCTTCTTCAAAGTCTTCTTTTTCGATGGCCTCTTCAAGTTGAAGCTGTTAGATAAGCTAGAAGACTCCAAAATTAGGAATTTATTTACAAGCAACCGATATTAGGGGGTAACACCAAAGGACCGAGTTTAGATGGATAGAACCTTGAGAAGAGAAACTAAGCTATCGATTTCTTCAATCTCGGAGAAGTGTCGATTCCAACGATCCCAATCCCACTTATCATCAGAAGAACTGGTCTCAGGGCCATCAACGGCGGCGCAATTGCGCAGACAGGTCAAAGATGCTTTTTTAGGGTTCCGGGTTGTTGTAGGAGAAGCGAAGGAGTGTGATAACCCGACAGATACGCAGAAATTCGTGCGTTTATTGATCGAGAGCTCATGATTTGGAGATTTCGGATTGAGGAAAATGTGAAATTTAGGAACGGAGATTCTTTGTCCGATAACACATGGGTGAGTTGTCGCCATGTGTGGAGGTTCTGGTGTTGTGCTTCGCCGGGAAACTCTTACCGAACTGAGAGGCTCTTGGTCTGGTTCGACCGCTCCCGACGTGTGTGGATAGGGGGAGGAATAGTCTGATGATTTTGTTGTACACTTGCGAATTTTATCATTTTTTTATACCAAAAAAAAATTAACAAAGTGGAGCATTATTCTTTTAAAATTAAATCTAAACCCAAAACCAATCCTAAATCCTAAAAATACAACCCAATTCTCTAAATCCTAAAAATACAACCCAATTCTAAATCCTAAAAATACAACCCGATTCTAAATCCTGATTTTAAGAAATAAAATCCTTAATCTGTTGTGAAAACTTAGAAACTTTATTAATCACTGGAATGTATATATAGAGTACATAGGGAATCTAGGTTAAGTACAATGCCCTGATGAGCCTAATGGGCCGGTATAAGAGTCCATATATGATATGTGTTATAACACTCCCCCTTGGACGAGTGAACCGGGTCAGCTACTCAATCGGGATCTCGATAATGCGCTGGGGAATGTTGCCTCATTAAAACCTTACCAGGAAAAACCCAGTGGGACAAAACCATGGTGAAGGAAAAAGAGTACAACACGCATTACTCCCCCTGATTGTAGCATCACTGCAGATCTCTAAGTCTATACATTCCTATCTGTTTGACGAGCTTCCGGTGTGTTGAAGTAGGCAATGATTTGGTGAAGAGGTCAGCTGAATTCTCACTGGATCGGACCTGCTGAACGCTGAGAGTGCCGTCCTTCTGCCAGTCTGAGGTTGAGAAGAACTTTGGTAGAATGTGCTTCGTCCGATCTCCTTTGATATATCCTTCCTTGAGCTGAGCTATGCATGCCGCGTTGTCTTCATACATCACCGTGGGCTGTGTGTCTTCGTCCATACCACAATCTCTGCGGATGTGCTGAGTCATAGAGCGC